TTCAATTTAATAGTTTATAGCATCCTATAGGTCTACCAAAAGATCTCAAATTAAAAATTAAAAACAAAAAAAAAAATCATTAATATTGTTTTTCCAAAGTTATGTGTTTAACTTATTACCAACATTAAATGGCCTCCGAAATGATGAGAAATTTTGAGTGGGTCAACCATGATAAGGAATAAGACTGGCAGGAAGGCAGGAAAACATGTGAAAAAACAAAAGCAATCAAAAAATGAAGAAAGGAAAAGACATGAAAGAGAAGCAATAAATGCTATTTGAAAACAGAGAAAAAATGACATAAAAGATAATGTCAACCGTTAAAAATAGAGAGATAATGACATTGAGTCTATGTATACAGTTGTAAAAATATAAAGATAATGACATAAAAGATAACACAAAAGAATTAGATAGCATTCAAAGGGAAAAAAATAAAAGAAAAGAAAGAAAGGCCCAGAAGCATGAATGCAGAGTTCAAGTAGAAAATACGAAGACAGATGCATTAAATGCTATGGCAGGGAAGGAAAGAAAATGACAAAAAAAGACCGAAAGATTATAAAGACAGATAAGAAAGAAAGGTTAAAAAAGTAACAATACAAACAAAGTAATGACATAAAAGCAATTAAGAAAAGAGCATGAGGGTGAAAAAAAAATGAAAAAATTGAGTGGGTGATGTGTCAAAAAAAGCAAAGGCAAGACGAAGAAAAACAAAACACTGAGAGGCAAAAATAGCTGAACAGTAAAAGGAATAGGAACATTGAGTCTATGTATACAGTTGTTCAAACAGTAAACAAACGTTTTCCTTTAGTTGTTTTTGTTAATTATTTTAAATATATTGATATAATAATATAATATTTATTAATAAATAATTTATTTAGATATCAGATGATAATTATTCCCTTTTTAAATAAATAATTTATTTTTATATTTTTTATTATGAAATTAAGTAAGAAAATATAAAAAAGATCATTATTTTTTTTATTTTACGTATAGTTTAACAATAATAGAATATATATGATATTTTTTAAAAATTTATTTTGAATATATATATATATATATATATATATTATTTTTATTATTTAAAATTTATTTCTTCAATTGTTTGTTTCTTAGCAAAATTCTCATCGAATTAATTTTTAAATTTTATATGATTTTATTTGTTAATAAATTTGAATTTTATATATATATATATATATATATATATATATATATATATATATATATGACTTTTGAAATAAAATTTTACAATCTGGTTATTTTATTTTTAAAAAATATATTATTTTAATTTATACGATTGATTATTTTTATGATTTTTTAATGAAAATGACGTTGTTGCATAACTAAATTTTGATGAGAAAGAGAAAGCTAGAAGTGTGTTTCGGATATTATAATTATTCTAAAAAAAACTAAAAGAATTAGAGTGTTTCTTGTTCATTTATTTTAGAATTTTATTTATTTTTATGGCTAGCCCGGAGAAGTGGGCTCCAGCAGCCTAGCCCGACTCATTTCATTGTAGTTTTTTTTTTTTTTAGAGCTAGCCCGGAGAAGCTTTTCTTTTTTTTTTTTTTAGGGCTAGCCTTGAGAAGCAAGCTCAAGTAGGCTCGCACAAGCGATCCCAACTAGCGTTTACCTTCTTTTCTTTCTTTTTTTCCTTCTAATAATTTATTTATATATTTTTTTTATCGTGAAATTAGGTGTGAAAATATAAAAAAAGATTGTAATTTTTTTTTAATTTTATGTACAGTTTTACGAGTAATAGAATATATATAATATTTTTAAAAATTTTAGTTTAAACATATATATATCTGATTATATTATTTTTATTGTTTAAAATTTATTTCTTCAATTATTTTTTTCTTATTAAAATACTCATCGAATTAATTTTTTAATTTTATATACTTCTATTTGTTAATAAATTTGATTTTTTATATATGGATTTTGAAATAAAATTTTAGAACTTGATTTTTTTTATTTTTTAAAATATATTATTATAATTTATACGATTGATTCAGCAAATATCAGTATAAATTAAGCGATCAAATATAATTGATCCCTTCACTCGGGAAAGAAAACATATATATTGTTGGTCCATTCAATGTCCCCGAACCAATATTAATTTATTTCTTTAATTATTCGTTTCTTATTAAAATTCTCATTAAATTAATTTTTTAATTTTTGATATAATTTTATTTGTTAATAAGTTTGGTTTTTTAATATATGAATTTTTGAATAAAATTTTAGAACATCAATGTTTTATTTTTAAAATATATTATTATAATTTATGCAATAAATTATTTTTTATTTTTAAATGAGTGTTTTATTTATATATATATATATATATATATATATATATATATATATATATATATATATATATATATATATATATATATATGAGAGAGAGAGAGAGAGAGAGAGAGGGCTAAAAGTATATTTTAGATAGTTTGACTCAATTTTTTTTAAAAAATAATAATGAGTTAAAAAAATTCACAAGTTTTATTTTCTTTTTTATATATATTTATTTATAATTTATCGAATCAATTTTGTTGTAGTTTTTATTTTAATTTATTGACTTCAATATATTTCTACGAGTTTAGGTGGATTTTTTTGGTATATTTTTGTATTTATTCTATATACTCGAACCATGTATATCATTATTTTTATTAAAAATTAACTATATATATATATATATATATATATATATATATATATATATTCAATTTATATTAATTACTAAAAATAAAACTTTCTACTTGCATTACACTATACGAATCGTTAACTCTATGTATATAATGATTTTTTTCCCGTAACGTAGCGTGGGTATCCAACTAGTTAATGTCTAAATAAGAAAGGAAACAAACACCCTAAATAGAATAGGATTTTTGAATCTTTTACAAAGACTGCGTAGGAAAAATCTTAAAATAGAAAATTTGTAAAGTATTCTAGAATGGTGTCAATCATAAAATCTTTGAGAGAAAGGCTTTTTTGGTGTTGTCCAACTTTTGATTTTTCTTTTTCTTTTTTTTTTTCTATTTCGATGCCCAACCATTTATTTCCAATGATTTACTATCCAAGTTTTGATTTTTTGTTTGTTTTGACATCCGAATTTATCTAAGGTTCAATTTTGTCGATATGTCCGGCTAACAATAAAAAAATGTCACATAGTAGTCAAAAAATGCCACTTGACAATCAACTCTAGACATGTCGAACCTCATGCTTTAAAATGGTTGTGAGCACTCAAACAGGAAAAAAAAATTCAAAAGTTAGGCATTGAAATAGAAAAACATTAAAGGTCGAGCACCAAAAAAGTAATTTCTTCAAGAAATTTATTGTCTCAAGATTGCAAAATTAGTCTAATAATTTTCTAATGAATATTTTGCATATCATACTTATGGCGGGTTTTTAATTATCAAAGGCAATTTTTTTTAATATTATGTATCGGGTAAAAATTACTTTTTAAAATTTTTAAACACCTTTAACTTTCCGTACAAATGTAATATTATGTCATTTAGTCTAAATATATATAAAGCCTAATTAAGATTAAATCTAAAAAACAAAAGACATATAAAATCTAATTATGATTTTCATTTGCGTAACAAATGGTTTTTCTATTTAGGAAGAAGATCTACCAATATATCTTAGGTGACATAAATTTTATGTAGTCAATAACTTGTTAAACTTTTTATAGTAGGCAGATGGGATAGAGTTGAGATGAATGAGTTTTAGTGATTAAGCTTTTTGACTTGGGTATTTAAAGTGTAATATTTTTTGTAACGGTGATGATAATGACAAAGGTAATAAATACATTAGGAATTAAACTAATAAGTGAATTGAGAAAAATGAAATAAATTTCTTGAGAAAATTATATTTTTTGCATCCAATCATTAATTTTATTTTTATTTTTTCTATCTAGCTAGGTACCCAACCTTCAATTTTAATTTTAATTTTTTTTTATTTCAATACCTAATTTTTTATTTTTTTTCCTTTTAATTTGAGTGTGTACGACTATTTTAGAACATGAGTGCTGGCATGATTGGAGTTGACCACTATGTGTCGCTTTTTGATTATCACCCGACGCGGGGGGTGGTATGGGTATTAAACATTAATGGGACAGTCCACTGTCAACTATTCATTGGACAACAATTGCACGTGTCTATAATTTAAAACGTCAAAAATATACGTACAGGTAGTGGTGTACTCTCACCACCAGTAATCCATGGATTGATTGTGCCAGATCACACTAATTTTTTGAACTTAGTCAGTCTACAGGAATTATTTACACAAATCATCGAAAGGATGGGACCTCAACACAAAAATCCCTATGCATTAATTCTTAAGTCTTTACAGCTAGTATTTCAACATCAAACTCATTAACCATGTTCTTGTAAACCTTGTCTATTTTCACCCATTGCTTATTGGATTCCTGAAATTTAATTCCTTTTTTTTTCTTTTTCTTTCTTTACGCGATTTTCAACATAATTGTTCAGATTGACATAAGGCATTAAATGTTCAACAGAACACGAATTTCGTCCACAGTACTCTACCCTCTAGGGTTGCATATGAACTTTACAAATTAAGCTCTCTAAACTACTCACCTAATATTAATGGAAGCCTGCAGGGGACACCAGTAATATTTTGTAAAACTTGCAGGGAGGTTTCTGATATTGATTGTCATGGATAAGACCAGTAATAAACTGGACAAATTAAAGTAAGAACAGACCAAGGAAAATGACTTCCATTTACTTACTTTTTGGCAATAATTCCTGAAGAAACGGATCGTCTTTTTCAAATTGCATAGGGTTCTGTTGACTTTTCGACATAAATATATGCACCTCAGAAAATGACATTTCTTATGTGAATTTTTCAGCCCAAATCCCCTGTGACCCTCCATCACCTACCTGTCTATCTATTATGGACCTGCAAGCAGGGAGTACATCACAAAAGCTGTAACATTAACACTAGTGATCAACCAATTAAACCTATCTTCCCTTTGGAGGCTTAGTTTAATTGGGGTCAAAAGCTTCCTCCTTCACCACCAAAATTGCCTTTTCTTCTTCTTCTTCTTCATCATCATCTCTCTTCATACAAACCCACATAATTAGTTGAACAAACTCAAATAATTTAAAATTCAATTTTTCAGATCACGTCTTAACTAATCCCGTTTGTTGAACTGCACAGTCAAAATTACCATATACCATAACCCCTAGAGTCCATAACTAACCCCATATGTAAGTAATTACTAAATTTTTGCATTAATATTCTTTGCGGTGACATTCGCTTCCACACATCAAAGTGAAACAGAGGACTTCATTTTTATTTATTTTGCATTTTATGCCTATTGACATTCCAAAAGTCTCCTGTCGAAAATTCAGAGAGAATCATTCAAATTGAATTGACATATAATGCGACTTGTCAGAGATATTGAGTCATAGAATTTTTCCGTTCTCTACCTTGATCAAGATATCCTTTGTTTCGCCAAAGAAAAATTGATTAAATTATCAAAAAATTAGAATATGAAGTGACAATGAAGTGCAATTAGAATATGCTTTGAAGGTATTCAGATTAATATTATCAATTAGAATAATTTGTGATTAGCTTGTTTGGATCAATAAAATGAAGTATCCAGACAGAATCATTTACTTTTCCACTCTGAAGCAAAAACTTGTCCTCGCATTACATGTCAGAAGAAGCCTTTTTTTGTGCTTCCGTCAAAACTAAATAACAAACATTACAAAGCTGCACTAAAAATTAAATCACAGAGTATCGTTGTTGTTTGGACTTTGAGCACTAGCTAGACATCTCCATCATACTGTCCCCTACAGGTAAGTGGAACCACTGCTGGGTTAGAAAATGCATTTCTTTTTCATTTTCTAATTTGTTAGAGAGAGGGTACGCCGCCCTGAGAAAAGAACATCACATTCTGGGTGTAAAAACCCCAGAAATACAATCAAGCATTAGCTTCAAACAAACAAAGGGAGCTTCATTGCAGTACAAAACTTCAACATCTAAGCAGTAACCTTGATTCGCCATCCAGTCCACAAAGCAGTGACGAGTCAAAGCTACCCTTGCCACAGACGAGGAAAAAGGCAAAGGTAGGTTAGAATATGATTCGGTTTCAAACGACATCGAGTTCAATGGCTATGAATTCAAACTGATCTTTTGCCTTGCGCAAAACACAAGAACAATATCTTTGCAACAAAATTATAAATTTGTGTCCCAAAATGAGTAGTTGTTATCCAGCTACTAATCTTAAGTTTTCCCATTAGTTGCAGCAATATTGCCAACAATCAAACTGAGATAAGAGAATTAAACAAAGTACGAGAATAAGATGCCTTCTCCAGCAATTCACTCTACCTAGCTCTTTGTAACAACAAATAAAACCCAAAAGTGGTTATCCTCGTCTGGATGTTACAATAACAAGACACCAATTTGTCACATGAAACAGTATGGTGGAAGAACAAGAAGGTTTCATCTCTGGAAAACTGTACCTCAACATCTTGACTGCTACTTCATGTGGGCTTTTGGAACTTCCCATGAACCCATACCCTCTGCATGCTCTTCCCTTTACGGCGATTCTCAGACTTGACACAACAATACTCAAGCTCAAGCTGTAAGTGCACAAGTGAAGCAGCAGTCAAAAGAGAGTCTTTTGAAGTCTAGATTCCAAACAGAAGTATTTATGTTTCAGTTTCCAGCAAGTCAGAGTATTAATTAACAACTTTAAGACTCGATAACAACGGAGTACCAAACAATAATTTCAGTTCCAGTTGCTTGGCAGCAGCCATGCAGACCTAATAGAAAGCAAAAGTATAAACCATAGAAATCTGGAATGCAACAACAGTTTGCAAAATCCCAATAGAAGGAAAAAAACAAGTACCTCAACGAATCCTACACCCACAAAAAGATCTCTAACAGTATCCAGACAGAAGAAATAAGAACGAGTTCCATCTGATCGCATGTATTCTCGGAACCCCACTCTCTTTTCCGGCTCAAATCGCAGCATAGTCATGTCATAGAGCCCTGAATTTCGTCAAACTAAACATCTGTCAGCATTATATGAAGTAGTTGCAGAAATACAGAGAGTGTATGGAAAGGACGAAAAAAGAGATACAGATATATGGTATTAATTAATCATTTTTTACTTTACAATTACTGGTCTTATGGTTGTAATTCTATTACCATAATCCCTGAAAAGGAGCAGGCCACCAGGCTTCAGGACAGAAAAGCACTCCATGATGGCTGTGGGCATTCTTTTTAGGGGCACTGCTGATAGTGTGAATATCTGGCATAATACACAAGAACAGAAGCACCTCAATTAACAATTATCATTGCTTTCCAACAATTTGCAAAACAAACCACCAGAACATGGAAAAGCTAATAACCATTGTTAATGGTGGGATCATGAAATGATATGAAAAATGGAAAATTGTTCTCTGTTTTAATTTTTTACTTTGTTTGGCATTGATGATAGTTCATTAATGCATGAGACTGAGTACATGAAATGAAGCAATATACTACCGAAGTATAGATGATCTCAGAACTGAAAACACTGAAATTATCTTTAGATATAAAGAGAATGTCAAATGTGAAAAACTTAGCATTTCCAAGCAACACCTTGGGTTTGCATAGAAACTATGGCTTCATTATGCAAACAAGGAATCTGATCAGGACAAAAGGAGTGGGAGTTGGGGTCACAAAAGAATATGCAAAAACAGTATATTCAAGAACAATGTGGGTGTTAATAATGATGATTGACACCAAAACATGGATGCAAAAGATGAGTGAGAAACTTATAATTCATTAACCAGATGGTATGAGAAACTTAGAAACGTCCACCCTCAATCTTGCCTCTATTCTTAAACTTTGTTTTCTCAGCTAGTTCTTATAAGAATTCAACAGAATTTCCTTTACAAGAAAATCTTAAGTGAGAAGTTATGCAAGGAAAAAAAAAAAAACACACTTTTTCATTACTCTTCTGCAATAAATTTAAACTTTTCCTGCAAAGCATTAACCATGCCACACAAAAATGTCATCATTGAACCACTACATGAAGTCCATGGTTGGTGAATCCATGATGGCTGCTGCATCTACTCTATGTTCCAAAGATCTTCTCTCTCTTCTTCTTTTTTTTTTTTTCCAAAGAAATGATGATCTTTTATTGCTTGTTATGGTGCCAGTATTAGATTGATGTGATTTTAATTATCCATTAAATTTATGTGAGATATCCTATAGTAACTTGTTTGCTATTCTACCTTGCAACAACCACATGCTTCGTAGTGGGTTAGATGGATATCAGCAACAGAAGAAAATATACCATAGTAACAAAACTTGATAGCAAAGAAGAAAGCATACCAAAGTAACAAAATCAACCCCACCAATGCAACAGCCGCATTCTCTAGACAAATATAAGCCACTCTTATCTGCCACGCCACCCTCTTTAACATTTGAAGAGGTGAACAGAATTAACCATATTGAAATTTACCCATGGTTACAATAGTACAGAATGAACAAGGAACACAAGAAAGAAGTACCTGCAGAGCATTGTTGCTGTTTCAGTGAAAAAATTTCTTTGCAAGAATCACAAACCAACCATTTTGGAAACCCAGTAAAAGCAAAATCACAAAAGAATGGGTGGAAACGGTTTTGGACTATGAATATATTAGTGGAATGAACAATCTCTTTAGCCCTCTCAAGAGTCTCACTGCTACAATCACAAGCATATACAATAATGTCCTTGTTGCCACTACAAAAAGAAAAAGAAAAGCTTTTCGTAAGGACAGAACACCAGAAGCATGATTTAAGGTCTATTAATGAAATGATATAGCCTGGTGAGAATGACATATTTATCCAAAAAATATCATTGACAGAAAGTAACTAAGTTTAACACATGCTGCTCAAATGCAAGAGCATAATCAGAGTTCCTAAATACAAGTTCACATCTTCAAGTTAATTACCAGTTAGTTGAATTTAAATCGAGGTATCACTACACATTTCCTAAATATTGTTGTAATCGATGTCACAATGTCACCAAAAAAATCATAACCCAATTTCATGACCCTCAGTAAATAAATAGTACATAAGAAATGATATCTAACGTGAAGTCAATACCAAATATGAGAAATTTTCCAACAACGACACTCCAAATGACGTAAATTATTAACATAGGACAGCAAATTGACAAAAAAGATGAAATTGTCGTCATTATTGAAGGACCATTTCCAGCAATGCTTTTGTTCCATCAGACTACCTTAAAAAGGAAAAGCCCTATATAGCCTCTTTTGGTCATGATTTTGTGTTACAAGTTATGAAATATATTTTTTCCGACAACAACTTATCAAATGTGAATTTTGTTAGAATACAAATCCGATTAGAACATAAATATTTTGCACCTATGTAGGCAAGCCTGTCGCCCACATATCAACACATCCAAGCTGCCTAAGTGAGAATTCAACCCCAACTACCCAACCCAAGTTCTCACTGCAGTCATTTAGATTCTAGCTGAAAACTTTGTATATGAAGTCCAAAATTGTAGTCATATGGAACGTCAAAGAACATGCTTGCAATTCCTATGTAAGAACACTTTCACAGAAAATCACAACCTTAAAACAGACAAAGAAAGCAAAGTTTTTTGTTGTTCTTTTAAGGTTACCGTAAGATAGGAATAACAGAACTGCCATTGCCACAGCCAATTTCTAAAACCTTTGAAAACTCTTTACAAGAAACCAACTCAGGGTATTCCTTCAACAAATACCTTCTCTCCTGCACTTAAAAATAACCCATTTCTTTAAATTCAAGAAAATGAATCCAAACCCAATTGAAAAAAATTAAAAAGAAAGTGAAGACCTTAAAGAATTTGCCAGAGGAATGGCAAAGATGGAACCTTTGCCATGCTTTTGAATCTTCACTTTCTTGAACTGCTTCTTGTTGAGAAGGAGAAGGAGGAGAAGTGAAAGGGAGTAAGTGGTATTGACAAGAAGGGTTGTTTTCTATTTCTTGTTTTAGTGTTTCCCACTCGAAGTCTTTGCAGAAGTACTCTGCTTCTGCTTTTGCTTCTGTTTCTTCACTCATTCTGCCTCTTTCTTTTCTTCTTAACCAGAGAAGCTATATTGTATATGTAACTCATTTGTCATAGACGACAAACCATGCATCATTTTACCAGCAAACGGCAAGTCATTCATTTTCCCTTCCGTGGAATGTTAGAGAATGGAAGGAGCATTATGCCAAGACAAGAGTACCATTTTCAAGAAAATGAAAATGAAAATACTTGTTGCAACAACAATCTTTGTATGGGATTGACAGGATAATTAAAGTTTTTTTTTTTTTTTTTTTTTTTGGCCATGGCTAGAAATGACTTTAATATTTTTAGGTGAAAATAATTTGTTTTGGATCACATCCATAAATTTGTTTTAAATTTATATATTAATGTATATATAAGTTTTTTAGTTTCTATCGATATGGTATTCATTAATTAAAATTTATTTTTAACTTTTGACTCTACATAAATCTTTTTAATTAGAAATCACGTTGGACTTAAATCAAAAGAATTAGTCTAAAATTGAATTTTTCTTTTTTCAAAAAAATATAAGTCATTTTTTATCAAACATATTTCTACCTTAAATTCTCTATATGATAGATTACTAAAAAAAATAGACCTTTGAATATCATAACTTAATCTCAAAAGTTACTTTCCATGAATTGTGTTAAACAAATTGTAAATTTAAGATTCATCCGTACATAAAATAATATAGTATTTATAAATAAATAATATAACTAATATTATCTACATAGTAAATTTCGATCATAACTTGATAAGATGAGAATAATTTCAAAATATATAAGAATGTGAAACGCGATATTCTTTATCAAGTATGCCATGACCATGAGCATTTTCTGTAAAAAAATAAAAAATAAAAAAAAGTCTAGATGCTATTGTAGTCAAACAAGAAAAAAATATATATATATATATTACGTGAACAAATAATTAAATTTTTTTTATTTTCTTTTTACCTTCGGTTTGGTTTCTTCAACCAACAAGGCCTCTAAAGCCCATATTTAGATAATTGGTCCAAAGAACTAAAACCCTAGTGCAAGAGGCCTAAACCTGGCCCAACAAATCAGACACCCCCCCCCCCCCCCCAAAAAAAAACAAACAAACAAAAGCTTCAAGCAAGCACAGTAAAATAAAAGAAAGGAAAAAAAATGAAATTTGTTGTTAAAATGCAATATTTCTCTATCTCGAGAATTGAAAAACTAGTTTTTGGGTATTTTAAATTTATACTGAGTTTCAAAAAACACATCTTTTAGGTTCTTTATTGTTTTATCTTTACAATTTTTTCACTGTTTTTTAAATGAAAAAATAAAATAAAATGATGAATAATACCATATTTTTCTTTTATATACAAATACTTTTTATCAATATAAAAAATTAAATTTTCTTCTTACATTTTCATATTCAGTTAATGTCATAAATTTATTTATTGTTATTATAAATCTAATATAATAAAATATTTCCTTTTTTAATTTACGAGAATAATTTTTTCATGATAATTTTTAATTTGAATTAAATAAAATAATATTTTATAATTAGATTATCATAATTACAAAATATTAAGAAAATTAATATAAATTATGGTTTTGGTTTTTTATGAAAAATAGTAATAGTCTTGACGTATTTTTTATTATTTTCGGTGAAAAATTCTTCTTCGTTTTCAATAAAAGAACATATTTTTCAATTTTCCATTGAAAAGAAAAACTAGAAAAAAATGAAAATGAAAAAAGAAAATGGTTTTCTATTTCTGAACAGGCCATAAGAAATGCAGCACGCCCACTTGGAATTGTAGATCATCCAAATTCCATAGTAAACCATTTTTTTGAAATTGTAGCTTTTCCTATAGGAATTCTTGCAAGTTTTTTTTTTTTTTTTGTCAAAGAAAAATTAAAATATAAGTAGGTTATTCCACGCTTTTTAATAGAGAATATTAAGCCTACTCACACCAACTTTCCATTCTTTTCGTTAAAGAATTTATCTCGTAGTGCTTAAGAGCATTGTTATCCATATTTGCTGGAGCAATTAATTGCTTTGTGTGGATGGAGTAGCCATAATTAAAAGTAGGAACATATGTCAAAGGCAAGCAAAAATAGTTTTTAAGGATCCCATCAACAAAGGTGGCCCTGGATAGCATCCTTAATCCGAGACAACCTTAGCTAGCCACTTATGAGTGGGGAGAGACAAGTGATGGAGCATAGTCCACAGCCTTTAATCATGATAGATACTACTGTTAGAGATAATATTTGATGTTTATCTAAAGTCTTAGGTTTATCTGCAGGTTGTTCGTAATTATTAAAATGGTAGCTTTAAGCAAAGTAATATATAGTTATGTGCTGTTACAATTAAATAATTTAAAACTATCATGTATTCTTGTTGAATAATTCTAATAGATATCGTGCAAAATACTAGACTTTTGATTATATATATATATATGTATGTATAATTCCACCCATTAGTATTTTTTTCTTTCTTTTTCAATATAGGATATAAAGTCTATTTAAAAACACATTTTTCACCGTATTTAATTTAAATACACTTAAATTATGTATGCAAAACAAGTCTTAGTACGTTTTTATATTTTTAATTCTAACTTGGTATCAAAACAAGCACTCAACCCAGCCATTCTTTTACCGTCAAACTTATATCTGAAAACTGTAAAATATGAAAAAAAATCAGTTTGAACCTCTTTTAAACTGCTAAAATTTTTAAGGGCTTTACAGATTACACTCTTGCTACCCCTCTTCTTCTAATACTAATCCCAAAACTTCTATCTTGCAATCTAATTTTACTTATAATGAATGGTTCAAAAAGGATCAAACCTTATTGTCTTGATTGGTTATTGTCCGTATTGACAGAGGAAGTATCTAGTTATATATGTTGTTGGCTTCAAGAGTTCATATCAGCTTTGGCAAGCCTTTAAACAGCCGTTTGGTTTTGTTTTTGAACAACGCCAACTACACCTGCTATACAGTTACAAGAGTTAAATACTAAGGACAAGACCAGGATATTTAAGAGGGTGCAATAACAATTTCAGAGAAAACAACAAATTAATACAACAGGAGAAGGAGCTCGTGTCAGATTTGCATATTGCACAACCATACAGCAGACAGGTGCAGAAAATTCTATGGAACTATATGTTATCAGGGTTTTTTTTTTTTTTTTTTTTATTTCATCCTCATCATTTCTTTATTAAGGATTAGAATGCCAAACAGCTACTTTTATGAGGCATATCTGAGGATGGCATTTATAAATTCTATGGAACTTTGAGGTCGATTCCAAAAGCATTTCTTGGAGCAGAACTTTATTTTGATCTATGACATGCTAGATTGGAACACCCTAGTTTTCAAGTTGTCAAAACTATAAATTTATATTGTCCTTCATCTTCCAAAAATAATTGTAGTTCTTTCCTTTAGGCAAATCGTCTAGGATTTTACGTACGTTCAAGTGCAAACAATTCTAATAGTTTTCCTTTGGAATTAATTTATTCAGATGTATAGGATCCTGATCCAATTTCATCTTTTAATGGTCATATATATTTATTTTTGTTTTATTAATCGATGAATTTTCTTTATTCACATAGTTTATCCTATTAATTGGAAAAATGGTGTTTATGTTATCTTTTTGCAATTTCAGACTTGAGTCGTGTGGACATGAGCTGTCAGTGTAATCGGAATAATTGTAGGAACTGATTTCGTGACTATAGCAGTCTGTCCAGGATAGGAGTCTGTGCAGGAATATATAGTTTCCTTTCCTTGAAATAACTCTCGTTCATATAGGGCTCTTTCCTATGTTGCAACTTAGTGTGCCTATATATTACCTCTAAATTGGAGAAGAATATACGCAGAAAAATTAAACTTGCGGAGACCATGTCGAAAAATAATTTAGTTCTAAAATCAAAGCTTTTCAATATGACTGGGAAGTATAATTTTGTTCCTTAACTTCTTAGTTTTAAAAACATGGTATTCAATACAAGATTGGTTGTCCACAAACACACGAATATAATCGAACTTCAGATTAAAAAAAAAAAAAAAAAAGACATTTGGTTGATATAGCTAGGTTTAGCTCTTTGAGCTCATGGTTATACTCCTTTTAAAATTTCAGAACTTTGCTTTTGAGATTGCTACTTATCTTATAAGTAGGTTTTCCTCACTTGTTCTCAATCACAAATCTCCTTAAGAAAAATTGTTTAATAAAAAACTAAATTATAATTTTTTTAGGGTTTTTGGTTGTGCTTTTTCCCCCCTTATTATGTCCATATAATATTTATAAATTTTCACTCAGAAGCAAAAAATATGTCTTTCTTGGTTACTCAAATCAATATATGGGTTACAAATGTTTTGATACTACTTAAAAAAGAATGTACATTGCTAGACATGTAATATTTATTGAATTTTTATTTTTATTTTTGGCGTCTCAAACTTGCAGGTCATCACTTGCTCCTTCTCTACAACTTTGGCTCACGGTTCCATCGATCTCTCATCTCAAATGATCCTCTTGTCTTGCAGAAGTCACCTCCAATTACTCCACCTTCATAATCAAACAATACCTCCACAAATACTACTACTTCATCCGCTCCAAACATCCCATTACTAATATTAAATCAACACCAGTTTTAAGCCCAACTCATACTAAAACACAAAATTCAACCAATGCTACTCCCACTACTTCTCGATTAGTTATAACTTTTTACTCTAAAGTGCTATTTGGTTATCGGGAATAGAGTGATTGAAATGAAAATAATAGTTTTATTCTATTTTGTAGTTTTTCGGTTGAAATAAATAAAGTGAGAATGAGAATGAAAAGTGAGAATGGAAATAAAAATTACATACAACTTCATTCCCATTTAAAATGTAGGAATAAAAACAAAAAATGAAAATAATTTTTTTTTTAAAAAAAATATATATATTTATTTATTGTATATTAACTACTTCTACTACCACCACAACTACCACTACCATAACTACCATCACCACCACCAACACCATCACTTTTATTATTTTTTCAACCATTATGGCTTGATAAAAAAAATTTTATAATCATTATTTTTATTTGTATAAAAAATCAGATATTAAAAAATTTAAATTACATTTTAATTTTTTATTAGTATTCCAAACACAGTATGAAAATGCAAATGTTATTTCGATTTCTTAATTTTCATTTCGATTTCTGTATTTTCATTCCGAACATTTTATTTTTGATAACCAAATGATACCTAAAAGTCTCAAAATATGTGCTGAATTTACTTATGATCCTATGAGTCAGCTGATAAGGATAACTCATTACTTGTCTTTATACTTTACGTAACTAATAGAAATATATTATTATTATACTTTTTGTAGTTATCTTATACTTTTTGTAGTTATCTCTAGCTGTCACAAATTAGTATATATATTTACTTCTGTAAAGATTATAAAATGTGAGTCAATAAACTCTTTCTTGGTATCTAAGCCATTAGAGACTTAACAGTCCACGATATTTTTTTTCAAACTCACCATGTAGCCACTAATACCCCATCCGATCAAAACCTCAAAACCTTCTGCTGGCTGCTCCCTTTTTGTCAGTTGCTATCCCAACTTCTCTTCCTAATCTCCATAACCCATCCATTTTCAAACTTACTTCCATCAACTTCATCCTATGACATAAACAGCTTTACTCTCTTTTACGATGTCATGGTCTTCTCCACCATGTTGATGGATCTCATTCTTCACCCAATCCTACGCTTGACAATAACGAACCTAACCCGTCTTTTGTAAGCTGAGAACGTCATGATCAATTCGTTCTCACTTGGATTGTTGGTTCTGTAACAGAGACTGTCTACCTCTCGTTGTTGGGGCCTCTATAGCTCGTGGGGCTTGGTTAAAATTGACAGCTGCATATGGTTCTAACACCTGAACCAAAATTAATCATTTAAAAAGCAGCTTATATCGCCTTGTCTAAAGGACAACTGGATTTTTTCAACAGTACTTTCAGTAAGGGAAAGCCATCTTTGATGTCCTTCATTCTCTTAGTTCTCCAATTCCCACAGATGACTTTGTTCAAATCTTACTCTATGGCTTTGGTCCTCCTTATAGGCCTTTCGTATAAGCAATTGAATCTCGTCATGAGACTGTCTTATAAAACTCTTTATGGTCTTACTCTCAGTGAAGAATTTCAACTTCACGACACTATTCAACTTGTAGAATTTCCAATTATTATGCTAGCCGTAAGTATCCTACTCGTGGTCGAAGACGTCATGGTGGGCATCCTTTCACTTATGGTTCTCTCTCAGGACCTTCTTATCCCCATGACAAGCATTCTGATTCCAATAGTGTGGTATGCTATAATTGCAACGGCAGTGGCCATCTTGCAAACATCGCCACATGTTAAAACCAGACTAGCCTTTCTCCATCATGCCTCTGTTCTTCTATCATCTTGGACCTATGCCTTTGATGCTTCCATTTATGCCATAAACAGACTTCCCACACCCTGCTTACAAAACAATTAGCCTCGCTACACTCTTTTTGGAACACCCTCACTATACAATAACTCAAATTAAGTTTTTAGTTGTATCTGTACGTTGTCCCTGGTTATACCTATATGCTCGCCATAAACTTACCCCACGTTCTTCTGTTTGTTTTTCTGCTTGTGTTTTTTGGGGATTACAGCAAAGTTTATAAAGATGATATTTGCTATTCCATTTTAATGAAAAAAAAAAATTTATCTCACGTCGTATCTTATTTAATGAATAAATTTTCCACCTACTTCGTGAAGTCTGAGTTAGTCCGTACAATATAATCGTCTGAGACTTATGGCATGCCTATACCAGTACCGACGTCCCTTCCATTTTATAGCTCTGTGTCTTTATCTTGAAATTTACCCGACTCACCTTTTACAATAAAGCAGCTCGTGCCACTTCAGCCAAGGCCGAACAGCTCACCCATTAATACACAGCGCCCCGCGTCACTTCACCTCAGCCCAGCGCCACTTCCATTGTGGACTTCCTAAGCTGTACAGGATGTACTGTTTGAATAGTATTCTGATAAGGAACCATTATGCCTACAGAAGCTGACCCATCAGGATCAGAAGTAAATTCAACACATATTTTGGTCTTTTAGACGGCTAGACATGTTTAATGCATTCTTGCAAGGTACCATTGTTGAAGATGTCTACATGACTAAATCCAAGGGATTTGAGGATTATTCAAAACTAGATTTAGTTTTTGCTAGCTCCAGAAGTCCTTATATGGACTCAAACAAGCTCCACGAGCTTGGTTGTGGAGCTTGGTTCCAAAGGCTATCTACTTTTTTTATTAGCATTAGTTTTGTTGGGCTCAACGACATGCCTCCCTGTTTATATACAAGTACACCTTTGTACGCGTGTATCTACTCATATATATTGATGATCTTCTCATTATGGGCAATGACCAAGTTACTATCAACAACATTATTGGATCAATTAGCAAAGAATTTGCTATTAGAGACTTGGGTCCATTGCACTATTTTTTGAGGATTGAGGTGCAACATACATCTACTGGTTTATTTAAGTCTCAACACATATAATTGAAGGATCTTTTGAAATGGTTAGCATGACCGATTGCAGCCCCATAATAACTCATATTGTGATCAGCTTTTCATTATTGTCCAAAGACCAAGGATCCGCATCAGTATAGAAGTGTGATAGGGGCTCTACAATAAGGTATAACCTTACTAGACATTGCTTTCTCTGTCAATAAGTTGGATCGGTTTCTTCACTTTTCTGTTGATGTGTATTGAAAGGTTGTCAAATGATTACTCAGGTATATCAAATACACTTTGTCCTATGGACTACAGTTCTCTATAAGTTCCTCTATTCAACTGCAAGTTTTCTCTACCAGTGACTTTGCAATTTATTTGGGGCATAATTTGATCTCATAGTCTGCGAAGAAATTAAAAATCATTGCTCATTCATCAACCGAATCCAAATGTAGAGTTGTTGCCAATGCTACAACTGAATTAATCTGGTTATAATCTTTGCTACAAGAACTGAATATTCAGTCTAACTCATATCCAGTTTTATAGTGTGGTGATATAGGAGTCATTTATCTCTCTGCTAATGTTCCATGCAAGGACTAAGCACATTGGGATAGATTTCTTTCTTCGAGTAAGAGACTTGGTGACCAAGAAGCAACTTCAGGTCAGGTATCTTTCTTCGAAGGATCAAATTGCAAATGTTATCATAAAACCATTGAGCAAGGATCGATTTGCCTTTTTACGTGGCAAGCTCAGACTACTTTCAAAAGAGTCTTTTGCTTGTGAGGATGTTAGAAATTATGTTAATTTAAATCCGAAGTTATCAGGTTTTGTAAAGATTAGAATGGTACGTAGTTCAGACTATTCTATCTTAAGCAAACTAATTGATAATTATATTGCAGTTAAAATTAAATGTTTTAAAGCTATCATAAATTTCTGTAAACTGTATATACAATCTGCAATACAAGTCTTCGTACTGTTTTACTATAATTAATTCCAACTGCCACCAGCAACCATATTCTACTAGATCATTAATGAGCACATGATGGGAGTGGACCTGTAGGTGAAGAATTAAAAACAAGGACAAATGATAAGTCAAGACTATCGAAGTTAATTTCCGGTGGCAGTTGTCAACTATTTTTAATGCAAAGGACTTCGAGGAATTACAAGAAGGCTTTTTTTTAGATTTTCTAAAAATTTTCAGATTTAAAAATTTAAATTAATTTTTTATTTTTTTATTGAATACAGAAGATAATTATTCAAAAAAAATTAAATTTATTTTAACAATTGAAATTCATTCCACTCAAACAGCTTATTTTTTTAATCATTTTACTCAAATGTTTTATCATTATGTGTTAAAGTAGCTTGGTTCCTTGTTAAAGTTTTTGACCAGCCAGTGGCACCAATATTTGTCATTCAGAATTTAGACTTTATTAAGAAAAAATAAAATAATAAAAATACGCTACCAAATTTAAATATTAGAATACATATTTTTAAATACATAATTCCCGTTAAAAATATGTCTTAAAATCATATAAAAAATAAAAATAGTTTAATTGATAAGAAATTGACTTAAAACACTTTTTATCATTGAAAAAAAAAATTTCATTTCTTGCAATAAGAATAAAATAACTAAAACCCTTTAACAGTGGAAAAAAAAAACCTGAACTGCGAAATAGGCAACTGCGTGCTGTTGTATGCTGTCATGTATTGAAATGAAACTTAAAAAAACTAACTGCAAAATAACCTTCAGTTCAACAAAATCGAAGTTCATAATTCTACATGCATGACATATAGTTCAGAACATCGTAATTAAGCGTATCTGCTATCCCTCCTTGTAAGAGAAGAGGATTTCGAATCACTCCTCCATCAAATCCCATCAGTAGGCATCTCTCTCAAACATTATAAAAGCATACCCAGGAAACTGGTAATTTTCAAGACAGCCTTAACCATTCGTTGTGCAAATACGTTGCAATCCTCTTTGTTTAGCCCTCAACTACTTTCAACCACTTTCCTAATTATGACAGTTCCATTCATGATGGCAATAGTGACACTTGTCAATCTCATATTGTATAATATCTACTACCAGTACATGGCCATTAAATTCCAATTTTTTTATTTATTTAGCAAGTACGAAATTTATCTCCATGCACCAATTCAATTTCCAAGACTCTATGACCTTCCCACAAACAGGAGTTTATCTATATTTAGCTGTCTCTAAATTGTCAAATATTAGCAATTATTCAAACTTTCTATTTTACGGTTTACTAAAAACTAAATTAAAACACATTTTAGTGCACTAATTATTAGTTTTTCTTATTATATCTTAATAGGATTCTTTATATAATATGGACAGAATGTATAAAGGGAAAGCGATCTTGACGTCTTGCTCCTAAAATTAATAATGGCAGAAGCACCAAGAACAACTCCTCGCCTCTCATTAAAGGCCAGGCTCCTCCTCGCCGCCCACTCTTTCGGGGTGCGGGCTGCAACCCGTTCCGACCACACCCTAAACCGCAGCCTAGTGAACATCTTCGATCCCAAAGCCTCTGCTTCCGCCAAACCAATCAATGGAGTCTCCTCTTTCGACACCAGTATCGACCCCACCCGCAACCTGTGGTTCCGCCTCTACGCCCCAACATCCACAGCCACCACCGCTGCTTTGCCTGTGATCATATATTTTCATGGTGGGGGCTTCGCGTTCATGGCAGCGAACTCAAAAAGCTTTGACGTACTCTGCAGGCGACTTGCAAGCGAAGTTAATGCAGTTGTTATCTCGGTAAATTATCGGCTTGCTCCCGAGCATAGGTATCCATGTCAGTACGAGGATGGCTTTGATGCATTGAAATATATTGATGGCATGAGCTTTGAGAAATTCTCGACAAATTTGGACCTTGGAAAGTGTTTTATAGCAGGGGACAGTGCTGGAGGGAACTTGGCTCATCATGTGGTGCTCAAAGCTAGTGAACACGCATTTTCTAACATGAAAATTTTGGGACTTATAGCGATGCAGCCATTTTTCGGAGGGGAAGAAAGGACAGAATCAGAAATCAAGCTTGTTGGGGTTCCTATAATATCAGTGGAGCGTACAGACTGGATGTGGAAGGCCTTTTTACCGGAGGGATCGAACCGAGACCACCAGGCGGTTAATGTTTCCGGACCAAATGCGGTGGATATTTCAGGTTTGAAGTTTCCTGCTACGCTAATTTTTGTGGGAGGGTTTGATCCCTTGCAAGATTGGCAAAAGAGGTACTGTGAGTGGCTGAAGAGGGCTGGAAAAGAAGTGCATTTGGTTGAGTATCCAAATGCGTTTCATGCATTTTATTGCGTACCTGAATCACCTGAATCTTCTTTGTTGATCGGTGAGGTGAAGAATTTTGTGGAAAAGCAGTCAGCTCTTGCATAGGTACATCAATTGGAATTATTATTACTGTAATGATCGTATTAGTTAAAGTTTTCAAGAGAGTTATCCTAATTACCAAGCATTTGAAAAGTTGTTGAGGTAGATCCATGGAATTGCTATAATGTCCATATATATTAAATCATATTGGTTTTCAATTTCATCGTCTCTATTTACTTCTTCCAATTAATGTTATACATAAATCTAATGTCGTAATCGAATAGATTCATGTAAAAAATTTCTGCATCCAACCCATGCCTGCAATATGAGGGAAAGAAACGAGCCAACTTTCCGGTTCATCAGCCAATTTGTCCCATATATAATGCCTAAAGAGGATGGTTATCGCTGAATCAGCTGTTTGAAGTTTCCTGCTACGTTACTTTTTGGAGGGAAAATTCTACAATGTCTGAACTACCTTGGGGCGATCAATGCCTTTGCCTCTGTTTGAAACAAACCTTGCAAAATAAATTTGAAGGGTTTAGAATAATTTATGTTATGGGTTAGTCGTTCCAGATTTTTTTTTTTTTTTATCTTATCTTATCTTTATTATATTTCGTTATGTTTAATTTCTGTCTTAATCTCTTTTTTTCGGTGACTTTTAGACTAGCGTCTTCTTCTTCTTCTTCTTCTTTTTTTTTTTTTTTCTGTTTTAATCACATTATTTTATTCTATTTTTCTGTTTTAATCTCTTTTTTTTACTGAATTTAGATAGATAAATTTTGAAGGAAAAAAATTAAAAAAAAAGGCAAGGATATAAATATGTTCTCTAATTTCAATTATTTTTTTGCCCTTAATTCAAAAACAAATTACGCCGACAACTAGTTTTTACCTAAAACTAACGGGGAAAATCCGGCATTATATTGGTTAAGAACACGGTTAAATAAACCATATTATCACAATGAACTTATAAACGATTTTATTAGCAAAATTAGGAAATACATGAATTTGAAGAGTTTAGATTTAGAAAGAAAAAATAAATTTTAGTCTAAAATAGTTGTTTGAAGATAGTTTTTGAGGTCTTATTTGAGGATAGAAGGTTTTGGGGAGTGTGTGATTTTTTTTTTTTTTTTCCGGTAACATTGCTGGAATGTAGCGAAAATTCCAGATTCTGGATAATTTTGTAGAATCCGGAAAAAAACAAAAAGACAAGATGCATTTTGGTCCTTGAACGTCCAGATCCTCTATTTTTATATACTGTTTCATTTTGTCCTCAAACTTTTAATTTGTTATTATAACCCCTAATCCAAATTTTCTTGATCGTCAAATTTGGTTTTAAAACTTATCTTCTCGCTACCTGATATATAGTACTTCTAACCGATTACATACCTGATATATAGGACTTCTGACCGATTAAAGAAATAAATTACGAAGTTCATTCTAATTCTAAATAATTTACTAAAGAAATATTGTTAGCCCAAAAATTTCTACATTTATTTTCAAACTTATTGGTAATTCTAAATTATTTACTAAAGAAACATTGTTAGCCAAAATATTTTTACATTCATTTTCAAACTTATTAGTAAATCAAGATATCGTGAATTTAGAGTTAATTTAGAAAAATTAACTCTCCATATTTTCTGCAAAAGTATTTTGGGCACTTAAGATTTTATTATTTATTTAAAGATTATATTAAATTGATTTTGGATCCTCATATTAATTTAATATTAAATTCAATTAAATCCCGACATGACATCATCGACATGTCGAAACAATTTAACAAGTTGTGGTTTGTTAATTAAATATTTGGGTCATAAAGAGCCCAACACACATTATTACACATTCATTTTTTGCTCATTAAAAATAAAATTGATTTGAGACCGATGTTGGTCCCTAAAAACAAAAAACTCATTGGATCAACAAACAATTTCTAATTAGTAGTTGTCTAAGTTATAAATAGATTTTATTATTCATCGCAATTGAATGTAACACTTTATAAAAGATCTTCATCGGTCTCTAAAATCTAGAAGAATCGTCAACCCCACATCGTATGAGATATAAGTAAAATCGTGTAATTAATTACACCACAAAATATCCATAACCATGACATAAAAAAAAAATCAAAACAAATATTAAATGAACTTGAAAATTAATTTTGCGGTAACACAAGGACATGTAAATCTAGAATGTGGTAAAAAAATTAAACCAAAATATCAATATTAGTCGTGCAAAATAAATAAATAACCAAAACAATCTCTGAACATGGCAATTCCTTCAAAATTAGGGACATAATTGAAACATCAATTATTGTTAAGCACCAAACTGAAATAACCTAACAATTACATGGACTAACAGCTTAAACCTAGACATAAATCCAAATCATGCTTGAATGGCACTTTCAGTTTTTAGACCTCACTCTCCTCCTTATGTTTTAGTTCCTCCTTTTCTCCCTAAAACGCAAAAATCAGATTCATCTCCACCTCTTTCTCTTCTGGCGTCCCTCTCTCTCTCTCTATTTCGTTTTTTCTTTCTTTTGTTCTTTCTTTTAATGCTGCGTGTCCTCATGGCATGTGGTATTGGCCGGGGATGGCCTTTGCAATGAAGAAACGGACTATGATAAGATGCCAAGAAATAAAACCAAAATTATATCATATGTTTGGTTGTATGAGATTAGAATTGTCCTTAAAACAATTGATACGGCTAATGCATCCAACCCTTTATGCAGTATTATAGCCAGTTGGCCGCTCGGAATAGTATAATGATAATAATTAAAAAATAAAAAATAAACTTCTCAATTTCAATATTTCAATTATAACAACAATTATCTAACTAATTAATTAGTTTCTTAAACATATAAGGACTAATTTATAATTAACTTGATAATTATTTTCATGTATGCATATTTTTTTTTTTGAAATCTCAAAACATCTTAAATCTAAAGGTCCGAGACTAATTCTTCGTTGCTCCGTCAAATACATAAGACGAATATAATTATTTAAAGAGTTTTAAATTATAAAAAAACTCGAACTCTAAACTACTTAAGTGACTAAAATTTATTTCACTCAAAACAATTCGCTTGAGTATTATCATGCATACTTTTGACTTTAATGAAAAATGCTAATGATTTTCAAACAACACATTTCAATACAACAAAAATCAAAACCACATGAACCTAGTGACATTAAACCTATCAAAGTCTAACAATGTAGCTAGAATTTATTCCACTCAAGACAATCTTCTAGAGTATTGTCATGCACACTTTTGACTTTAATGACAAATGCTAATGATTTCTGAACAGCATAGCTCAATACAACAAAAAATCAAAACCACATGAATCATAATGCCATTAAACCTATCCAAGTCTAGCAATCTAGCTTTACACACAAGAGGCTTATCCTTCTAAGACCTAAATACCTGGTCCAAAAAACAATGGCCTAGACTAGGACCGGGCGTAAAAGAGTTACATGCCAACATGCTTTTTATAAATGTCAAATGAAGTTAAGTGAAGTAGGGTCCAATCTCAAATGGTTCCATGTTATTGTTAGCACGTGCCTGAGTCTCAAGCTACTGCGATCCAAATGCAAATCACGTTTTGATGTTTCAACTTTCATGTTTGATCAAAGTGGCCACCCTTTGTTCAGTGAATGCTAAAAGTTTTAATTTCTCCGCAGAAAGATGAAAGGTGCAGCAGACATAAATCACAGACCAACACAGATGCAGCCAGACTATCTTTAACCTGTTTGAAGTAGCAGTAACTAGCAATAAAAGAGTAAAAGCAACTGAGCCAGCAACCGGCCAACTAATGTTCTTTGAACTTTGCATAAAAAAATCTGCATGACATGTTTTGAATAAAACTAGAAACCAACTGCAAACATAATCTTAAGTTCGACTAAATTGAAGTTCATTATTCAACATGACTCGCATTTTTAAATTCAGGACATCATCTAACCTTTGACTCAACATTCTTTGCAAAACCACCCAGTAGACCTATAGCCTTCAACACAACAAAGATAACAGGACCAAAAGTAAACAACAGAAGATCGGCTGGAATGTTTTATCGCTCAAAACATAAAGTTTGTTCCCATGGAATGACAACTTGGTTGAATCAAAAGAAAACAATAGAAGATCGGCTACAACTTTTTAGAAGAGACTAGTTTGAAGACACATCAAACAATGAGGAAAGTCTAATCTATCTGTATTAGTTAGCTTCTGTGGATCATATTCAAGTTTGTTATATAAAAAAGTTATTTCTCATGGGTCATTATCCATTCTATGAAATTCTAGCAATAAAGCTCGACAAGGGAAATGGTTAGAAAAATGTAAAAGTTTACACTTTGTATACCATGAAGTATAATGCTAAGTTAAACATCTCCGTGCTGGGCTTGGTGAAAAGCTGACTGAAGATCCCTGAAAGATTGTTCTATAAACCAATGCCTTTGCAACTTATTTTCACAACCCTTCGCCGGCCCTCTGCAGAACTCTTCGAAGCTCATCTGCCATCCCTTGTAAGAGAACCGGTTTTCGAATCACTCCGTTCATTCCCATCTGTAGGCATCTCTCCCAAATATTATCTTCAGCACTGGCAGTCAAGGCTATAATCAATGGCCAATTACGACTACAGAACTTCCGGATTCGCTTCGCCACTTCGAAACCATCCATTTCTGGCATTTGAAGATCCAAAACAACTAGTCTGAAAGAATTTTCAGCAGAGCTAAGAGCACTAAGGCATTCAAACCCAGAGGAAACAGCAGTCACTTCACAACCTAACTTCTCAAGCAGTTTCTTTGTCACAGTCCTGTTTACATCATCATCATCAGTAAGTATAACACGAAGGCCTCTGAAGTGAGGATTGGAATTTGGTTGTTCTGAGGAAGTTCCCGGGGCAAATATGGCTCTTCCATAAGACAGTTGGATTTGAAACCGGAGAACCAGAGACATGCTCTGTGCAAAACCCAGGGGGTCCAAAGATATCCAGATATTGCCTTGCATCATCTACATAGACACTTTGTTTTAACAATGTTGCATAAAATATAGTTAATGCATCAAAAATCTTCTCTAGGAAGATAAATAAAAACAATGATAAAATAATAAAGCTCTTCAAGAATGCCACAGAGCAAAAAAAAAAGAGAGAGAGAGAGAGAGAGAAGAAAAAGTTCTTCAGTCCTATATGGAGGCACCATCTGATAACACAAATGGGATACAGATTACAGTTATGTTTGGTATGACTTTTGCAAATTGATTTGAGTTGTTTCCTAATTTTTTACTCAAAGAAAATTCATAAGTGTGTTTGGTAAGAAATAACTTTTGAGTTAAATAAAAAATTTGTTACAAAATTCAGTCAAAATTTTGCTTTAATCAAAAGTTAAAATTTTTAACTTTTAATTTACGGATTCCAACTTATACTATAAAAAGTTGCTTTGAGTCATTTTTAACAAACATACTTCTAAACTTAAAGTCATTTAACTCATCTTTGTCATAAGTTATTTATGAAAACAATTTTTGAATTATGACTCAAAGTCAAAAGTCATGCCAAACGGACTCTAAGAGTCCATTTATAAATGACTTATGGAGAATTATTTTCGACTTTGAGTTATAATTCAAGAGTTAATTTTCATAAATGACTTCAGACAAAAATAATTTAAGTTAAAAAGGATCATTAGCAGGCATTGACTCAAACAATTTCTTTGAAGAACGAAGAAGGTACAGGTTAGAATCAATAGGCTAACCTTTTGAGTAAATTCTAGAAATGAGTTTTTATTTAAGCAAGTTATTCTAACTAAACATACTTGCCATTTTTCTTTGAATAAAAAAAGTCAAAAAAAAAAAAAAAAAAACAACAACAACAACAACTTAAATTAATTTGCAAAAGTCATGCCAAACGGACTCTAATTTCATCCAGAGTAAAGAGATCTTTGAGCAATATTTCATGAGGTTATTTGGATGCAGAAGATAAAATTGTCAGAAATGGAACTAGCAAGGGAGATTGTCCATGGAATAAAGTCATATAGAAGTCTCCAATCTAATCAGATACACTTATAAGAAGTAAAGCATGATAACCATCCTTTAGATATAAACAATGGAGCCACCGCCACCACAAGATGTAGTAAACTTAAAAAGAAAGTGTTCTTTAATAAATTTTACTAGCAATCCTCTCCATGCAACACATTGTCATCTCTAGATGCATTTGAATGAAATGGCAACTTTGCACCTTAACAAGATGTCTGCTGCCATGACCTCTATTTCACAATAATGCAGCAATAATTAACAAAGAATGCCATATGTGTAGTCTACATAGATAAAATAATTTGTTATGCCTCACCTGTACAAGCCTTTTGCACATGCTGAAGCTGAGACCCTCCTTAACTTCAGCACTGTTTTGCCTCCTACCAGAAGCATTTGTGGTTGAGCTAGCTCCATCTGATAGAGAACTTCCCTCTCTGATCTCCATGTCAAACTTTATACATACAAACTCATCTGGAGCATTTGGTTTCCACATCCCCAACATTCTATCTGTCTTGCCTTCACTACCACTGTCTGAAAAAACCCGAAATACAACATTTCCCCCTCCATCATAGATGTTTAAAAGATATCCAACCATATGTAGAATAACTTGAAAGGCCCTTCTTTCATCTCCTATCACTAAATCAGGCAAAGAACTCTGAACATCAAGCTCAAAACCAAAACCTTTATACACACACAAGCACTTGGCAAGGCAAGAAGCTTCCTTGATCATGGAGTGTAGACGAAAGGGCCTCATCTCTAAAGGGAACCTACCAGTATCTTCTGCTGAAATCTCCATCACATCATTAATCAAAGTTGAAAGCACATTGCTGGTTTTGACCAATGTGTCAATAACAATCCTTTGCTCGAAGCCCGTATCATCGTTTTGGAACATAGAAAGCAAGCCCAAGATTGAGTGCATTGGTCTCTTCATCCCATGGCTCATCACTTTCTGAAATGAGTTCCTTGCCTGGCTTGCCATCATTGCATTCTTCCTAGCCTGTTGCAATGCACGATTTTGCTCACTCAGCTTCTCCCTCATTACTCGTGATTCTTCAAGAACTGCTGCATGTGACAAAGCCACAGCCACCTGATCAGCAACTACTTCCACTATTTCCATTTCCTCGTAGCTCCAACTTGTACTCATACTTGGAAGAACCAAAACCAGTATAGCATAACAAGTATCCACTAATTCAGGTGTCCCCCCTTTGAAATTTGAAAAAGGTAGCATTGGCATCCGGATTGCTGCCACAGCACCTGACTCCTCCGACCCTCCACCACTTGAAGCCCCAAGTGCTGAATCGGGCCTCAAAACCTTGACCCCCTTGCTACCTTGTATTTCTAACACATCAGGATCATTAACTGGGACAGAAAGGTGATAATTTTGAGAATTAGCTTTCAACTCATAGGTGAGGTGGAACTCCGTTCTATTCTCATTCGGCATCCATACAGCACAATTGTGCAAATCCAAAGTCTTAGAAAGCTCAACTAGAGTGGTATACAATATCGTATGCTTATCGAGTGACTTCCTAATTTCTTGGGTTAGCATTCTAACATGCCAACTGGCTTCCCTGTGCTTCTTCATCATCCCAACCTCTTGGTCTAATTCCAACACGTTTTGCTGTAAGAAAAGCTCCCTCACTTTCCATTTGAGAAGAAGAGGAATCAAAGTTAAAAGGGTTATGGCAGTTGCACATGAGACCAAAGCCGTGAAGAATTTGGCAATGGTGAGGAGCAGTATCAGCTGGAACGAGTGTGGTCCATAATAAGTCCACGCATTGAGCAAATGTGTCAGTCCACAAAGGACTATGAATGCTATAAACTGAAGGAGGACCCATTTGAAAGGAAAGTTGGAGCAGCTAACAAAGTAAAGAAGTTCAATTGGTATCGAAAAATAGGCAACTGCAATCAAAAAATCACTCACTCTCTGACATTCTAGAATGTTTTGTATGCTCCAGAGACCCTCATCATCGCAATTACAATTCACAAAGTCATTGTCAGTGGCAGAGACCAAGATAAATAGACATGAAATCAACAAGAATCTAGAAGCTAATGCTCTTAACATTGCACCCAAGTGATCACTTGCCTAATGCATTCTTGTCACAAGTTTCTTAATCTTATAAATCCCTAGTATTTCCTAATACAAAAAAACAGAAAAATGAAAGAAAACTACTTGAACTATATCTCTACAACCCCAAGTAAGAATATTCATTCCCTGAACTCAAAGACACGCAACTCTTCAAGATCTAAAATATCAATCTGAAGTTTACACTAAAAATCAACAGCACAAAACTATCAACTAAATTTCAAGATCTTACAAACCCCAAAAAAAGAAATTAGACTATGATTTTTTTTTCCACGACCAGTAATCTTTAACGCATTTCCCTACCACTGCTCATCTCTCCATTGCTCCAATTATTTGGATAGCCATACCCAAAAAAAAAAAAAAGTAAAACACCCCAAAGTCTAAATTGAAAACAAGTAGCTATCTATCTATCCCTTTGGAAAATAAACGGAGAAACCAGAAACGAAGAGTGGACCAAGCAAAAGAAGAAAAAAAACACACCTTATGCCTCTCCTGATCAAAACCACCTATCCATGCCAAAACCAATCACTCCCTTTGTAGTATATTATTAACAAAACCCAAATCAATACGTATCAACTTACTACCTCAAATCCCTCAAAAAAACAAATAAAAACTCTCAGATATTATTGCTCTATGAGCTATCAATCAAGAAACGATCTTTCTTCCTTTTTTCTTTTTTCTTTTTCTTTTTTTCCCCTTGTTATAAGAAGGTCCTCTCTCTCTCTTTTTGTAATAAAGTTCAAAGAGAGAAAATCTAGTATTTAGATGTGATGGGGGGAGAGATAGACAGACAGTAGAAAGAAGTGTGTCTGAACTGAAAGTTGGGACTTCTAGAGAGAGAAAAAGCCAGAAAGGGTTTAAGAATTGGGGGCCCCACAAAGAGCCTGTGAAGAGAACCTAGACACTCTCATCCCCCATCAAGCAAATAAACAACATGACTAAATGGTTATTTCTGGTTCCTTTCTTTAAAACTTGCTGCTTCATCCAGAAAGTTTTGGCTTTTCCTATATTTTTTTATTGGGTATAATTGTAATAAAAGTATACCAATTTTTAATATCTTTTAATCAAATCCATAAATTGTAATTTTTTTTAAGTATATCATTTTTATAAAACTATCAATCAGTTTTTATTTTCAATTTTTATCGATTGTTTTGTTATCTAACGACAAGTTCTTTATTTTAGACGTACTCTTTCATTTCTAAAGAAAACTTTTCTTTCAAATTATATTGTCATTTTTCAATTTTTTTAATATAAACATAATTTGGGTATTTAGTACATAAAAAAGAAAAAAATTATAAAATAATTTGAAACAAAATTCCTTAAAAAATAAATGAAAAAAAAATAATTTAGTTATTTGTAGCAAAGGACACTTCATGGATAACAGAATAAAACATAGTAATTAGATGGAAAATACTTGAATTACAATTTTTTTAAATATAATATATATAAATTAAAATTTATATAATCAGTTGAAAAAAAATGAAAAACTGATACACTAATAAGACAATTATCTTTTTTATTATTATTTTACCAACGATTTCCTTAATAACTCATGAGTTATCAAGCCAACAGACATACGTGGAATCTTTTATAAAAAGACCCACTTGTTCTCTTGCAGGAATTTTTATTTTTATTTTTGCATTTTTGGGCTATTCCTCTTTTCCCTTTCCTCATCATCTCTCTCCCCACTTTCTACATGGATTTTCCTAATTTTTGTAACTGATGTAGAAATGCACCAAGTTAAGGAATGGTTTCATTGCAATAAAATTAATCAAGAAAAAGTGATCTTTTTACCTAACAAGGGTTTTTAAATCCCTTGGTTCCAAAAGCCATTTAGTTATGGTAGGGTACTTAGAATTTTTTTTTTTAATTTTTTTATTGAGTTCTTAAAATTATAATAAAATAGATATTTCACACACACACACATACACACACACACATTAAAGCAAATCGGTTTTTTATCGTGGCAATGAACAATGTTAATACAATCATTGTTCATTGCTATAGTGCTTTGGTTTTTTTTTTTTAATTTTTTTTTTTTTTTTGCTAGCGTGACCTTCTTTCCCCTTTTTTTTTTTCGTTTACTATTCATATGAATAGTAAACGACTTCCTCCCCTTTCTCTTTTTTTTCCTTTTTAAGCATTGAACTTTTTTTTTTTAATTTCCATCCGTTACTCGTTCACATGAACGAGCAAACACTCGGCCCTCTTTTGTTTTCTAAAAATTAAACTTTTTTTTTAAATTTTCGTTTCTTAATAATGTTGGGTGTTAAAATTTTAAAGAAACCAACAATTAATTGGGTGTTAAAATTTTAAAGAAACCAATAATTTATTTCTAAAATTTAAAAGCACAAATAAAAAATGGTAAAATATAATTTTTTTGCTCAAAAATTATAATTATTTTTTATCATAAAACAGATTATTAAACTGAAATAATTTTTCTAAATGATTTTATATATTTTATCCAACCCGTAGCGTAGCGCGGGTCAAAATCTAGTATATATCTAAAATAGGTGGGGAGTTCACTCGTTCATTTGAACAATGAACACCTCATTTTACTCCTCCTCGTTTTACTCGTTCATTTGAACAATTTTTTTTTTTTGCTTTATTTTTTTCCCTTCTTATTTTAATTTCCACTCTTACTTATTTTCTTAGTTTTTTTTTAATTATTAAATTATTTCATTTTTTTTCTTTTTAATTTTCACCCTCAATTTTTTTTCTTATTTTTTTTAAAAAATTTGAATTATTTCATTCTAATCCTTAAAAATTTAAAAGTAAAAGTTTAATCTCTAACCGATGCACTATATGTCTTTTTTTTCTTTGATTTTTTTCCTCATCAATTTATGTTCTTTTTTTAATTGATTCGAGTGTTAAAATTTTTTAAAATCGATTGTTATTTTTTTTCAAACGAGTCGATGATTTACTTTATCATCACACTATACTATTCAATCTTATTTTTTTCCTTTTTTTTAAAAAAAAAATTCACTATTACTTTTTTCTTATTTTCTTAGTTTTTTTTATTTTTATTGTTTAAAATTTATTTCTTCGAGTTATTTGGAGTGTTAAAATTTTAAAAAATCGATCATTATTTTTTTACAAATAGATAATGATTTACTTTATCCTCACATTATGCTACTCAATCTTAGTTTTTTTTTCTTTTTTTTTTTAAATCAATATTACTTTTTACTTATTTTCTCATATTTTTGTAAAACTTTTACTCTTATTTTTTAAAATTTATTTCTTCAATTATTTGTTTCTTATCAAAATTCTAATCAAATTAATTTTTTGATATAATTTTATTTGTTAATGAAATTTTAAAATCTTAGTGATTTTTCAAATATATTATTATAATTTATGCAATAAATTATTTTTATTTTTTAAATGAGTGTTTTATTTTTAAAATATATTACTATAATTAGTGAACAGTTTTTTTCCCCGAGTTCTTTTCCCTTTCTTTTTTAATTTTCACTCTTACTTATTTTCTTTTTTTGTAGTTTTTTTTTTAATTTTAAAATTATTTTGTTTTTTTTTCTTTTTAATTTTCACCCTTAGTTTTTTTCCTTATTTGTTTTAAATTTTTTTTTTGCATTATTTCATTCTGATCCCTAATTAAAAAAAAAATTAATCCCTAATTGATGCACTATACTTCTTTTTTCTTTGATTTTTTCCTCATTGATTTATGTTCTTTTTTTTATTTGATTGAGAGTTAAAATTTTAAAAAATCGATCGTTATTTTTTTCAAATAGGCTGATGATTTACTTTATCCTTATACTACACTACTTAATTTTAATTTTTTTCCCTTTTTAAAAAAATTTTTACTATTACTTTTTTCTTATTTTCTTAGTTTATTTTATATTTTTACTCTTATTGTTTAAAATTTATTTCTTCAATTATTTATTTCTTATTAAGATTCTAATCAAATTAATTTTTTATTATAATTTTATTTGTTAATAAAATTTTAGAACATTGGTGTTTTTAAAATATATTATTATAATTTATGCAATAAATTATTTTTATGCTTTTTAAATGAGTTTTTTATTTCTTTAAATATATCATTATAATTTTTTATTTTTTATTATATATATATATATATATATATAGAGAGAGAGAGAGAGAGAGAGAGAGAGAGAGAGAGAGAGAAATGAAGAGGGTACTGTTTATTTGAACTGTGTTTTTTTTTTTTACTTTTCCTTTTGCTTTACCCTCAACTATACTACTCAATCTTAGTTTTTCTTTCTTTCTTTTTTAATTTTCACTCTTACTTATTTTCTTAGTTTTTCTTTTTAATTTTAAATTATTTTATTTTTATTTTTTAACTTTCACCCTCGATTTGTTTTCCTTAGGTTTTTTAAATTTTTTTAATTATTTCATTCTAATCCCTAAAATTTTAAAATAAAAATTATAATCCCTAAATGATGCACTATATGTCTTTTTTTTTCTTTGTTTTTTTTTTCTCGTCAATTTATGTTATTTTTTTATTTGATTGAGTCCTAAAATTTTTTAAAATTGATCGTTATTTTTTCACACGAGTCGATGATTTACTTTACCCTCACATTATACTACTTAATCTTAGCTTTTTTTTCCTTTTCTAAAAAATCTTTCACTATTACTTTTTTTTCTTATTTTCTTTGTTTTTTTTTTAAAAAGTTTTTTTACTCTTATTGTTTAAAATTTATTTCCTCAATTATTTGTTTCTTATTAAAATTCTAATCAAATTTATTTTTGATATAATTTTATTTGTTGATAAAATTTTAGAACGTCTCGTTTTTAAAATATATTATTATATTAATACAATAAATTATTTTTATTATTTTTAAATGAGTTTTTCATTTTTTTAAATATATTGTTATATTTTATAAATTCTATTTACACACAAACACACATAATATATTTTAAATAGTTTGGCTTAATTTTTTTAAAAAATTAATAATCGGTTAAAAAAGTCATAAATTTTATTTGCTACTTTATATATATTTATTTGAAATTTATCAGAATTAATTTTATTATAGTTTTATTTTAATATATTGACTTCAATATATTTCATACAATTTAGTGAGCCCGATCTTTTTTTTCTTCACATATATATTATCATGAAATTAGGTGTGAAAAATATAGAAAATAAATCGTTATTTTTTTTAATTTTACATATAGTTTGAAGATGTTAGAATATATATGATATTTTTTAAGATTTTATTTTTGACATACATATATGATTATATTACTCCTATTGTTAAAATTTTATTTCTTCAATTATTTGTTTCTTATTAAAATTCTCATCAAATTAATTTTTTATATAATTTTATTTGTTAGTAATTTTATTTTTTTAATATATGAATTTTGGAATAAATTTTAGAACGTTAGTTTTTTATATTTTAAAAATATATTATTATAATTTATAAATTATGATTATATACACGAGAGGGAGGAGAGGGTAGGGGGAGATAAAAATATGTTTTAGACGAGTTTAGCTCAATTTTTGTTTAAAAAATTCATAAGTTTCATTTTTCATATATATATTTATTTAGAATTTATCATAGTCAATTTTGTTATAATTTTTTTTAGTCTCGTTGATTTTAATATATTTCATACAATTTAGGTGAGTTTTTTTGGTATATTTTTCTATTCATTATGTATACTATGAATATGATATATATACATTATTAGTTTTATTATAAATTAACTATATATTTGCACACGTGATACCGATTCTTTATTATTTATTTTTATATTCTATTTTTTTAAATAAAATAAGTTAAATAATGTTTTGAAATAATTTTTCAATCATTCAAATACGAATTTTTATGCTAATATATATATATATATATATATATATATATATATATATATATATATATATATATATATATATATATATATATATCAAACCATTTTGCTCAATATATGGATTCGATTTACATTAGTCATCGAAAATAAAAATTTTACTCGCAAGTATACCATACGAATCGTTAATACTATATATATAACGGGTGTTTGATCACGGTGTAATGCGAGTATCCATATAGTAATACTCTATTTCACCACACGCTTTATGCAAAAGAAGTTAGCTAATACAAGTACAAAAATTGCTTGTCTTGATTAATAGAAGAGGGGGAAAAAAAAGAGTTTTGTGTTTCCTATTTTTTTTCGGTTTTAAAAATTCGAAATTTGTTTTTGAGGTTCTCCGTTATTATTATTTTTCTTTTTGAAAAAAAAAGAGCATTCTTTGGTTCACCTAATCTCTTACCTCCGTTTTTTCGTTCTTAATTTTATTTATTTATTATTAATTATTGTTTTCCAATACTAGCCTTGTGAAAGGTCGTTTAATGCTCCAAATCAATCTTAATTTTTTTTATATTTTTTTTAACTATTAAATTCACAAATTATTTTATTATTCCTACTACTTGAGTTTTTAAAATGACTAATAGTGTATCTTCTTTATCAAGCTTAATGTACGTTCTTCATTAATGATGGGATAAAATGATTAAAATAGTCATTAAGAAAAACGAAGTAGTGGGAATAATGATTTTTGTAGTGAATTTAGCACCATCTTTTTCTTTTTTGTTGTAAAGTTTATTGTAAATAAATTATCATATAGAACAATACTTATATAATCATATTATTGATTTTCATTTATTTCTTCTTCTTCTTCTCCTTCTTCTTTTATCACAATGTAACAACATATTGAGTACGTCCAATAAATGAAATTAGATAATACTCAACGGATACTCTAAAAGCAGTATATGTTCGTTAATCTGACTCTATTAAAATCAATATTAATTAATTCTCATTCAATTGCTTCGTTAATTAGATATGACACAGATCGACAAACAATTTTCTCGTAAAATAAAAATTAAACTTACGTGCATGATGAACGAGAATATGCGAACTGAGTTCTATGGTTTAGAGACCTGTACAAGCAAAAACATTGTTCTAATGTCTTATAGATTCATGTTGAATCAAGATGATTTGATAAATATTTATAATTTATAATTATTTTAGACAGAGAAAATGATTGTAGTACACGAGTAGGGATTTTTTTTTCTTTTTATATATAGTATTGTTATCCGATTTTTAAGAGATTTTCAAAAAATTTATGCTATGGCTAACTTTTTATTCTAAAATCTTTAAATTTAGTATTTTTTTAGATTTTTAATTATTTTTAATATTAAATGAAGACTCAAAAACTTTTTTTTTAATTGTTTTTCCTCATTTTTTATTTTTTATTTTTCAAGTTTCTTAAATGTCGGATAGTGAAATATAGGTCAAAAAAAAAAAAATCATTCATCTTGTATGCTGATGAAGATTTAATTTTAGATGAAAACTATTTATTAATGTCGTCTTGTCCCAATAACGGAGCAATTGGAAGTGAGTTGATTATTGATCTCGATTGAACTTATTTACAAACACAAAACGTTAACGAACAAGTTATTAACACAAGGCGATTGGAAATAACGAAGACAAATGCAGGGGCAAAATGATACTTCTATAATTTAAAAACCTGGATAGTGACTAGGTAATCTATAATTTAAAATTGAAATATCAATATTTTATATGGGTTTGTTCCGACACTATTAGTTCGGGTTCGAAATTACGGGGGATCAATAAAAAAATAATAATAATAGAAAAATTCCATTTTGAGGCCTTTATGTTTGCATCAGATGGACAAAATTGAATATTGTATGAATAATTTTACGAATTCGACACTATATTCGTCATATTTAAGCAAATTAATCCAATTATTCGATTGCTAATAAAAATCTATGCAATACATAATTTTGACTAAAATGACTAATCTTGTGATTAGCACACGAGTGGCTTTAAGGCTCGAATGAAGGAATTCCTTTTTCTTTTGATCACTTGACATTATTCATCGTGTATTTAATTTAATTTTTATCTTATACGAAAATTATTTTCTGATGCCTTATTTTATTAACGGAGCAACTGGATGGCAGTTATATTATTGATCTTGATTGAACTTGTTTTAAAAACACAAAGTATTATGGAATAAATTATTAATACAAACATTACATTGTTTTTTATAAATAGTTATTAATTTTTCAAAATTTCATTCCGATTTCTATTAGTTACTCCAAATACAATATCGAAATTAAAATATCGTTCTAGTTTCCAAACTCAATTAGGACTTTTAAATTTCATATATTGAATACCTAATGGAGAAAAAGTTGATTTAGGGACTCGACTTAACATTGGTGCATATGAGCTGGTTTCCACAAAAATAAATAAATGAAAAAAAAAACAGAAATCCTTCAAGTCCTAAATATAGTAGTGATCCCCTGATATTTTTGACCGGGACTCACCGTCAGATGGCGTAACCAATTGGCGATGATCTCAAGGTTGTGCGTAAGCATGACCAAATCATGGGGAGCTGCTAACCTGGAAACTTACAACCTACGAATCTATGACGGTTAGAAAGTTTGACTTGCTAAGGGGAAGGCTACAGTGCTTCGCGAACTAAAATATTTAAACACTTGTCACGTGCAGCACGTGCTAACGAATCAAGACAAGAAGAATGGGCAATTAAGCATTGATTTGTGTGTACGTAATTAGTTTTGATTTAATTATAGTGCTATTAGTAAATTGGATGAAATTAATTAATTTTGTCACTAAAGTGGCTCATGGGGATACGATATCACGTGCAACCCTATGATATGTTATATAATCAAATATTAATAAGCAATTTTCATAAAAGAAGAACGATTTATGTAACCAAAAAATGATTTATAAACAAACAAGTTTAATTAATTTTTTTTAAAAAAAATGATGGTAATTTAAAAAAGATAGTTTTTTCTGTACATTAATCTCAAGATGGAAACTCAAAGATTCAAAATTAAACATAAACCTCTTAACCACCATGCTAATCATTTGACTAAATTTTGATAAAGTTATTATGCGAATAGTATCAACTCAATTCGGCTATTGTTTGAATGGTTTGTAGTCATTATTCAAACTCAAAAACATGGAGCAATTTAATAACTTGCAAGAAAAGATAACCATGGAATTGCATCCAAATGAATGAAGACATATTCCTATTAACTTGCAAAAGTGGGTTTGAATATACAATTAGATTTGCCTAAAGATTCTTTGCTCAGCCGGCAGCCAGCACAAATACTCTAGCTCGGTGTAGAGACTTCTCATGCAACAATTTGGATTGCAACTTGATTTATTTATTTATTTGGCTTATGAATAGAATGTTTTACATATTTATAAGGAAATTTGAGTGTTTTACATACTATAAACATAGCTTGGGGTCGACCCAAATTAGGTCGTAAGTGTTTTATTAGCAATTTAACACGGTAGGAGGCAGGACCATTTCCGAATGCTTCCGACAGCGTAAACCATTTGCAAGTTGCAAATTGTGCCGCCACTTGTTAAAAAGAAGAAGAGCCCTACACATGCTTCCAAAAGTCAAATACTGGACTAAGCCTTAACTCAGGATGAGTATAATTATCTCAATTTGCACAACTTTTCCCTTTCATGCCAGGTTTGCAATGTCAACAGGAATCAGCCAGGAACTCCAGTTTGAAAAACCAGAGTAAATGGAGACAAAAAAAAAAAAAAAGTGGCAACCGAGTGCATGAACATAAAAACTAAGGCTAACACTTCTAATGTCGGACCATAATCTAAGCTGCATAATCAGGCAATGAGTAAAGATCCACTAAACTGTACAGATATATCATCTAGCACTCCACCAAGGATCCAAAAGGTTGTACATGCGTTTTCTCTGCTCAATGCACCTGGGATTTAGACACAAGAAAGATGGCAAAACAGTGTTTCAAAAGTCAACCAATCTGCAATCTAGAGGTCACTCATAGTCCCCGTTTTCTGGAGACTGGGGTCCCCCATGACCTGAAAATAGAAAAACACCTCATGTCAGTTGGTCTTTCTTTGAGCGGGAGGAGGGAGGATGTGTGTTTGTGTCGGGTGGGGGGAGAGGGTTATATACCTGTAAAATCATAACCTGCAGTTGATCTAACTTCTGGACCGCTCCTCCAATCCATGGGCCTTGTAGATGCAAAATGTATACTTGTAGATTGCATGGTAAAAGGATTTACTCCGATGGTAGGATGGTCATCATTTCCCCTACCTGGATTCCTCAATGAAGATTCAACTGGAGAGCGGAAACCAAAACTTGGTCCTGATGCTCCGACTGGTGATGGCAACTTGCTGCCAGAGGCATCACCTTTTCCACTACCATCCTTCTTGTTGTCAAGCAGAAAAGTACCAACAATGACCTGTGCACAAATAACTAATAAATCATAACTATTAAAGACCTAATCCCATACCCTCGTTAAATGTGGAATGGAGATTTCTATGATCAGGACTCTGTCTCAATGCGTGCATGGGCTTGCAAATGAAAAGGATCATCCTTAGTCATGGTGTGCTCCCTACTTCATCTGATGTTTTATTGAAGAAATTGTATATTTTAAGCAATACCTGTACCGGGCCAGCAGCCTTTAGAGGTCCACCAACTCCTCCTCCAATAATCTGGCCATTTGTATCAGATAGGCATACACTGAGGCCACCTGCTTTTCCCCCCATTTCAGTACGTACATAAGATCCACACATTGAAATGATCTCGAACCGACCCTGATGTCAAAGAGACGCAAGAAAAAAAATTAATTTCACATCACCTCAGAATATCATTTTTACCATTTTAACAGGCACTTAAAATTGTCTAAGTTAGTTTTCAGAATGTAAAATTTCATCAGGGCGTAGTATCAATTGTTTAATCAAATAGCAAACTGATATTTAACCAAGAGTGTATATACTATCAGAGGATTCTTTGGGCACACATGAAAATAATACTAAGGCTTCCAGTTCTCAAAGAGCTAGAAAGCAACACTGAATACCATTTGATTTTCAAGTAATACACTACTAAGAATACACTGCTAAGTGTATGTGCCCTTGAATTTTCTCAAAACTGCTTGTCTGTATCATCACAGGGCACTCAAGAAATACTTCCCCAACTATTAGGTTTAACCAACAAGAACAAAATGTGATATCATGGAAACGTAAAAGCAGTAATGGTGCTCTCAGCTATTTATCGCACTTCCATATTGTCCAGATTTGTAGATTAGTAGAACCAGACCACCTAAGCATACGTTCCTTTATGTGCTTGACCTTTTATCTTAAAAAATACTGTGTCGAACCCCTTAAAGTTGATACATCCTTTCCTGCACATCCACCCCATTTCCCATGAGATGAATCTAATTTTTCTGGTAGAAATTGAGAGTTTGACACTATTCCATCACTAACCATAACTCATTTCTCAGAATAAGTTGTGCACTTAGACCACCAAAAGGTTACTTCTTTGCAGTTGTCATGTGGTTCTTTCTTATCATATACCCTTGAAGGGATGCAACTTTTTGTTCCCTTAGATTTAGTTCTTTATTTCCTCTTTCAGACAAGTATCCTTCTTCCAGTCGAATATAGATAACCAGAGGCCATATTAAAGCACTCAGAGCATGAAAGTTGGCAGCTTAACAAAAGAGAACGTAAGTTTTGAATCTTTTTATCATTTTTGAATTCTTGTTCTACAATATCACGTTCACCAGAAGATTCAAGGAAAAAATAACAGAGTTCTGAAATTAGAAAAGTTAAACACACTCATAAACAATTACCTCATATGCAATGTTGCCTCCTGAAGTTGCTGGTTGGCGGAGAGATGCATTTGAGATTGAACCAGATGCTGATAAAATACACATTTCACGCGTACTTTGTTGCAGGAAATGCATGATTTTCTGGGTGACATCCTGTTGAGAATTTATATTACTGAGGAATAAACAGAGTTGGATGTATCCACAAAACCACTATTCGCATCCCAACTACTCTCTTGTTGTAGCAACTAATTATTAATAGATGCAACAAATGACTTCAGAACTATATCAACCATGATTTGTCACATCCACTTGAATTCCCCAGGACATTAAGTATACAACTCAACCGCATAATGCTGTTCATCAGAACAAAAACCAAGAATGAAGGGAACTCTTGACTGGCAGTTTTGGAATAATATACAGACACTCTATCACCCGTGCAAAACATTTAAAGGAGTTGTATATGCTTATGAAACATCACAAAAAGATCCAATCACCTTGTTTAACATTTGAAATGACAAATAAGTGACATATCATAGATTTTCCAAATACTTAGAAACTGCACACAGAAGGAAACAGGACAAACCAGTGATCAAAAATGAAAAAACGCAAGCAGTTTGCTACCTTGACAGACTAAAAAGGGGAAAAAAAAGAGGACAAACAAACAGACATAATGACCATAATAACTCCTAAGTAAGAATGCAACACATATAGCAAAGGGAACCTGGAAACAATTAACAACGCAAAAAGCAAACTTTTAAAATTCCAACTTCCACCTCAATCAATGTAGCCTACATTATCAGAGAAATGCAGTCTCTAGGATTTACAGACATCATATATATAGATTCTTCCATCATCAACTCTATTCTCTTCCTTCCTATTTTTCCCTATCCTGTATGGAAACCGTAAGTATTGTGCCACAAGAATTTGGCCAATTAAGAATTTTAGATCACGGTCTTTTTTATCTTTTCAATTTGACATGTAACACTGTGTTATGCATGTCAAAGAACACTTTCTCACAACTTTTTTCCACAACAAAAGCCAATTGCATTCCATAAGGAACTTAAAAGGAAAGAACCTGAACTTCATCTGGGAGTTCATTGTAGGTAAACCAAAATGTACAAAATAAATTTTTTTATCTATTTCTCCCCAATTATCACATATCTGATAGTGACCAGCATAAATAATGGTTTTGGGATGTGGTCAGTAACCTTCCACCATATGCATCCTGATCATCATCCAGAACGTACATCACCCAAAATTTCAAAACTTTCTTAAATACTGACGTCATAAGCATCCACAGCTAGAGGAACACAACCATGTTCCAAACAAATCTCCTCAGGTATCTATAAACATAAAACAACCATGTACATACATGTCCTTTAACAATTATACATACCACATGTCTACAACACATTGTTAAAAAAAAAAAATCTATGACATTGAGCTAAGTTGCCATAAACATAAGCTTTCTCCCAGCAAAGAAAACAGGTAGAAGTTAATGACTTCTGCATATGCATACCAAAACTGATCAGCAAGAATATATAAAAGCAAAGGAAAACCATCCCTCCATATCACAACTAAGTATATATTTCAGTTCCACATCAAAACTTTAAAATTGGATGTTCAGAAAACCAGGTCAATCACAACTAAATTATTGCTTCCCATGAAATTCAAAAAAGAAATTAAAAAAAGTTCAGGAAATATATGAATCCACATTTTTAAAAGACATGGGCAGGTTGACGATGGTTTCTACCCTTTTAGCCAATCACTTAAAGAGCAAAACTCCATTAAAACAACACAATGCTTCAATATGTAACACATAAAAAATTGAAAACAAAACAATTAGTAGAATGGGTTAAGGAAATCTTCATTAACAAATATTTTTCTGTGTGCTTGCATACCATGCGAAAATAATAACAAGATAAATGCATTTATAGGCTACTAACTTGTTGCTGATAATAGTAGTATATTCCAAGGCTAGAGAGTTTCCATACCTCACCCGCAGCTACAGTAATAACATGTGGTGTAAAACCATGCCCAGCATTGCCTGCAACAAAGAATAAAACAAAACATGGGTAAGGATTTGATCCATCCAATAAAATCAATGAGAAACCTGATAATTGATATAATTTCATCAAAGAAACAACTTATCAAAGGAATACAAGTTTACCATTTACCAGGCAATGATGTAATGGAATCATATTCACGTATGGACATTCTCAAAAACATAACTACAAAGATCTGTCTCATAACATACGAAAATCAGTCTGATAACATACAAGGTTCTGAACCAACAAAAGACATTATAGGGAGTGTGTTCTGTCAATGGTAATGTGAAAGCACCTGCAAAACTGAAGGTATTCCCAATTCCAATGAGCCAATTGGCATCATATTCGAGGTCAATAAATTCTACATTCTCATCTATTTTACTAGAAAACATTCCTAATCAACCATACTCTGAAACAATTTCCTAGTAGTACATAAGGTAAACACACAAGAAAAGCAAATATTTAAGGACCAAACAAGTCAGACATAAGTTCAATGACATCAACAAACTTTTTCTACACATTATCAAATGCAAACTACATTTTTTTTAGGCAAAAGAAAATGTATAGATAATGAAGGAGAAGTGGAATCACAAAAAAGAGAATAAGTCTGCCCCCAGTCTATGGGCAAAGCATACTAACAAACTACAAGTTTAAAAACTAAAGCAGCCCAATCTCACTGAATATCAGCTATATTACACCCCTAAAGGCACTCAAAGAATGACATCATAAGGAGGAAAAGGGAAACTACTTTATTTAATAGCAGATGCAAGCTACACTTGACACCCCATGTAGGTATCTAGCATATTTATAGCAAAAGTATTGATTTAATAATCTACATGAAGCATGAGTGATACTGTTTTACTAGAAGAGCCATTTAAACAAAACCAAAACCAATGAACAGTAGGTTAGGTGCCATCTTACTCAACCTAAAAGTCAAGTGCAATACTATCAGATCCTCCTAATAACTCACAAGCTGATGATATAAAACAGCTTATTGTTATTCAGGTATACCCAAATACTCGTACTCAAGGCCATATAGATTGTATAATATCATACAGATAACCTAGCACTAAATTTTGTTTCCCCTTCTACATCAATTTCTTTATCTATACGCTGACAATGTTGTAACAAAGAAGAATGATTGTAGGGCCTAGTATTCATTGGGAAACAGAAAATCCAACAACACACGAGACTGGCAGAACGAGATGGGAGTTAAGAATGATATGGTGTTATAGCATTTAAAACTAGTATGACAATACAAAAGAATATGGAATGCCTGGAATAGCAGAAAGATGAGATAAGGTAACCATATCAATGAGGCAAGCAGTTAATGGGGCCCTCAATGAATTTTCTGGAGGAAAGAGAATAAGACAGAAAAAAACTGAGGCTGATGAAAATGCAGCTTTGTTAAAAAAATCTTATATACAAAATATTGCCTAGATTTCTTTTCCATTCTTGGGATCAAATAATCAAAATACATGACTACAAATCCACAAACCAAAATCAACATACATATTGCAAAGCTAAAAATATTGCAAGCTCCACAACAATTTATATGATCACAACAGAGTCAACAGACTGGTCCTTGAGCTTTGGTGATTGCACGGGCCCATAAAGACAGCTACAACTACTGATCAACTATGATGGCAAACCCAGGCATCTAAATAAAGCAGGTGCTTGCTGACTCCTTTCAAGTAAATACCAATTCAAGTCAACAAATCTTAACGTCATCAAAATTGATCAACTAGCGCCTCTTGTGCTATTCTGCTATACTGAATATGACATGCCCCATCGCTAAAGGATGTGCAGAGAGCACCCAATGTAGTAAGACAAGCACAATTAAATGCTGTTTGCTCAATTTTCCCATCAAATCACTCATAACTTACATAAATGTCGAATACTAGAATAAATAAAAATTTAATGTAAACAAAGAATTTCAAGAAATTACCAATCATAACAGGAAAAATCTTGAACAAAGAATAGTCGGAGACTCGTTTGATAAGCAGCAGAGAATACATAAAAAAACAAATGAATATAACCAATGGAGAAAAAACGGGTCACACAATGTACATACTGAAGTAGGAACAAAACAAAACCCTCATTCTCTCAAGAATTACAAATTCAACTTACCAAAGACAAAATTTGTCCAAGAGATAATGCACAATAACCTCTAACTTAAAAAAAAAAAGAGTTGCTAAGAAACTATCATAAATAGCTCATAGAGCCCATCAGAAAAAGCACAAAACATTTTTTTTATATAAAATTACTGTTTACTTAACACAAACAGAAGCAATGCCTCGCATGAAATGTAAAACTCTAAATACTTACCTCAATCACAAACCACCAAAAAGAGAGACGCTTTTCAAGGAAATTGCAAACTAGTTCGCTAAATTCCACAACAAAAGTAGCAAATACGCACACCCACATGTATTAAAGCAATGGCTCTAAAATAATGGCAGCATACTAATGCAATTTCTCAAAAAAAAAAAAAAAAAAGTTGTTGAAACCACAAAAAAGGGAGCAGCTGTTCAGGGAATTGCATTCAAAAAACATATTCACAAAAGAAGTAACAAAACATGCTCACCACACCAGCATGGGCTCATTTTTCCTTTTTTATGAAGCAAGCAAGAGAAAAATGGGTTCGCTCGTGCACCCAATGATCAAAAAAAATTCCAAAATTTTACATAATTTCAGCCATCAAAACACAAGGTATTTGAGTCACAACCACCCATTGTCAAATTCTGTTTAAAACTTCATTAGAAAAAAAAAAAAAAAGAATTAAGACAGACACATTCAATGCCTCATACACAACAGAAAAATCCAACTAATTCAAAAATCTCAATTTAAACCATCAAAAACCAAACCTTTTAAGCAACTAAACAACATCTCAGAAACAAGGCCGTAAAAAGAACCAAAAAACAAAAACTTGCAACAAACCCACAAATTAAATGAGTTTCACATCAACCACAAAAAAATTAGAGAAAAAAAAATCCACGCTTTCACAGGCCAAATTCAAGGCATTAAACAACCTTTCACAAACAAAGCAACCAAAAAGAACAAAAACCACTAATAAATTCACTAGTTAGATCACCAAAGACAAAGATGAAAGAATTACACACCTATTCACTATAACATTTTTAAAAATGCTATAGAAACACATGCAAGCCTCATACAACATGCAAGAATTTGAAATTTTGACATTTACACCATCAAAAACCAACGCTTTCAAGTAAATACACAGCATTTCACAAAAGCACAACACAAAACTAACAAATTCAGCTGTTTACACCACTAAAGACAAAACCCTTCAAGAAATTAAACTACATTTCACAAAAAAAAACAAGAACATCATGATTCAACTAATAGGCAAACAAACAACAGAAAGGTCGAAAATCCTTACCAAGAGAAGCATGTTGAGATTTTTTGGACGCAGAGCCCGAAAACGAGGAAGTAGTAGAAGAAGAACCAGCTTGGTGTTCTTTCTTTTCTCTGGAAGCTGCAGCAGAGGATGCCGTTTTCTTGGCAGCCAACGCCAGTTCTGGCGTCCCATATTTTCTTGGTCTCCCTCTCTTTCTCTTTGCTCCTGTTGCCTCCATCGGTGCTCCTCCCCCTGTCACTGTAGCAGTGGTTGAGGGCACCATTGAGTGAGGGTAGAGCATGTGGGGTCCGGCAGAAGTGTTGGAGTCTGTTGGGTGATGAGGTGGTAGGAGGCCATTGGTGGGTGATGGGGTGGTTGTAGTGATGGTGGTGGTGGGGGTGGGGGTGGTGGAGAAATAAGAGGTGAAGTGGTGTTGCTGCTGTTGGTGTGGTTCGTTAGGTTCCATTTTTTTTGTAGAGAGAGATATTTTTTTATTTTTGATTTTGCAGGAATTGATTTTTTGGATTTGATAGTATTTTAGGGTTTTTTTAAAGGAGTGAGAGAAAAAGGAATTTTCAGATTTCTTGTTTTTTTAGGACTCAGAGTGAGTAATTCCTATCCGTTGGATCAGTTACTTGATTGACTTGGATCTAACATCGAAGCATATCTCGTTTTTCTTGAGCATATCTCGATAAACCAATTATAGTAAACGACAATTTAATTTTCTTTTTCTTTTTAAAAAAAGTATAATTAAAAATTTATATACTTTTTGATAATTAACAATATTATATTCTTGAAAAAGTTGTGGTTTTATTTTCAAAAACCAATTAATATCATAGTTTATTAATGAATGAAGTGTATTAAAACGACATGCTTAGGCTAAGTGGCTTGGTTAGGTTGGATTACTTCTCATGTGAAAGCTGCGTACGAGGATCACAGAGTTTATTTTATTAGACATGAAAAAAAAGAGTTATATTAAAAAAAAATCCCTAAAAATGCAGTATACGGAAATATATGAATAATCGTTTGAATTGAATATCAACAACTTTAACCATAAAATCATTTTGGCTGTTATAAGTAACCTAAATTCAATCTTCAAAATTTAGTTTCAAGCTTCAACTCCCATTTACATCCACACGAGAGGAGGTTTAAGGGGAAAAAAAAGTTATTCCAATAATTTTTTAAGAAGAAAACTTATTTAATATGAAATTTTACAATTAAATGACATTTATATCGATTAACCTCATTCGCGAATTTATGTTTATTTTAATACTAATACAAGGAGGTTAAAGGTCTCTTTATTGACGTGTAGATATGAAAAATATACTATTTTATATCTATAATCTCAAATATTAGTTAATGTGGAAATGAATTCTTAAAATTTTTGGAAAAAAAAATAGTATCAATTATCATATAAATTAATTCGAGAATATCTTACATAAGAATTACTAAAAAAAAATAGCGATTAAAATTGTAAGAATTTCGATAATTTGTTATGGGGTCTACTCACCGCCGACGGTCGGAGAGAACAATGGGGTTCTAAGACTTTAAACACAACAATCCCTGACGACAGTATATTAATAATCATCATGGAGACCTTTGTACAAGTTCTGAACATGATGCCTCTAGTCTTTGGCAGGAGACTGAAGCATAAATTGGGGAACCAGTTCCTTATCATATGCTCTTCCCCATCTAGATCTAGACCAATGATTCTTCTTTAGCTTTTTTGTTAATACACCAAGTCGCTGTGTGAGTTCTGGGCTGTATTTGGCCTAAAAAACTATAAGTAAATGGACTAGTTTCATTCATCTGGAATGATTCAACCATAGTCATATTATACGACTATCCTTTCCCTCATCTTTGATCGCGGGTTGCAGCTATCGGCAAAAACATTAGTGATGACACAGGTGGGAGTACAAAGGATCAGATTTTGTTTATATTGAAAGAGAATCAAGAAATGTTTCACAGAAGTTAAATCAATAACAGAGTTATACAACAAAACATCCTGCTATATATTACATTCTAAGGATGCAAAATGTCAGGAACAATGAACAATGGTTCTGCATCATCGCTTGATATTGTCTGAATAAACTTTTATTTAGCATGGCGGTGCTCCAGTTCTTCCCCTGGACATTCAAGGCTCATCCTTAGTTGCCTCCCCATCTGTGGTGTCTGTTGTAGAGGCAACATTATGTGAGTTCTTCATTTCCTCCAACTGCAATGCAACATCAAGACAAAGGACGAAGGTCAAATGGGGAACATGTAACAATCCAAAAACTCATTCAAAACAAGAAGCTAATAGTATCAGACTAAGTCATGGTTTCTTGCCTGCAAAATATAACTGGTTAAGTTTTGATTGACCGGCTCACTTTTAATTAAGTTTTCATCGGTCATGGTCAGAGTGGATGAAATTGGTAACAAACTTAATTTTGAGTGGACAAAAATGATTTTTCTGTCCATGACATTAAATTCAAAAGAAGAGTTAAACATAAAATCTAAATTAGTTGCATTTTCAGCTCCTCCTCTTCATCTGTTCAATTGATTTCTGGTTTTAAATAGAACAAAAAATATGAATGGCACAGCAAATTACTTTGTTTCTCAACTCAGCAACCACGTATCTGTATCTGTGCGAGTGCGTGTGTGTCCCGTAGTTTTCAGAACTCAAGTAGAAGACTAGGCATATGCATGCTCGAATTGCGATTTCGTGTCATTTGCTTAGATTTTTCATTAATGCGTGACAGATATGGATACAATAAGTTTCCTTGATTGACAAATCCACATTTAAGAATGATATTCCAAAGCCCATGCTGCAAAGTTAAATGAAAAACTGTTTTCTAGCAGTATTTCTATTTGAGCATGACAAAACCAGGATCATATACAACAGGATTCGGTTGTTAAGTCCAGTGTCCATGGACTTTTGAAGAATGCGAAGCCTATCTCTAAAGGTCATGATTTATGATTACTTAGCATCTAACTTAAAATCCCAAAAATTAGGTTTTGTTAATGTAAGAAAGAAAAGGCAAATCATTGCTCACATTTAAGATCAAATTGCCAGAATATAGCCTGATAACCTCACCTCTTTGCAAGTTTCCTGATGCGCTGCCAACAGATCGTTATACTTCATTTGCAACTCTGACATTTCAGCTTGCAGCTTTTCATATTCAGACAAACTCGGGCCAACTAATTTTTGTTGAATGAATCTATCAAAACAAATAAAAATGTAATTACTTAAACAGATGATTGTGTGCGCGCGCAAGTCTTATCTGTTTATTTGAGTTTGCTACATTTTACAAATCCAGAGAAATGAAAACTTACTCAAGGGCAGAGGAAGGCTTGTCATTTTGCTCATACAAGGCAACCAAGACTACACACACAAAAATAAAAATAAAAACTTCAAAATTCATAAATAAATAACAAAATTCACAGTGACAGTTAAAATTTGGGAGGAAAAATTGAAGCAGAAAGTACAAACCTTTGGTGAGAGCATCAAGAACTCCACTACTCTCAAGATATTTCCTGAAAGCTTCCTTCTTTGCTTCTTTTTCCTATATACAAAAGGTGGGCATTGAAAATAATACAAGAAATAAGATATGGAAATTGAAAACACACCAAAAGATGCAGTCTTTGCATAAAAAAATAAAACCCATTTTTTATACGTATGCACATTTTTGGAGAGAGTGATTACCTCTTTGTATCGCATCATGATCTGTTTGCTCTCGCTTCCGGTTCTTTACTTTATATGGGGTTATTGTTGTTCTTTAATCATCTTGAAACATATATACATTGAAAGAAAGAAAGAAACGTTTGGAACTGAGAACGGAATGACTGGTAGCCATTGATGGGCCTTCTTGATGTAATGTGCTAGCTTACACACAGTGCTATGATGTTCAAGCCCAACCCACCTATTGGCCAGACATGTTACGACAAAGAATGTAGGATTGGTTACAGCTGGGATTTTAACAACTGACTAAGACAAGAGACTTTATGTATAACCAGCCTCTGAAGCTACAGCTTCTGAAGCTAAATCAGAAGGCGTTTCAACTGAGGTAGGTAATGATTTGTATGTCCCATTAAGTCTCAAAAGCTTGTTGATTTAAACAAATCATTGCTAGTTAAGCTGAATAGCTGACGAAGTTTGACAAGGACCAAAATTCAAGCTGTATGATGGACAATGTGCATTGCAAAAACTGAATACGTTGTAGTAGTATATATATATATATATATATGCAGCAATAATTAATACTCCTAGATTCCTTGTTAGCCACTTGTTGAGAATCCATTATTTTTTAATTTGTCTTTTAATTGTCAAAATTAATTTATAGGCAGAATTTTGTAGTTTCATTATATTATTTCAAGTGTTTATAATGATAGATTTCCGTAGTATAATTAGTTAAATGAGTGCAATAATAATATACTCCTAGCGGGCTACTTGACGGGAAATAATTATTTTTGAATTTGTCTTTTAATTTTCAAAAAAGAACAAAAAATAGCAGAATTTTCTAGTTTCATTATATTACTTCGTGTCTATAAATATACACATAAAACGTATTTTTCCCTTCCGTTATTACTATTATTATTATTATTTTTAGAGAGTTCAGAAATTTAATTGTATCTTGAAGGACCAATTATTTTTCTGATTCTTTGTGTCTGCCAAATTACTCCAACAGAACATAAGTCAAAAAACGATGTCCAAACAGGTAATGAATGTACCATGTTTCTCTTCCTCATCCAACCGGCTTCTTTAATCCAATGTTAACTATACAATGGTCGATGGATGCCTGTTTCCCAAATATTTAAGTTACAAAGAAATGAAGAATTATCGCTCCAGTACGTATGAGATCAAAATTCTAACAAAAACATAATAACTGATCAAGCATGGAGAAGTAAGAAATTTTGATGGGCAGAAAAAATGTCAGATTGGCGATAGTCAACAGAAGATGGTGCTCTGGTCCTTCATGATGATAGCCACGCAGAAATAATCAGAAGTGGAAGCATCGCTATCAACCCGCAATTCACCAAGGAATCAGGATGTTCAATTCTTTCCACCTTGTCAAGAAATGAGTTCATTGTTCGTGTAAAAGGGCAAATTTGATCCTGCAGCATGTGTCCCTTAAGACTTTTAATTGAACATGGGATATCCATAAATGGTGAGTGATAGAAATTGCCTCTAGAACAAATTGTATAGTGCAAAATAAGCTGGAAGAAATAGTAATTACCTTTGTCTTTGTATGACTAATTTGATCCTGAAAGTTGGAATCTATCGAAGTTCTTCTATCATCATGGTCAACTGATTTTTCAACAGCCATACTGATTCCAGCCCTGTTGGATATTTTCCTAGGGATGGCTTTATAGGCAGAATCAGTATGTATTGTTTCCATGACCGAGCCAAAAAAGTTTGTTACAGGTACCTACGAGAGAGAAAGAAGAGGAAATGAAACAAACAGTTAGGAGTTATCCCAGCCTGCATATAACATTCTGGTAAAAGCATTAGAGGACACTTCAGTATTAACAAGAAATACTATGTGGAGACGAAATCCATGGTGATGGCTTCAATCTTACAAAAAGGTTTACTACAACAGAATACACAGCAAAAATACTTAGTTAAGCAATAAATGTAATTATCATTCTTTTACAGTAACACATATGACATAAGATTTCATGAAAAAACACGAAAAGCAGAATTCCGTGGTCTTGGGGTTGGCTAAGGAGAAGATGCAATCTGTGTATCTGCTTATGGAGAGGACAACCAGATTCAGCTAACAATCCTGGAGTTTGTCTCATAAATGGATAAACAAATTTCTAAAAAAAAAAAAAATTGGAATTAAAAATAAAAGGCACGTTTGAATTCTTGAAGAACACCAAATACTAAATAGAAAGACAGAGAAGATCCAGAGGTGCAACACAAAAATGCAGTTGTAGAAAACCACAGGCTAGACTCTAAATTCATGAAAAGCTAGCTACCACCAATTGGAAGATTATGGTGACGGATGATTGCTAGCATCAGACGTAAATACAAACAAGAGATAACAAAAACATTAGAAAGGCAATATCAGAATGATTAGTCTAGAGCTTCAGTACCTCCTCCAAACGTCGTTGGTATATATCTGTTCGGTAATATGCAGTTGACATCAATGCATTAGGATCATATGAAGTAAAAAGACTGCAAAACAGCCAAAAAGTCCACAGTTCATGGCCAATTTAGATAAGTGATTTAGATGTTACAGAGATTGATACAAGCACACTGTGCCACTATATGCACTGATGAAACAAAACAGTTGAAAACCAGCTTTCTTCCCCCAACCCTCCCTCTAATAGAAATGATCATTACCAGGAAATTATGCAGAAGATATTTATCTCTAGAAAGATATGAGAGAAAGTTTGGCTGACTACAGGCTATTTCCCCTTTAAAATTGGATTAAATCATCCATTTTATGACTACATCTCATAAAGTAGACCAGTTCAAATATGCTTAGACCAGATAAAAATCAAGAATTGCCAAAAAATGATGGTAAATAAACCATGAATAAGCAAGCCTATGAGATCCAGTAGGTACAGGTCACTAGAAGGGGGTGGGAGAATAGGTATTGTGAACTGTTATGAATATAAAGGTTGTGAAGACACCATGAAATGCACAGGAAACATGCTATAAGCTGTTTATTTTAATGGTATGAAGTCCTATTCAAGCGTACCTGCTCAACGAGGCATTGTCATACATATTTAGCCTCTCAAAAAAGGCAAGTGTATAGAATGTAAAACGATCCACAACAGAAACACCAACCTGTAAAATATGACAAGAAGACATTATAGCATTTTGTACCCTAAAACCTGGAAAAGAAATGAACTTCAATAATATAAGCATCCTGGGTCAAATAGATATAACTGAAGGGAGTAAAAAAGTCAAAGGCTGTCAACTGACACTTACATCAGAGTCCAAGTGATGTGAGTACGAGTTCTCTCCTTTCATGCTACTCCCAATGGCTAAAACACCAGGCGACTGGAGCTGAAAAGGAGGGAAAATGTCCTTGCATCAGCATCACTAACAATTCTCTATATATTTGCCTCCATCTATTGGTGAAAGGCATGAACCACAACTAGAAACAATATAAAAAAGGGTATGAAATTCGAATGCACTAATAAACCATCAGGTAAAATTTCCTGGAACCAAGGGGTACTGAACTTAAGAGACAATTCATGCACGTGTAATTTGCTCCTCTCGCTCTTCAAATTTACCAATGTATTGAAAATAGGAAATATTATTTCTCAAAAACAAAACATGGTCAAACTGTGATTCATGGAAGGAACATCTTCTTCTTTGGTCTAAAAGAAGAATATTCATTTAAGGAACAGAGAGACAGGAACGTTGGGGCAGAGGTTTAAGATCATAATGTCTAACCATTGAAAGTTTTTGAATGTTTCTATAAATTTGACTAAATGAAATGAAGAGGTACTCAAATTGATATACAAATAAAACTATGTATTAACTTGTCCCCTTTTGTCTGCAATCTGCACATCCATTCTATGCATGGAAGATAGGGACTACTATTAATTTCCACATCAGTCTCTCATCACTTGACCCAACTTTATTGATAAACATGACAACAAATTTATGAAAATTATGTTAAAGAATCTCATTCTCACTAGCAACAACTAATCTAACATAACAAACATACTGACATCAAATCTTTGGACTACGATGTTCATGATTCCTTGCTAACAAAATGTGCTAAATGACATTATACCAAGTTATTATGAATAGCAGCAAAATAAAGGTCATCCTTGACATGATAGTCATAAAAATTCCATCAAAAGCAGATAAAATACCTGATTGAATAGAGTGGCAGCTTGGCAAGTGTCGACCATTATCAGCAACTCCTTGAATCTAGGTTTGTCACATTAACCATGATTATGAGCCCATGGTTCTATGGGGATCACAACAGTATAAGTAAAGGAACTAGCAAATAAACTTTTATAATGATCTAAATCCTATAAATATTATATATTATATTTAGATGATTTTTCTTTCAGAGAAACTTCATATCAAACTTTTAAATTTTCATCCTAAAGTGTCCGATTATCACAAAGCTCGAGAAAAGTGGCAGATCCAGATGTCATTCGAGCATCTGCAAAGCATTGCATTATGATTTTACAACTGAGATTTTCCAGCATTCTTCAAAGGTCAAAGTTAAAATGAACAGAGCAAGTAGTCTCACCTACGCTTCTCCTTCATTTGCTTCACAGCATCAGCTAAATCATGACTCTGGAGCTCTTCAGAGTCCTGGAATTTTAAGAATTCATCTCCTCCATGCCCCGTCATGTACAGAAGAATGTGGCTTCCTTCATCACTTAAGAGACGCTTTGATCTTGGAACAGCAGTTGCATGGCGACCGGTCAAAACCCGTAAAAAATTTTCAACAGTTACTTCATAACCTCGATAGTCCACCTGAATGTTAGCAGCTCAACAGAATCAGGGTCTGCTCAGGAGTCACAATCTCCAAAATCCCTTCAACTATCTTTCTATTTGAAGCAACTTATGTTCTTTTCCACTATACAATAAAAAGTGAATACAAAGAAAATTATCAAAGCAAGAAATATCTTTGCATGGCAATGATATATTTACCCACAACGGAATGAATATATGAAAAACTCATTTGGCAGCCCAATCAGTTCTTTAGATCTAAAAATTAATAAAAACTTAAAAGGCATAAAGAACAGTGGTTGAGCACTTGGTGAATTTTAATGGTTATTGACTGTTAAGAGTTACTGAAACTTGACCTTACAAGATGTGCCAATTTTTCAAATACGTGAACTAATCACAGTCCAGAAAATTCTTCTCGCCCAACTTTTCATTTTCACTAATTTGAAGTCTGAGATCGTACAAAAGATTGCTAACTAAAAAAAAGACAATGAGAGACCTATGAAAGTTGCAAACCATTTTATCTTAGTTCTAAAGATAGTAAAGAGGATGTGGAAAGCACATGAATTGGAAGCAGACTCTAAAATGCATTCATTGGATTTGCAAACAATAATGTGCAAACTATGCCAGTCACAATGGTCAAGTGCGGCAACTTTTCCATAAGTAGCGATCGTGAACTCTAAAGAAACAGCCCCTTCTTAAATGGATGCCATTGTTCATATGTTCTCTTTGCAACTTGTTGACCCAAAACCATTTATAAGGATTTAATGTACTCTTCAAAAGGGCAGAAGCGCTAAACAGAAACCTGAAACTGACCTCCACATTGTCTCCATATAAATTAAGTCTGTGGTTTTCATTGTTGAAGACTTGTGCAGGGTACTTGTTCCTAGCATTGCAAGCCATGTCATCTGCCAGCATGAGTATTATCCTCTCATCAGGTATACCTAATCGCTTAACTGTCCTGGAAACACACAAAATTTAAGATGGTACGGAATAGGCTAAACAACAACAAAAAGAAATGACGAGCAAATCAAAGCAACAAATTCAACCAAACCTGAATGCTCACCTATACAATGACAAAGTATTAGCCATGTGCCGGTAGTTAAACCTGAAAAAAGGAAGAAAAAAGAAAAAAATCAATTCCACTGATTCCTCAAAACTATGAAAAATCGAAAACCAAAGAAAAGAACAACCTTTTTTGGAAAATAGAACTAATTAACTCTTATTTTGTTTATGCATGTCTGAGTTCTCTTTAATTTTCTTTATCAGTATATATATCTTATCTGATCATAAACTCACAACCAATCATTGACACCATACATAACACATAAAAATGCAATATTTTTACTTCAAAAAACACAAAATCCTAACATGGGTATCATTACATAACACAAAATATATAACTCCTAGTACTTCAAACACACAAAATTTTAACATGAGAGTATCGCTTAACGCATAAATATGTTTCCTATACTTCAAACAACCAAAATTCTAACGTGGGTATGATTAAATTATTTCAATAACAACACAAATGAATAAAAAAATTTAAAAAGAAAAGAAGCTGAAATATAATTACCAGAAACGAGAAGTGCAAACCAAGACAGCCCAGTTGTTAGTATGCATAGTGGTGTCAGCCGAAGAAGAATGAGAACCGTATGCAATTGCATTGTTAAGAAGCAACAACACCATCATAGCCATTTTAAGATTGAACCAACTGTAATTCTTGAAACCCATCATCGTACACAAACAAGTATCCAATCTTGGCTACGTCTCAAAGATCTGTTTAATATCAAACAGAGATTTAAAAGAGCAAAGAGATACGGAGAGAGAGAGAGAGAGAGGCGTGACTTTTCAGTTTTGTCAAGTGAAACCTGAAAGAGATAGGAGGAGAAATTTTATCTTACTCCAGCAATAAGTAACAATATTTGAGCAAGAATGGAAATAATTTTATCGTAAACGATGCATTAGAATGTGATTTTTTTTTTTTTTTTGTCTTAAATAAAGTATGTATGTTAGTTAATCTTTGAGTGAAAAAAAGAAAGTTTAATCGTGATATACTCGGTAATTTGATAGATAAATAGTTTATTGATTCCGCTATGATGTGGAAATTTTTTCATCTAATTTTATAATTATTTAATTAAAATTTTAGATTTAATTATTTTTTCCTTGTGTTTTTCTTGAATTTTTCACTAAAAAAAATGATATGCTCATCTTTTACGTGAATTCTTAAATAAGAATTTATAATAATTCAAAAATAAAATTTATTCTAAACTTGACTTGATATTTTTTTAAGATTATATTGAAAAAATAAGATAATAATTAATGTAAAAATTGTGTAAAAATTAATAAATGCAAATATATATTTTTACTTTTATTTAACGTTGATGAAAAGATTATTCTTTAGAAGTATATATATTTATTTAAAAAACAATCAATAAAGTTAATATAAAAAACTATATTTGAATTATTAGATGGTTTTTTAAAATATTGTATTTGAAAGAAATTGATTTTAGAATATCAAAACAATAAATAAATAAATAGTAAAAAGATGGTGTTCTATGTGTAAGTGCATAATTAAATTTATAATAAAACTAATGTTTTAATATTTTTTGTTTATGTATCATAATTATATAGAGTGAGTTCAAAACGTGTAATATAAAATAAAAAATTTATTTTTTAAAAGAAAATACTTAACTTGTAACGAATACACTAAATAAATTTAAAGTTAATAGATTAGAACAAAAACTATTACAAAATTGATTTTAATAAATTTTGATTATATATATAAAGCAAATAAAACAATTGAATTCTATTTTTTCCTTCTTAAAAAAAATATATTTTTATAATTCTTAAATAATATTTTTGATAATATATTAATATAAAAATATAAAATTAAATTTTTTTTTGCTATATTGTATGGAAAATTGAAAAAATAATGATCATTTTTTCATAATTTTAAGATCAAATCCAATAATATAAATAAATAAATTGTTGAAAGAAACACAAAAGACAAAAGAAAAAGGAAAAAAGAAAAAAGCATGGGCTCTTGGGCCCGCAGAGCTAAACTCACACAGCCCAACCACTTAAAAAATTTAAAAAAATAGTAGATGCCTCGTTGCTTGGGCTATGCACAGTAGACCACACCTCATCAGTCTCGAAGTTGCTAAAATCTTTATGGAAAAATCGTGATTTCTAGTTTTCAGCCTTCCAAAGCCGATACAGCGTCATTTTTACCTCGAAATATCTTAAAATCAATCAAATAAAATAAAAAAATTATTTAAAATCTTAAAACTCATTTTAATACCTAAAAGAATAAATCAAATTCAAAAACTCAAAACTATTTTGAAATCTCGATCTCCTTCGTCAAACTATTTCATGATTTGGAAATATAATAAATAAATTTTTTTTATTAAAAATAAACAAATTAAAGCCAAGATCCACAATCAAAATGCCTGCAATAAGTATCGGCGTGACTTTCTCTCTTTGTTTCTTTTACTAAACTGTGATATAAATGAAAACCAAAACAAAATTTTTAAGAAAAATTACGAATCAAAGTATTATATTTGTTAAAATTTGCATATCAAATGTATGAACAAACTGCAAAAATCACAACATTATCATTTCAAATGCCTAATAAAAGTCCAAAATTGCAACAATGCCAGGTGGCAGCATAGTGCTGTAGTGAGAGAAAATACACTATTGTAAAAAAAAATAATAATAAAAGAATTGAGGTTTTTACTGTTTATTTACTTTAGCTTTATTATTATTATTAAGGGCTGGTCCTCTTCAAAGACTAACCAAGAAGAAAAAATGGAAAATGTTAAGAGCCATGTTACAATGCCAACCCTAAAGAAAAAACTACCAGCAATAGCAGTTGCCACGCTTCGATCCGTTCTTGCAGCTCTGATCAAGCCTCCCATTGGGGCTTGGATACTAAGTTGTTGGCACCTTTTTTGGATATCGTCGGGTTCATGTCCATTTTGCATTTCTAAGGGATCCCAATTCATCTCAGGCTTTCCTTGTTGAAATTGCTACGACAATAAGTGGATTTGTTAGAGAGATGGAATCTGGGTTAGTCAGAATTGCAGTGGAATGTGACAAAGAGAAAGGAGTGGAGAAGAAAGCTGAGAGATTGTTGGAAGAGCCAATGTGGAGGACTTATTGCAATGGCAAGAAATGTGGTTTCGCTACAAGGAAGGAATGTGGGCCTAAAGAGTGGAAGGTATTGAAAGCTGTAGAGCCAATTTCAATGGGTGCAGGTGTTTTGCCAGGGTGTTCAGCTGATGGCGAACTCATGTACATGAGAGCCAAGTTTGAGAGAATTGTGGGGTATAGAGATTCCGAGGCTTTCTACAAGATGAATCCTGGTAGCAATGGAGCAGGCCTGGCCTGGCTCACAGGCTTGCACAAACAGTACCAATCAGCATTTGTTTTTTTTTTTTTTTCCTTTCGATCATTTATTTTTATATTTTTTAATAATGAAATTAGGTGTAAAAATATATAAAAAATATATTGTTATTTTTGTTTAGTTTTACGTACAGTTCAACGATAATAGAATATATATGATATTTTTAAAGATTTTAGTTTAAACATATATATCCGATTATATTATTTTTATCGTTTAAAATTTATTTTTTCAATTGTTTGTTTCTTATTAAAATTCTCATTGAATTAATTTTTTAATTTTATATAAGTTTATTTGTTAATAAAATTGTTTTTTTTATATATAGATTTTAAAATAAAATTTTAGAACATGATTGTTTTCTTAAATATATTATTATAATTTATACGATCCGTTATTTTTATGATTTTTCAATAAAAGTAGCTTAGCTGCATATATAAATTATGATGAGGTAGAGAGAGCTAAAAGTGTGTTTTAGATAATTTGACTTAATTTTTTTAAAAATAATAATCGGTAAAAAAATAATTTGAATTAATTTTTTTCAAATAATTTAACTCAATTTTTTTTTTAAAATAATAATTAGTTAAAAAATTCACAAGTTTTATTATAAAGAAAACTAAAAAAACCGAGTTATTTGAACGAGTAGCAAGCATATATAAAATCCGATGAGGGATAGAGAGAGCTAAAAGTGTGTTTTAGATAATTTGACGTAATTTTTTTTAAAAATAATAATTAGTTAAAAAATAATTTGACTTAATTTTTTTTAAAAAAATTAATAATTAGTTAAAAAATTTCACAGGTTTTATTATAAAGAAAGCTAAAAGAATTGATGTATTTAAACAATGGCTATTGTTCATTTATTATAGATTATAATTTTTAAACATTTTGGTCTTTGATATTTTTGAAAGTTTTATTTCGACCTATGTCTTTATTTACTAATACATTGTGGTCCATGATGTAGAGAGGAGGAAGGAAAGAAGAAAGAAACTGGAGGAGAGAGAAAGAGCATCATCCAAGCTTATTTAAGCCACTTTAGCTAGCCAAACTCCATTATATTTTTGTATCTTTGAAAGATGATTTTTCTATGGTGATTTCAAGTCATCAAATAATTGGAGGAGGTAGATCGGAGCCAAAAAAGAAGAAAAAAATCTAATTTGATCATGTATTTTCTTTGTATTTTAATGTGTATCAAAATGATTTTTAAGGTTTTAAAAGTGTTTATTGAATTTATTTCGATCATTTAGAGGTGTTTGGAGAAAAAATAATGCTGAAATTGAGTTTCTTAATGTCCGAAACTTGATCCGTAAATTTTTAACTAAGATTTCAACGAGCTAGAGTTCGACAAAAGTTACGATTTTTTTTTTTTTTTAAACAACGACCGATCCCTAGAGAAGTAAGCTTGAGTAGCCTTACTCGCGAGCCTAAGCACGGTGGCCTCTCCTAGCCACACGGGGCAACCGAGTGCGAGCTTATCATTTTTTTTTCTTCCAATACTTTAATTTATTTTATATTTTTAAAAGTCTAGACACCGATCTCATGATAAAAATAAAAAATAAAAAATTGGCTGATTATTTTAAATCTTAATGTGTTTTAGGATTGCATCACCAAGAGAGAGAGAAAGAGAGAGCTAAAAGTATGTTTTAGATAGTTTGACTCGATTTTTTTAAAACGATAATGAGTTAAAAAAAAATTCACAAGTTTTATTTATATTTATTCATAATTTATCGGAACCAATTTTGTTGTAGTTTTTATTTTAATCTATTGACTTTAATATATTTTATACAATTTAAGTGAGTTTTTTGTTTTTGTATATTTTTGTATTTATTATATATACTTTGAATCCGGTAAGTATTATATATATATATATATAGATTCGATTTACATTAATCACAAAAAATAAAAGTTCTACTCACATTACACTATACGAATCGTTAGCCCTACGTATGTAACGGTTGTTTGCACGTAGCATAGCGCGGGTATCCAACTAGTTTATTACTATTTAAATTGTCCACTTCTTTTAGATAGAGTAAATTATAAATTAGTCCTTTTAATTTAAAAAACAAGTTAATTGGTTCTTTTTATTTCAAAAATTATTATTCAATTATTTGATTAGTATTAATCATACTTAATTTAATATTTTTTATTTCACAAAATGTCTTATTTTCTCATCAATCTTTTCATATATATTTTTTATTTCTTAAAACAAAAAATTAAAATATATTGAAAAAGAATAAAATACGAAACGATATGTCGTTGTCTATCGCATATAACTACATAAGAAATACGCAGCGTTCGACTCCAAACGATTGGTCGTTTTTCCTTTGAAAATGACTGCCTTTGAAAACGAAGGTTGCAATGGCTTCTCAGTTCTCACTGTCTCCATCTGGTTCGTCTCCTCCACCAAATTCACCAACCACTGCTACACTACAGGTTCCTCTCTCTCCATCATTCACATGCACTTGTGTTTTGTGTGTATCTGGCTCTCTGTCACTTTGTTTTTTCATTTCTCTTTGTGTTCAATGCAAAATATTTACTTTTTCCCTTCATTTTATCAACATCCAAACATCATTTTTCTTTAAAAAACAATTTTTTTTTTGCCTAGATGAGATTAATGCGTTAGATGGGGGTCTTTGTTTATTGCTTCTCACTTTTTTTTTTAAAAAAAAAAATCTTTAGCTTATGCGGTTGTGTGATTTCTGTTTTGCGCAGGTTTTTGCAGTTTGATTTTGGCATAAAGTTTTTTCCTTTTCAGGTAATTACTGATGTAGATTGCTTTCTGTAAAATTTTTCTCTTTTTAGTATGTATCAATGATGTATTTATCGGTCATCATTCCTCTTTGAAACCCATTTAATTTTGGATGGTTTCATGATTTTTTAAGTTTTTTGTTTGCCTCATTTATTCATTTTGCTTTAACTAATCAGTGATTTCAACAGCTAGAATTGAAGTTCATCCGTAAAGGATAAAACCTTCAAAGTTTGGTTTTTTATATGTTTTTAAGCTTTTCTTTAGCATTAATTCGTAAATGGGGTCCTAGTTAGTTTTCTCTTTAATCGAGTGATTGAATAAGCTTATTTGATGATGTAGATTTTAAATGCCCCCTTTTAGCAGGATTTTAATATTCTTGTAATAATATGAAGAAGAAGAAGAAGGTAAGTATTATTGATGGTGTCAGTGCTGCATTGAGCTCTGATGACATCCTATGCGAGATCCTCCTTCGGGTGCCACCAGATACACTTTTCAGATTAATCATAGTATCGAAGAGGTGGCTTCACACTGTCTGCAGCTCTGTTTTTTGTCAACATTATCTGAGACGATGGCCACTGGCTTTTCGCATGTTGGGCTTCTTTGTGTGCAATAATTTGTACCTTGGGAGAGGTCAAAGTGGTTTACGCCGACCACTAACTGAACCTGCTATGCCATTATTGTCAACTTGTAAAGAGGGTGATGACTTGAAGTTCTCTAAGATCCTCAAACAGTTTGGTTACTTCATTGACTCTTCCAATGGCCTTCTTCTTTGTGGTCGCCACCCAAAGAGATATTTTGTTTGGAATCCCATCACCAAACAACACTACAAACTACCTAAGCCTCGAGTATACTTTGAAGACTTGTGCATGGCATTCCTTGCTGAGGATCATCCTAGTGACAATATGTGTTACAAGGTCATTCGGGCAAAATGTGATTTCAATCTTGATGATGAAATGAAAACTGTCCCCATTGAGACATTCAATTCCAAGACTAGAACATGGAATTTTTCTACACTGACGTGTCTTCCAACTCTGTCACTATGTCCTTGGTCAGCGGCCACTGTGGTGAAAGGTGCTGTTCACTGGTATGCAGCACAGAGAAACTTAGCAATCTATGACCCTGATAATGGTGAGAGGCGCTTATCTTCAATTAAACTACCAGGCTCAATTGATTTTGAGGAGCGTGCACTGGGGGAGTCCTTTGATGGGCTTTTGCAATATGGTTGGAGCAGTAAGTCAGGCTTGGAGATATGGGTTCTTAGAAATGAAGAAGTTGGCCATGCAATAGTTCCCTCAGATGACGGATGCCCAAACAAAAGTTGGAACTTGAGATATAGATTGAACTTCAAAACAATGTGGAAGAAGAATCCGACATTCATGACAAAATTTTGCACGCGTGATAAAGAAACTCAGATACTGTCATTTCTTCATCGAAACTCTGAATCTGTCTGCATCAGATCTGGTTCAGACATATTTCTCTTGCACCTCATGGACCAAAAGGTTGAAGTTGTTCTTTATAATGGTCGTGGTTCGTCCATTTCCTGGGATTTCAGCAGAGTGGCACCTTACTTCAGGCCAGATTGGCCTCATTCTTCCTTATGCCTTTGTTGAAAGAGTATGACATGATTAGGTACTGCTTTAAAGTAGTTTGTAAATATGGTATATGTGATGCCGAGAGGTGGTTTTCTCTATTTAGCGGCTTTATGTAGTTATCTTATGTTCGCATAATCAGTGTAGACTTCAGGGTTTCCTTTGTTCTCGTACTCTTATTTGTGTGTCTGTGACTGTTTTTATGGATTTTATGTGCTTGCACAGATTTGGTGCAACTCTTTTGCCATACTTCAGGCTGTGGCTCTATTTCCTTTTCAATACTTAGCAACTAACTATACTATTTAATGTAGTGCTTCCTCAAGCATTGCTTCATGTCATCTGCTAGCATTCTCATGTATCATTTATTATAGCAAAAAAAAAAAAAAAAAAACTGCAAGGTTGGGTAGCTACTTGCAGTGTTTCTTCAGAGTTTAATTCTCTTCCATTTACAATTACTTTTATTTTGATCAGTTAGAAGATCTGGTAGTATCGGTTCTCGTATTGTTTAAAAATTTTTGTTTCGTTCTCTTCTCCTGTTTGTTCAACTCAGAGAAAAGTTGTTTTGGAGCAGAAAATTGTAAATACCAATAGGCAAACTTTGCTCATAAGAAATACTTAGCTTTTCTTAACCGTTGCTCACATTGAAGAAACTTTTATGCGACTCTTGGTTATTCACTCTAGAAAGTAGAGGTTATTTCTGAACTTAGGATGGGTCCTTTGTTATTTCATTTTGGTTTCTCTATAGTAAAAAGTGGCTATGTTTCTTCTCGTGCTAATTGATTTACAGTATGATGCAAACTTGTAGTTCTTTTGGCTTGAAAAGCTTGCACTTTTTATATCACGCAATGTGGCTTGATGATGCCCGGACCTCACTCTTCTCTTGATGTTTCTCAATTAAATATGCTGACTTTTTCTTTGATCAACTAAAAGCTGTCGCTTTTTATTTTCTCATTAACGAGGAAAATTAACCGGACAGTTTATATTCAAAAGGCTGGCTTTTATAGACAAAGAGGTACACAGAAGCTGAGAACTACGGTAGAAAAAACAGGGCACGTTTCTGGGCAGAATGAGCTAGGTTTTCAATCTCCATTGCCTCTAACAGTGAACTGAGAAAACTTCATTACACTTGCGAGGAAGCAATGGCATCCCTATTATAACAATGAAACTATTTATCAAAAAAAATTTCAAAGTTAGCCATATCTGAAGCAACGCAAAGTCAATGCCATAAAAACATCCACTGTAATTGAAGAGCTTGAAGCTTGAAGCTTGAATTCACATCTTCAACTAGATAGACAGATTCTTTGAAAACAGTATCGCAAGCCACCAACGCCAAGGATTTAGGTAGCATTGATTGAGTACAGTAATCACAAAACAACTATAAAAATTGCATGCCAGCAATGATCCAGGTTTTATAATCAACTAGAAATCGTTAACAACTAAAAGTAAATTCTCTTTGGTCTTTTTCAGGTACTTGTTGATCTTTCAGCATTCTAGACAATAAAGATCACATTTTTTTTATTTCTCACCATAATAGTGCCCGTCTTTGAACGAGGAAAATTCCATATGTAAACCTTGACAGGCAGCCAGCACTGTAAGTTCTTCCTTCTCTCTTTTTTCTTCTAAACAAAAGCTGCACACTGAACCTCACATCTCCACTCTCCTTATCGGCAGTAATGGCATTTGCAACCGAATCGGATATGTTCATTGACGAGGCAACAATATTGGCTTGCAACAATTTCTGCTCCTAATCGAGTTGGATTGAAGTGCCGATACGTTCTTGAAAGAAACTCATTCTTGTAGCACAGAAACCTCTACTTGATCGAGATAGTATGTCCATGGAGACCCCGGAAGAAAATTGATGTTTTAGTCTACTTTAATTCGAGAGTCAGAGACATTGAAGGATGACCCAAAGATGGAATTTGATGAGGTCGTGAACCTCAGTTGATGATGTGTGATGAGATGACTTTTTCCTTAGCTGGTGTAGATACGGGGTTTGGTAGTAGATGGAGGTTGAAGTGGCTAGAATATCTGCAAAACAAGTCCTATGATGGATTACGAGACCTTTCGATAACTAAATCAGTGTATAGAGAGAGTTGGTTGTTTGAATAGATAGTGGTATAGCGATGCAATTATGAAATGAATAATTGTCTTAATAGAAAGATTCAGAATCTGAAGCCTTAAGCTCTTTGACTGTTTGTATAGCCAAAGGCCTCTTAAAGTTACATAAAAAGAGGAGTAGAATAATCCATTCTCTTGTTACCAAGTGCCAACAACTTGTGATGCCTATTTATGTGACAAATGTACTTGATGTTGACGTATCATAGTTAGAAAAATATGACGATGTATAGTTAACATTAGTTAGACAAAACTGATCTCGATCACGTTCGCATATTCTCATTTAATAGACATGTTATCCGTCCTTTCCAATTGATGAGACTAGGTTTAGTCTTTCGAGCTTGGTGTTTAGAGTAAGGTTGTTTTGTATGCTTATAGGGCTGATTTAGTAGGGACTACTTTCCCATCTGCGTCATCGCCAAAGTCCCATTTTCTTATCAATTCATTCAGATTGGATCTCTTGATCTGTCAAGGATTATATGATGATATACATGTCATCTCGATATATGGTACTCCTTTGTTTTCTCAAACATGATTGTAGAGACTAACTTTGTTTTTAAATTTTAGTAAGATACCTGTCTCATTTGGGATGATCAACAGTTCGTTTCATTCATCTTTTTTCTATCTATTATAGTTAAAGTCTTTATTAGAGTCATTTACTTGCATTTTTTTTGGGGAGACCATTGTTTGCATATGAGGGCATTGGAGAAGGTGAAAAGACGAAGTCTTTTGAAATTTGCAAAACCTACCAAAATTCATCCATGCCATTTTCTGCGGGGCACACATTGCATGTCGTGATTGGCCATCCATATTGGGCCTGCTAGAAAAGCATGGGCTTTTTGGGTGATTTGGTGAGGGTGCTCATGCATCTAAGCCTATATATACAGCAAGAGAGTTCCTCCTCTTCCTCGTTTTCGTCTCCATCTTTTTTATTCTCTCTCTTTTCTATTTCTAATAGAGGCAATTTCTATCAAGTTATAAGAGTATTTTTGGGGATTTCAGGTGGTTTTTTTCCCATAAAATATCTTTACAGAAGTTTTTTCAATTTTTTTTTGGTGTGGTAATCACCAATGAATTGATGGTTTTGTAAAGAAATGGTTTTTATTTATTTTTTGTGACGGTCCAACTCTTTTCTGACGATCGACGATATTTCTGATAAATAACCCTCTATCTATTTCTTTTTTGTTTGAAAAAAACAGTAGAATTAGACAGAATCAGGAGTAAACCTAAAGCTTTCTCAAGTAAAGACTATAAGAAAGGGGAGGCAAGCCTAAATGAGGAGATGGTAGTTTCTCATGGGGCTGTGCAGGAGCCTAGGTCTCTCTGCTAATGAACATCATATTCTCATTTAACAGATGTGTTGTTTGTCCCTTCCAATTGATGGGACTGGATTCGGTCGTCCGGACTTGTCTTGAGGGTTAAGACCATTTGATATGCTCATAAAGATGACTTTGCGGGGTTTGCTTTCCCACTTGTGTCCCAGGTTGAGTCCCCTTTTTTTAGTCACTTATACCGTTTATATGATGATATGTCTCACCCGAGTATATGTCAAAATCCACCTGAACTTTTGGTATACCAGTCATGAGAAAGTGTTCTGATATACGAATGGTGGTTGAGAGTTAAACCCTTAATTATCTACCACTGATGAAGGATTCATAATTGTGGATTAAAGGAGACAATCAAAGAAAGCTTTTGTAACTTCATCGATTACCAACAAAGAATGATGATAATTAAGTACTGTATCTTCATATAAATAATAATCATGAAGCCCCACTCACAATTTTATAGGATTCACAATTTCCATACTCGGAGGCGATTCTTGTATAATTAATCTAGAAATTTCTTATTCTTGAGTATTGCTTGTGGAACAAGGATTAGGGTTTGACGAATTCACTTCAAGGGAAGAATCTGGTAAGCTTTTTTGTTCTGTCCCTCTTAAAAAATATCAGCTAGTTGTACAACAAAATAGAGAAACGTCACTACATTAATATGGGAGCAATGGCATCCCTTTTTGTAGCAATGACTGCCTATAGAAAAAAAGGAATTTCAAAGGAAGTAGTAATGTCTAGTGTAATGCAAAATCTCTCAAAGCGAATAACCTCTCACGAGGACATCTACAGTTAAGGAGCTTGAAGCTTGAATTTACATCTTTCGGTAAGAGAGGTAAGGAATAGAACTCAACCCATTTCTGCAGTGTGATAGTGTTTAATCAACTCGCGGCAGCAAGAAACTAAAGCCTGAGTTCTCACGAATCAGAGGTGGTGGTTCAATGTCAGCGATATCAATTTGTTCCATGGACTTTGATAAGTCATCAACTGAAAATGGAATACTGCAAACAAGGAAATTTTGTAATAGGTCAGTGACAGCCACAAGGTCAGGTTATATGAAAGGCAGCTTGAGCCATGGAAAATTCTATCCATAAATATGGTTTTTTTAGCAGGTTTCAATATAAGCGGAGAGCACTGGTTTCTTGCTGAAAGTTACCAGCACTCATCCTTTCCAGCTAAAAAATTCTAGTACGGTATCCAAAAATGTGTATCCCAAGTTGAAATAATAAAAGAAAAAAGGTTCAATGATGCAGAACATGAAGGAAAAGCTCATATTGTTCACGGACCTTGAATCATCATCCAACAGGAAGGAATTACTAACGGCATTATTTGAATCTTCTGTCATCAACACCCTCATGTTGGATATAACCTACACAAAAAGCATACACATGGGAAAACTCAGCTGGATCAGTTTTTCCTTACATGTAATACTTAAATGGTTACAAATGTTCCCAAGCGACAAATATGACTCTAACCTAGTTTAGTAATGGCATCGGTAAAAACTTACATCCGTGGACACACTATGTGTGCCATACTTGTCGTCCCAGTACATGGTACTGATCCTGTATAGCTGCTGGATACTCAGAACCTGTATACAGAAATTAATTTGGTTATTACATATAGAGAAGATCATGACAACGTAGGAATAAACTATATCAGGGCGCTCTTAGTTCACTCACCGGGCACAGGTCATGGCTTATTTCATCCAATGTTTTCTTAGGCTTTTGATGAATGACCTACATCAGAAAAGGATCAAATTGAACATGTAATTGTGTTCTAGTGGAAGAACTGGTAAATTTAGAAAGAAAAAAAGATACCAGAAACCCTATAGCCTGTCTAATATGCTTAAGCTCATCCCAGGCTGAACCTGCATACTGCATTTATATTTTGGCTGTGAGTAAATCTTATATCTTATGACCACAAATGCGAGGAAGTGAATTCTAGGTACCTCATCCGTTGCTTTGTAACACCAATGTTCCAATTCCGCCAACCCAGCTTTAACATATTCACCATTACTAAAGGAACAGCATTCTCTTCTTAATAAAAGACTGCCAAAAAAAAAAGTGTCCTAAATAACCAGAATTATGGCCAACTTAGAAGACGAAAAAATGGGAGCTTAGACTGAATACCTGTTGAATAGTTGAACATTGATGAAGGAAAATATCTGAGTGAACACCTTACGAACTAAAAATGGGGGTACCTAGAGGAGGAATCATACAATAAGTAATATGCATTTTGCATAATATTAAGAAGGTCTGAAAATTATCCATTAAAAACAAATGAATTCAGTAAATTGATTACTCCTTAAGTTTTGATTAATTGAAGTAGAAAGAAATGGAATGAGAGAGTTCCTGTGGGAAATTTAGAAAGGGAAGTAGAATTCCTTGAAGCTTCCCTTTATAGAAGAGGATATAAGAGCGGGAAAAAGAAATTGAACAGTGAACAGTGTTAAATATTCTTATATTGTAGAAGATGTCATCCTCCCGTCCTTTCTACCTTGTGCATGATGGCAACTAGATCTGCAAGAAGACTATTTACAGCCAATCCCTATCCTATAAGTGAAGTAGGGGAACTTTTATTTAAACAAAAAAGTTCTCTTACATGATTTGTTTTCAAAGTGTTTAAGAAGTTTCCAAGGCTCTTCACAATTCCTTGCCAGTGAGCAATCAGAGCTTGCTGAGCTGCAGTGTTGGCAACTGAACGTGCCCCCTTCACTAAGCTTGCTCTGGATGTTCTTGGTGCCTATGTAAATCATGTTCAAACAAAAATCTATTTAAGAAACTTCTCAACAAATAATTTAAACATGTTCATAAAAGTATATTTGTTTTATATAACAATGTAGCCAGCGTTGCACATAGAAAGGATACCTGGATGCATAATCCAAGCAAAGGAGAGATTTCTTTCTTCAGATTATCCCGAATCATTCCATAAATTTTCTCTACATATGCTGTAAGCTGCTGCTTGAAAAGCAAAGCTGGATACTTGGCTTCAACTTGCCGCAGCGTGTCCACTCCACCATTAATGCCCCCATTGATTAAGGATAGATTGACTCCTTGTGGAGTTCCACGGAAACTCTAAAGGAACAAAACACACCTGAATTTAGTAAAGAAATGAAATCATCCTGATGGCTTTTGGTTATTTCAATGAGAAACTTGTGCATGCCTGCGTCATTCTTCCAAATAGAGTAGCGGATGATGATCGTCGACGCTGGGGAGCCATTCCAGCTGCACCACTTGCTTTCAATGTACGTTGAAGCAGCAAGAGGAGTGTCGAGGCATTGGATAACCAATAGGCCAAGATATCATTATTATCCTGGGTCTGATGTTCAAATTGAAATAACATGTGAAAAGGGCCGACTTCTGGAGGAAAAAAATGGTAATAAATAAGAACATTAATGCATAAGATTTGGCATTACAAACCTCAATTGCATGGCCTATGGTCTGAATGATCCGATCAAACACACTAGTTCGCTCTACTTCAAATGATCTCCACTGCAAAAGGCACTTGTATATCATACAAGCAGCGATAGGTCTGTTCCCTGAAAACCCTAGGTGTTGTGCAACACAACGAATGAGCAACTCCTGGTTCTCCTGTTGTTTCTCATTTAATGACTTCTGTGGCTTATCATCTACTTCAGAGTGCTCCCTGTGGTTCATTGAAGGACTCTGAAGATCCTGATCCATTTTATCAGGTGAACAGCAGCAGAAAAGGAGTCAAGAAAGAACATTTCAGTAACTCAAAAAACTGAAAAAGTAAAATTATGTGGGCGAAGCTTACCAAACTTGCTCTTGCAGCATCAACTGGAATATGACTTTCAACCCTCTGCCAAATGTCAGAAAATGGGAAACGCTTTAAACTCCTTCTGTGACAGAAAATTCAGAGTCTAATAAATGACATTGTAAGGAAATACCTGCATAATTGATCTGGAGCGTCCTGAGAGGAACTTGTTGGGCGCCATGGACAGAGCCTGTTGCCTTAGGACTTGATTCTCTGACTCTAAATTGGTAAGTTTCTCTTCTAGCCTGATAATAAAAATGCAACTCAAATTAAGATTTTCCATGTTACAGATACTAATTGAAATTTTGGAAGTTCGCAATCCAGAAGAATTATAGTTTTCGGCAAACAAGTGGTTGGTACAGCATTAAATAAAGTAGGCAAGAGCAACTAATCTTGATATCCTACTTTTGAAAGGATTCCTGGAGTTGTTGAACCTTTTTCTCTGTTTCTTCCAATTTCTTTCGTCTTTCTTCACTAATCTCTTGTACTTCACTGTATTTCTTTTCAGTATCATCAGCTCTTTGTTTCTCAGAATCTAAAGTGACCTGCAGTGCATGACCAATGACAAGATTGACTAAATGAGTTACAAATTTTACAGCAACTGTACATACAATAAACCAAAACCTGCAACGTGTTTCTAGTAGTAGATGAGTAATAAATATGCATGCATTGACTCAAACAAATCCAAATTGTGGAAAGGGATTTTTCTAAATTATGCATTATTTTTTCAAACATGTTTCTTCATTTGGAAATGATATGATTATCTAATACTGCATATTTGATTCTACAAAGGAAAATAAAGTAATTTATTGATTAATATATTGTACTTCTTACCTTCAGGTTTTCTACTTCTTCGGTTAGAGAATCAATTTTCTTAGTATCTTCAACAAGTACTTGAGTTTCTTTAATTACAGGAGGTGCGTCGTCAATAGCCTTCTTTGCAGCCTCCCTCTCCTTGACTATTAATGCATTGGCTTCTTCTAATTTGTTTTTCATTTCTTCCAATGAATTCTGGAATTTCACTGCCTCTTGTGATTTGGCTTCTTCCAAATCAGTCTGCATGCATGATTTCAAGCCTTTGCATGAGCATATATTTATCAAACTCCATCAATTAAAAGCAACAATTTCTTCTCATCATAAATGATCTGATAACTATTGAAGGATGTTGAAGTCAAATAATTTTCCATTTAGATTCAAAATTGAACTATTTTTCTGGATGTTGCGTCAGTATAATGCTTTTTGCAATATGTGGTAAATTTACACATAACCAAGAAGTTTCTCACTGGAAAATATCATTCTGCAGAACATGTTACCCTTAAACGTTTTTCCAGCTGCAAACGCCATGTGAGTTCCTCTACATGTTTTTCAAGCTTATCTTTGGCTTCTCTTAGTGCACCTGTGTCTCTTGCAGCCTGCGAGAAATTGAAGATGTATTTCAATAATCCTATTTAAAAATTACAGGCACAAATATGAAACAGGTTTCGAGCATTTAGCAGGATTGAAATGCTATGCATGACATACTATTCATATCCAATATATGCTGTGATTATAGTTGTTGGCTTTTTTATGATTATGAAAGCCCTTAAGGAGTCAAGGGTGGCCTATTGTTCATGTTAATTTTTATTGAAATATCCTCTGTTTCTATTATCAAGCTAAACCGACATAGCTCAGACCAAGTGTTTGGCATTTCAATTTGAAGCTCATGCACTATCACCATGTTTATGGCTTACACCAATCACTTGCGTGGAGTGAAACTTTTGGCTGTTCATTACCATCCCTTTTGGCACTACCTATGATTTTGATCAAATTTCCTTATCTACACTTCTCTATATCTTGAAGAACTCGGTTTTTATTTTCAATTAATTGGTTATCATCTGTGAGCCAATATATTCAGATTATCTTATGAAGGATAGATGATATATGCATTCCCAAAATTACATTCATTAAAATATTTTATTCCCTTGGATCGATGACTTTCGAACATAAAGTTGACAATTACACATGGAAGAGAGACATTTTAAAATCATATAAATAAGAAAAAGCCCAATACTGACCATTTTGAGCAACCTTAGCTCTCTCCTAGCAACTCTACACCTCCATCCCGTTTGCGTGACAACTGCACTTCTCTTTAGCCTCTTGTAGTAGGAAGCAGCTTTGTGACAGTGCCATCGGGCCTGCATTTGCTCATCCAAGGAAAGAGTAATATATTTGACTGTTGGAGGACCAGAAAGTAGAGAATTAATAAATAAGAGATATATAAAGGGTGTAACCTGAATAATGGCTGCAGCTTTAGATCGCTTCCTAAATCTGAATTCCTTGCGAGCAACCATTGCCCTTAAACCTGTTTGCACCAGAAGCGCGGATACATGAAGTTTCTTGTAGGCTGTTCTGGTCGCATATCTACGTGTATGCTTCTGAATTTTTATAGCAGCTGCCTCCCTTCTCATTCTCTCATAAACTTTGCAAGCCAGTCTTCCTACAAAATCATACAAATTGGTGTAAGAATACGTCAAAGATAAAACTGGTTGCAGAAGAACAGCATTAAAAAAAAAAGTGCATGTGCAGTGAGGAAGAAAAAAGACGTGTATTTCTAAACCAGGTTGAGCTAGTAGATTTTCTAATTAATGAATCACCTCTCCATAGTGATTGCACCACTATGGTAGCCTTCCTCAATGCAATAAACCGTTTACGAGCATAATGCGTCCGCACGCGGCCCTGGATGGTTTTTGCTGCGTTGTTGAGTACCTCAGCTCTCCTTGCATCCAATTCAGCCATCTGGCCAGCTCTCAAGAATACCTTCGTTTTACCTATCTGCAAGCCATTCCAGGGCCAATTGAATAAACACCCTGACCAAGGACTTAAATTGTTTCGAAACATATACGTGACTGGGTGAAGGACCTCCATTAATTTGAAACATAGAAATCAACTGTGAATCATGTGTAACACATTTCATTCGTGTTGCTTTCACGTCAGAAAACACTCTCATGATGATCTCCTACATTGTCTGCTATTACCACAAGAAGCAAAGAAACTTCAGCTTTACCTGGAACCCTTGAAGCCCCTTCTTTTCCAAAATCTTTTTGCAAACTAACTTTTCATCATAGCTGCGGACAATAAAATTTATATTTAACAAATCCACATTTTTTTAAAAAATAAGCAAATTCAAGAACTGATTCAAAGTAGCCACAACTTTACAAGGAAACAAGTCACAATTATCTTCTTAAACAGCAGTTTATCCTGCAACAAATTGCTTACCTTCCTTCCAAAGCCTCTGGGGCAAGAAGTCCAAATCGATTTATGAATTCAAAGAAAGGACGGCGAGTAGGATAGCCAGCCATACTGATTCGGATTGCTTCTAAAACACCCTACATGGACAACCATTAGTATTAAATTAACCAAAAAGAAAAAACCCGCAAGAACTTGTGAAAACCACCTCAAAACTCAGTAAATTTTAGATTGTAATCAGAATCAGATGCCTTTCTTTTGCAAAAGACTTGGAGAAAGATACATTTTGAGAAAACCAGCTCTACAACGAAGAAATGCTAAATTGTACTTACACCACAACGCAATTGCTGCATGATGTTGACATTCTCAAATATTGCAGGTTTTAGTAGATTGTTTGGCTTTACACATCTTATGTAGTGAGGTTCCGTAGAATTCAATGTTTCCATTAGTTGCTGTAGTTGTAGCTGCATCATTTTGGATACAGAAAATCAGTTCTCAATTTCCTGAACAACAAGAAAACATACAATACCTCGGAAAAAGACATAGGGAGTACATATAGACTATCAGATCAACTGTTTTCATGTAAGATAAAGGCTACTACCTTGGTCATTTAGATAAAATAGGAAAACTACCTTAAAACGAGAGCCAATCGAAGAGAACTTCGAAGATTTACTTGTCTCCTCTTTAAGTTGAGGGAAAAGGCCTGCTACAAAAGGACATTTGGAAGCACTCAACAAATCTTGATGTTCGGGAACCACATAGTCCTTGTTCTTGTCCAAAAAATGGTCTGATTGATACAGGACCTGAAAATACGACAAAAATAATCTTAAAGTAGCAGCAGTTCACATCATACAAGTATACGCAACTAATTTTTTTATCCATATTGCTTACCTCTCCAGCATAATGAGCGATGGTGAAATCTGTGCGAGACAATTTTGGCTTGATAAAACGCTTGTGAACTTTAAATGTCTGATAAAGCTTATTTGAAAATGTTTCGTGTGTTGACTTTGGAAACATGCTGAAAACAAGGCAATGTTCACAAGAATTGAGAAACCAATTTGATCTTCAACAACAAGCTTAAAGAAGGAAACATTTTGCAGCTGATAAGAGATGAGAAAAATACTAAATGATTATAAGCGGTAAGTAGAGTCAGAATTCCTTGCATATTGATGAAAATTATCCTGGAAAATATAGACTATAGTAACATACCAAGCTTCATCAAGGAGAGCTATTATTCCTCCAGGTTTCTGCAATATCCCAAAAAAAAAAAAAAGTACATAATAGGAGCAATGGAGTATAAAATGAGCCAAAAACAACTCGGAAATAGTTAGAAGAGCACTAAAATTTGCACATGCATGCCCATTAAGATCTTTTATCTAGGATTTAGGTTTAGGAAAAAAGGAAAAAGTGAATCACAGGGGAAAAACCTTTTCGATAAGGTCCAAGACATCTTGATTATCGACAAACTCAATGTAGCTCCAATCAATCTGCTCTTTTGTGTATTCCTCTTGTTCCATTTTGAAGACGTGCTGGAAGTCATTACAAAACTCTCTTCGGTTACAAATTTGACAGTTACTCTAGTTAAATGGTCAACATGATCTGCAGCATTACCTGGTTGAAATGTTGCTGCAACTTCTCATTTGTGTAATTAATGCAGAACTGCTCAAAGCTGCGCAGCAGGAATTGTAAAATTGTTACGAGAACTGCCCAAGTAGTTCCTGCAATATTTATAAATATAATACTATTCATTCAATTATATGCATCTAGTTTTCATTGCTTCTTACCTGTTTGTCTTAAAGCTTTCAAAACCGTAGATGTCAAGGACTCCAATCAGAGATTTTGAGTTAGGATCTTGTCCAATGGAACTATTAATCTTATCCACTATCCTGTACATAATCCAACACTATTAACATCATATGACTCCTTAAGTTAGATAGGATATCAACACTAATGTCTTACCAATCAAATAAACGAGAGTAAATTGTCTTAGCTAAACCATCCCTACTAATCACTGCACTTTGAGGATCAAGACTTCTCTTGATAACCTCCTCAGGGGTGATCATGACACGCTTACATAAAGCATCTTCCAAGCCTACAGGATCGCACCTGAAATAAACAGAAACTCAATAGTTACATCTACATGAAAGCAAACGTATCAGATACCATCTATGCTCATATATGAAAATTAGAAGTTGTGGTGTCATACATTAGTAGCTCTGCTGTTGTTTTGAGATGGAATTTAGCTTGGTCATCTTTAGGAACCGATGAATCGACTTCCTTTCCCTTAGTAAAATCAATATTTCCAAGATGAAGGACTGCAGCAACAACTCTGAAAATTGCTTCCTGGGAGAGAGGGAGATGGAGAGAGGGAAAGAGAAAGAGAGTAAGATGCTGGACCGGCTGGCAGCAGTCAAAAGCATATTTCTTGAAAAGCTATACCTGCTCCTTTGCACTTATTCCAACAATGTCCATAGCTCTTCGAGTGGCAAGATAGTCATGGGCATCACTTACACCAACTAGTTCGAAGCAAGTTGACTGGTTAAGATAGTGGAATGATTTTGGGCTCCCCAACTTATACTTCTCTACTTCCTGTTAACAAAAAGCAAGAAGTTGAAACAAACTGGCCTAATAAACATGCGCCATGGACTATAAAATCACAGTCGGAGCTATCATTTCACCAGAAAGTTACCTCCTGTGGCGCGGCACAAAGAAGGTAAAAACAGTGGTAGTTGCGCTCAGGACTGGAAACTTGGCAAACACGAGATCTCTCTAGAAGGTAAGTTCTGATGGCAGCTCCAGAAATTCTTCCATGCTTGTCAAACTGGATCTCAACAAATTTACCAAAACGGCTGCACCAGTATTAATTTTAGGAACACATCAATGCAAAAACACCAATGAATATAGTTTTGTAACTACTTAATGACACTGTCAGTAAAATGTTTGGAGGTAGGTCATGTCAGTATCAAATACCCCCTCATTGTTGTGGAAGATTTGATGCTAAAGCATGTAGCATTTTAGCTGATATTAATTTCATGCCAAAGTGAATTATCTCACCTGGAATTGTTATTTCTAACAGTTTTAGCATTCCCAAATGCTTCAAGGACTGGATTTGACTGCAATCAAATCGGATAATAGAAAAAGTCTAATCAGAATTCATATGAGAAATAAAAGGAATGTCACCAAATTAATGGAAGATAAAATGGAATAGTGAAACTTCAAAGTTTAGAACATAAACCGAAATTCCAAACATACTTCAAGAACTTGTTGTTCAACGGTTCGTCCTTCAGTGGCAGCTCGACCACCTAAAAATGCAAGGTACCTCATAAGCATTTTCGTGGTCTCAGTTTTACCAGCACCACTTTCACCACTGACCAAAATGGAATTGCTTTTCCCTTCATTGATCATTGCCCTGAATTTAATAAAGCATTTCGTTCAATGTATTTTCATTTACAAAGAAAATGACATAAGAGTGAAAAATGGGAATAGGAATAACCTGTATGCAACATCAGCAACCGCAAAAACATGAGGACTTAACTCTCCAAACGGTGCTCCCTTGTATTGTTGCATCATGTGACCATCATAGAGATGAGGCAGTCTTTGAAATGGATTAATGGCAATAAGAATATTGCCAGTATACGTCTGCAATAGAAATGTGGAGGTTTATATTGTTGCACAGACCATCGAGGCTGAAATTAACAGTTTTCTTTTTGCTTTTTAAACTTAGAGCAGTGTCAGTTATGTTATTAACATGAAGGAGAAGGAAAATTTACATATATTTCATTCAGTTCATATCTTGTTTTCAGATTCTCCAGAACCCCGGGCTCATGCAAGTAAGAAAGCTTTGTCATGTCATCAACTCCACCAGCTGGAGCTTCCATATCCTTCGGATATATTTTTGATAATTTTGCAGTGACCTTGTATTTAGACAAACAGAAAAGAGAGTCAGGAAGCAGGAAAAATCAAATATGAAATGAAATGTGAACATTGTTCTGATTACATGATTTTATTTTCCAAGTTTCATTTAAATTTTTATTTATATGTGCATAACCAGTATCTAAATCGTAAATGCGGATAAATATTACAGCAAGATTAATTTTAATTTTTTTTTAACAATGGAGATATGCATGAACAGTTAACGAGGACACAAGATACGAGAAACAAGAATTTCTTCTCAATTTCAGACATGTAGAACTAGTCCTCGAAATGCAAATCTAATATGATTGCAGAGGAAAAAAGCATCAAAGTCTAAGTATAATCGTTATTCCATAAGCATTAACCAAAGGAACTGTTATGCCATAGGAAGGGAAATCAAAATAAAACAAATTCAAGGCATTCGATGCACCTTCTTTCCATTTGAAGTCTCGATCTCTGCATCCTGTCCGGTAATCTTTGATACCGTCCCATGAAGCCAAGCCAACTCTTGGTCTTCAACCCAAACCTCAGAACCTACAATTATATTCTCCGTACTTCCCTGCAGAAGCAGATATTTGAAGCATGAACATATCAGATGCAAAACGTAAACACCTAGCTAGAGTGCAATATTACTTTCACAAAATTTGCATATTGGGTTTCACATTCTTGACTAAATGCAAGGAAATCAAACGAACAGATACTTGACGTTTAAGTCCCCACCATAGCACAAGGCATGTTGGGATATTTGTTATTGTAGTCAAGCTATATTTATAAAACTAGACAAGAGATTTCAACATATAAAAGAACAGGTCTGCTCTAAATTGTCCTGGTAAAAGTATAATATCTCCTTCCTTCTGTCTCCGAGGTTTCAATAATGCCAAAACTATGTCTTTTTTATCCGTCTCAAACCTAAGGTGTAAATAGCCCTTTACTTTTCATTGATGCAATTCCTATCTGAAACTTGTTCAGGATCAAAGAAGAAGAAAAGGAAGTTGCGATAAATGTCAGCTTTGCCAACAACTAAACAGTATATTGCTCTCTTCTTCATGAAAGAGTTCCACTCTTGTTCCCATGCAATCTTAAACATTTTGGTGATTCCCACATTAACAATTAACGTAAATGAGTAGTTAATCGGATTGCAATATAAAGTTGCCAGCCCATGGAAAGCTACATATAAATTCCTCGGAGCAATCTAATGGCTTCAATGCAGCCACATTGTTGCTACATCAAATCCACAAATACCGAGTTTAAATTTTACATACCAAAGTAAGTTCAATCCCTTCCCAACGAAACGATTGAAGGCAAAAAACTCGCCATGTGAATACATCTTTCTAAGTAAAACACCGCAATATTTCATTCCATTATAAAGCACACAAACCTCTCTCTCAGTATCCTTCATCACAAACTCTTTCAATTTTACACCACTATCAAACCTGATTCCATCTGAATATTGCACATCACTACTACATAACTACATTCCTTCATGCTCAACATTGTCTGGATGGATCTACAGATAGAAACTAATGGCCGAGTTATGTTCCCTCGAATCCAATTCATCTTCTGATTTATTCTCCTCCCTGCAACTACTCCTTCCAGATTTTCATAATTTGACATCATAACCCCATATATCTAGTCTCTTTTCAAGAATCGCCAAACTATTTAGCATTTTCATTTTTCTTCAAAATGATCAGCCTAATTTTTATAGCAGCCAATTAAGTCTAATGTTGTAATAATTGTGTCCTATTTCCTTCAATAGAACACTCAAGGAACATAGATTTAGACCTTATCAATGGCATACCATTTACTCTTCCCTTAAAAAAGGGATTCATTTCAAACAAAGACATGATATCACTTGAAAATCAACAATAAAAAGAAATCACTTTGTAGGCTACACCAAAACAAAAAAAAAAGGTTAGTCAACTATTTATCCACATACCATTTTGAAGCTATTTAAATTCAAGGTTGGACTATGCAAGCTCCATCTTCATAAAATGTAAAGATCCAACCATTCAACTTTCTTGGCTCAAAATTCTACCTTGTTGATCACTCCAAATACATAACTAGAGCAATGAGCATATTGGCACCTCTATTCATGACCCTTTTACATACAAACATGAATCAAACTCACAATTTCATAAAAACTAGATCAAGTTAGATTTTTTTTAAAAAAAAAAAAAAAAACAACAACGACCCTAATTCCAATTATGGAAAAAATAAAAAAAGAGAAATGGATTTTTAATAAATCAAGTTTGGACTCAAAGAAAATGAAAATCTTGTCTCTTTCTTTGTTTAAAAGAGGGGAAAGAAAGAATGGAGAGTGAAGAGAGTTTCTTTTTTAGTGGCCAAAACTTAGTGAATGGAGAGAGAGGAAGACATGAGAGAGTCTTCAAGAGAACCTTTGAGTTCGGTTTAGTTTCCTTTCGTTTCGCGCCAATTCGTGGCTACCAACCAATTCTTCTCTCTCTTGAGGAAAATGTCTCCATCTATATACTATGACCAACGGTACGGGATTATGCTTCTTACTTCTTAATGACCGTTGATTTTAAACCATGATCTAAACATCATCATTTGGTGACGCAGCAAAGATTTCAAGAAGACAATTTTTATTTTATTTTTAATAATCCTCAGTGTAACGAAATTTTTATGACTAAAATATGACAAATACACAATGGCAGCTGGGGTAATTTTACTCAATTTTCTGGTCATTTATTTTCATGAGAATATTCGTGATATTTTCGTGAAAAAGGATTCGTTTTACAAATAATTACTTCTTTTTTCTTTGAATATTATGATAAGGAAGGAACTTTGTCATTTATGACGTTAATGAAATGGAAATTGAGTTTTGGTTTTATGGTTATACAATTCTATGCACCCATCAGGAGTTTTAAAAAAAAATTACCTATAATAGTTTATTCTATTTTTTTAAGAATAAAAATACTAGATTGTCCTCTCTGTACTCTTTAGAGCATATATTAAGAAGTCAAATTTAAATATTGAGTAAAGGAATTTAAATTTTTTTAAGACTTTCACATCCTACTGTACTTTTCGCAAAACCTATCCATCTCTCTCTCTCTTAAACATGCCTATCTTTCTTTTTAGATTTGCAAGTGTTGCTAGATTTTTTCCCAAAAGCAGTACTATTCCTTATCGTTCTTTCTTCCTTTCTTTCTTTCTTTTTTTTTTTTTCTCTTGAATAATATCTAATCTATATTACATTATTAGACCTTGATGTTTTTATGCTTTTTTTTTTTTAATTTATGGTAATATTTTTATGGATAGTTACCAAAAATCTTTTTTATAAAAAATTTCATCCAAAAAACCCATCAATGTTTTTATTTATCTATTTGACCCCAAAACAAAATCTTCAAGCTAAAAAACTCATTTATTTAATTCTCAATTTTTAGTATAGAAAGTTTTATTTTAAGGTTTTATAGTTGCAGCAATATTTAATGGATTTTTAATTTAAAAAAAAAGTATTTTACAAGATATATATATATATATATATAATGAATTTCTTTTTATTTAAACAAATCGTATTTCAAATACGTAACTGCAACTAAATGTATTTAGTTAAAATAGTTGTCAAAACTATGATTGCAATGTGTTTGTAAAAAAATTAACTTCATATGTAATAAATTCAATAAAATTTGCTTTAACTATTCCATTAATTCATGGACTATAAGAGACAAGCTTTTCTACATGCATGTATTTTTTTGTTTTACTCTTTTTAAATGCATTTAGTTTCTTTCATCAAATGATACAAAAAAGAGTTAATTATATTTTTGATATACAAACTCGTCAACTTTTTCTTATTTAAATGGTTTCGTTAATTCTATGTTGGTGTGTCTATTGACTCGTCATGTGAATCTCATTGTCAAATACATAGCAATAAAAGAAGAATGAAAAGAAAGAAATAAATAAAATAGAAATAGTTTTGATAGGGGAATTTCTCATCCAAAACAACTCTCTTTCTTAAACAAGGAAAACAAAAGATGTCTTCATCAACATGAATCACAACGCCATCATCTAGTCATCATGAGGACTTTTGCATGGACAGATAACAAGACTCGAAATAAGGTCCTTAATATGCCCAAATTTATCCAAAAAGTCTTGTGAGTTATTTGATTGTTTTTTTATGTTTTCTTAACTTGAAAATTGATGTTTTCTTAACAATGCTTTGGTAAATAAATATAGGAAAATAAAGGTAGAGGTAGTGAATTTTTTGAATGGAAAAATCCGCCAATTTGTAAACAAGCAAGACAAATAATACATGGATTAATAATCCATGGATTATTGAGAAGGATTCGAAAAAATGAAGGAGAGATTCGGATGAAGCAAAGGACTTTGAAGCTAATGGTGCTCGCTAGTTGTTTCGTTGCTAATATTATGGGTATTTGGTGAAATAGAAAATGTTAAACAAGCTATGAAATTGTTAATGATTGTTAGCAATTGTCTTTTTTGTTGGACAAAATAAAGTAGAGTTAAGTTGTAAAATGTTTGTGTAGATGAAAAGTCTAGGCTACTTGTTTGTTGATGGTGCTAGTTGTTTTGTTGTTTTCTTGGGTAGTCCGGGATAGAAAAAATGAGATGGTAGGTAATATAGTTGTTGAATCTTAATGAATTGTGGTTTGTTAGACTTATTTTCAAATGTAAACCTTGAAGAAACATCACTAACTTTCTATTAATGAAATATAATTTGGTCATAATTTTCTACAATTTAGTTTTATTTTTCATATGTGATTATGATAGTGGGTATAAAATGATATGAAAAAACATTTGAAATCTCTTGTATAATATGTAACCATAGCTAACCATATCAATACTTACACATTGTTAAAATATCAAAACACAAGAGTGAAACCCAACTTGCTATATATTGACAAGTTCTAAATAGAACTTCCAATTGCTACCAAACACATAAACTAATATTCACAAGACTTAAATGTAATAGGCTCCCTATTACAAGTCAAGCCCAAAAACGAGACTTCATAAACAAAATCATCCAACATATTAGTTTCGGTATCAAACTCTTGAGTTCTAATAGGATTTTTTTGGCTTTCTTCCTCTTCTTGCTTTACAATGCTCATGTGTTTCAACATTTGAATCTTGAGTATCAATTGTAAAATTTGTTGTCCTTCTTCATCTCCTCGTTTGTAGAGTCGTTCATGTGATATGAACCCATCTAGCTTGATGGCTAAAGAACCCATGAACAAGATGATTCGAATCGTAGAAAGCTAAATCGATTTCGAATAATGATATTAGATGCCACACTCCAAAATAGGTAGAAAGGGAGTGATAAGACTATACATACTATGCGAACGCGATAAAAATTGTTAAATTCTTAATAAGTTCAAGGTCCGTTATTGGAAGAGCTTAGGAGAGAATTTTTCTCATAAAATAACTCAATTTTGATTTAAGGTTTGATTATTTTCAAAAATTACAATGTTTACGCCTATAATAAGTCGCTAGAAATTGAATTATTCAAAAGTTAATTGGCCAACATTGGATCTAACAAAACAATCAACAAACATTAACTTAAGTCTCCTCTATTTCTTAAATACAACTTAGAAAGTCTGAAACCATTATTTTGGTTCAAGAATTGAAGCATCTAGCCGTAAAGTGGTGAGTTTATTTTGGTTAGCAAACAATAACAACATGTCTTGGCCCAGCGACAATTGAATCAATCTTGACCTAAAAGACACTAACCCACAAACCAAACGAGCAATTTTAGCCCAATACCTAAAGTACTTGTGTTTTCAAGTCTAATTGATAGATAATTGGCTAGGCCCAATAGCTTAGATGATATTCACCAAGCCCAACTCTTTATCCTTTGGCCCATTGGAAACTTGAGCGACTCATGTATTTTGAAGAAGCCGATCCAAAGCCTCTTTAGGCTTTTTGACCCTAGCTCTTGTAATTGGACCTCCTTGGATGCTCAATGGGTCGGCCACTCTTTGGTCCAGACCTAGGTTGGCAATCTAGTTCTCATCATATATGTAGATGTTGAAATAACAATTGAATTTAGGGGTATTCACTATTCGGTTTTAACCAAAAAAATCAAATTAAACTGAATTGAAATATCAATTTTGATTTCATTTTTTGTGAAATTTAAAAAATAAAAACCGAACTGAAATTATTTTGATTTTTGAGTTCGGCTTGGTCTTTTATTTTTAGGTTTAGTGAAAACTGAAAAATCGAATTAATTTTTTTAATATATATAGAAAAATTAAACCTTAAATCCCTAAAGCTAAAGAAAAAAAGTTGCCACTTTGCTAGAGAATAGAGAACGACCATCCCCTCCCCCTCCCTCTTGTCTCCTCTCTACCTCTCACTCTCACTATGACTCGGAGTGATAATCACGATTAACCAAGTTATTCCTCCTCTTCTTGCTCCCTCTTTACCTCTCACTCTCACCGTGACTCACAATGGTAGCCACCTTATCCTCCTCCCTCCTCCCTCCTCATTCCTCACTACTCGATCTCTACTCTTAGTTAGGATTCATTATTCATCTAAGTCATTTTTTACTCTTCGATCTTACTCTTAGCTAGGATTAAGCCCATTCAAGAATTAAGAGATCTTAGGGACTTTAATAGAGGCCCTTGAGAATGGTTTTGCAAGTGAGTTCAAGTTATATGTTTGTTGAGATATATGGAAGAACGAGCACATTTTGATGCGGGGTTAAAGTATTCTTTGGGTTTTCCTATGGTATCGAAGTCGTCCAAGGAATTCTCTAGTTTCTTGAGCTTTGAATGTTATTGGGTTTTGAGAGTTTTGCTCATCCCTCACATCTTGTCGACGTTAAGTTATGAAATGGAACTTATGTGATTTATGTGATTTACGCTTATGTTTAGTATGTTTCATGTTTTGAGGCATTTCTAGCAAAATTAAAACAAGTTTTTTGTATTAATTTTATTTATGATGGGCACATCCCACTTTGTTTGTGTGTTCATGGAACTTGTGCGAATCCTTGAACTAGAGGCATAACACAAATCTCGTGCCCATAATCTCAAACAAAGAACTTAGTTAATTGTTAATTATTAGTTGCATACGGATCAATGCTACCCAATTGTATGTGTGAATAGATTGAATATCTTTGACGACCGAGAATCGGTATCCATAAGGTCCCTCTCACGGGCATCATTGGGCGACATTAAATCATATGCCATTAACTTGTGCTTCTAGTTGTATGGTAGTTTATACACAATCCAAGCAACCTAAAAGAGGCAAGTTAAAATACGGACTATAGAAATGGGAGTCATACACTAAAATGTTTTTTTTTTTTTTTCATATTTTTTAGAAAAAAAAAGGTAAAAATCGAATTACCAAAATTTAAAACCAAAATATTGAATAACATTTTGGTTTTGTGTTTGGCAATGAGATCCATGTGACGATACTACATGTGTAGCTAATGAACACATCAATATAGAGTTAACGAAACCTTTCAAATAGAAAAATTTATAAATTGATCTATTCAAATAATAAAGATTAAAGTTTGCATACCCAATTGGCGATCAGTAAATAATTATTTGTTTTGTTGACTAATGATATTATACAAACAAATTTTTCATATAAAGTTCTCATTTATGTTTTGTATAGGAAACCACTCATTTGAAATTCAAGAGGTCCATATGTTATCTATAAATGAAATGACATTTTATCACATGTGATGTTCCAAACACGCTGCTTTCATTTGTGTTCCCCATACTAAAAATCTATTGACAACAGTTTTGTGTTTGCTTGGTTTTAAAGAATACAAAGAATCTGTCTTTCTCAGGAAACATATACATATATTTTTCAGAGGCATATGGGTTGAAAATGAGAAGATTAGACCTTGAACCACACGAGTTTTGACCTTCAGAAATGGCATTCTTCCCAGCTAATTCTTTGACCATATTAATTTTCTAGGAAACTTCCATGCCTTTAATTAGTCAATCATAGAATAAGATGTGTATCAATTCTACCAATAGATCTGCGTCTATTTCTCTAATTTTTATTTGTTTATTATTATTTTACTTTAATTGCTTTTTCAATAATTGATACGAAAGCTTGATAGAGATTGCAGGGACCTTGACTCCTTCCTTTAATAGCACGTGAAAAAATGAAGCAAGAAAACCCAAACCATTGCTACGATTTTCCAAAGTCTAGTTGTTTTTATATTAGTAGGGATGACGTCTCTCTAATGAACCACTCCCATAGTGACATGGGGAGTGCTTATCACTCAACTTCACTAATCACAGATCAATTTTTCAAGTTTCAAAAAGTAGTTTATATTGAATTCAAAAGGGTTGAATCATTAGGTAGTCATATATTATTACCTTGAATTCGTTGAAGTTTTGAGTACAATTTGGTGGGCTAGCTGCATATCACTTGGACTGAAGACAAACATTTTGCTTTCTGGTTTTTGTAGGCATGATTGTAACCTTTTCCATAGCTCTGATTTAATTAGATAAATTGGAAATTCTTACCAAAAAGACAAGGTTATCGATACATCATGCTTCTGGAAATTGAATTGTATAAAGATTTTTGGTGTTGATGTTCCATTAAATAATGATAAATAGATTGAAGTCCAATAATTGGTCTTTTGTAGTCAATTGATGCTGGCTTGCTCCGAAAGTGTTAGGAGGCACTCTACTGCTTTCACTGCCTCTTCGTCAACTACTAAATCTTTATTTATTAAATTATAGAGTAAATTATAGATTAATTTATTTAGTTTTGCAACAACAACAAAAAATTCTAATTTATTAGTCATTTCATCAGTATTGATTATATTTTATTTAATTTAAATTTATTTCATAATGTTTTTGTTTATCTTTTTATAATATTTATTTTTTAACTTTTTATTTAAAAAAATAAATTGAAAAAAGACACGACACGACACGAAAGATACGAAATAGACAAAAGAGAGTAATTAATTAGTTTTGCAAAAATAGAAAAACTAATTTATGGTTTACTTTTAAATTTAACATAGATAAAAAATATATATATATATATATATATATATATATATATATATATTGGTATATCAATCAATTAGATATCCTTCCATCCTTAACTTTCTAGACTAGAGTCTTGAGACTAATATACATAAAAATTTATTAATTTTTTTTTTAAATATACCAAGTTGATATAGAGGGCTCGTTCTTAAAATCGGTCAAAGAAAAGATTTAATTTAAATTGATGTACAAATTACACTCAAGACATCCTTTATTATCGAATAAGAATCTAGCTCTCTTTGTAAAGGGGAATTTAGGTCTACCTTCTATCTTTAACCAGTTTGGGACTGAGGTGATAAGTATGGGTTTTAACAATTGATTATATGTGTGTCCTTGGTGTTAAAAAAAAAAAAAATTCAAAAGTATCGTACCCTTGATCAATACTTTGATCGAAATGACCACTTTTACAACTCAGTCACGCAACTTTGTAGTAGTTGCAGATTCTGACATTTAACACCCACTAACAGTGAGTGGTGGATAACATACTCCATGTGAGTGACAAAAAGTAGGCAGACTCCATTAAAGGTCGATCTCATGGTAAATAATTTTATTCTCACGTTTATAATAGGGCTTCAAATGTCAAAAAAGGAACGTAAAAAAAAAAAAAAAAAAAAAAACAATTTCTTATGAATGTATGAATTTATATGTATGCGCAGAGCATTAAAGAAAAGAGAAAAGTGGGAGATAAAAGGAGCACAGAGTGATTGTTCATGGCGATAGATTTTTAGAATTTCTTTCTTGAATTAGAAGGGATAGTGTTAAATTTCAATGATTGTGCTTTTTTAATTGTTCAAACTGTATTACGTTGAGGCAGCCATTTTAGAAAGTTAGTTGGTGCCCCCACCAAACATAAGCGAAGGAAGTCACCTCTCTCGAACGTTTTCTATCCTCTCCAGTCATCCTTTTGTTTTTCCAATTTTGTCTTCTACCTAAATCCTCCTTTCTTGGAAGCACACTTTCATTTCAATTCCTCTTCACAGAAAAACACTATAAAAGCAAAGCATCAGCGCACAACAAAAGCAAAACCAACAGCTCTCTCTCCCTCTTCCTCATCTCATAGTTCCACCAAATATTAAAGAAAATGAGCAAGCTTAGTGAACAATATTTTGGTCGTCAAGAGCAACCTAAAAAGGGCAAAAAACCCACCAAACACAACAAAGAACCAATCAAGATTACGTACATTTCAAGCCCAACATTGGTTAAAGCAACCAATGCCTCTGAGTTTCGAGCGATTGTTCAAGAACTAACAGGAAAAGATTCCAAAGTTGAAGATCACCTTGATGCATGTTCAGTAATTACCAATATAGACGTCAGTCAAGTTCCTCAATATGGAACTCCACGGTTCAATGTCGAAGGTGAGCATGATGTTTTTCCCAATAATGCATCATTTCTACAGACAGAAGATGGTCTCTTTTGGGGAGATGTTTCAGAGAGGTGTTTTGAACTTCAATCTCCTTGGGTTTTTGCATGATTTGTAGTTTATGTTTTACCTGCAGCTACATGGCTGTTTTTGCCAAGTATGATATCCAGTTAGTACCTTTTGGATATTTTCTACTAATATTTTGATAACCAAAACTATAAGCTTGACTTGCACAAATAAAAATAAGTTGACGCAGAATAGCCATCAGTTCTCCACTGTTTGATGTTTTAAAGCAGCATAGTACTGTCTTGTTGGAAACCTATTGAGTGAATGAATGCACGCGTATAAGCATGACTTTTATCAGCAGATTCAGTTTCTGATTCTTGAAAACAAATTAAAACAGATGATTTGGATTCTGAGAAATGTTACTAGTGAAGTACCTAAGTGATGCCTCTGTAATTTCTACGGCCAGCAAATGCATGCTTTTGTAGAAGATGGTTAGACCACATTCAAAGCAGATTAAAACTTCACCAATATTCCAAGCACACCAGCAACATAAGGAAAGGGAGCAGGACTAAAGCACACCAAACATAACCTAGAAATTTACAACGGTATCTAGCACAAGATTCATTGTCTCAAGACTTAAAAGCAAGCCAGCAAAATGTTTGGGGCAAGTCTTCATGTTTTAGCAGGATACAAGTTTTCTAGGCAGCAAGTCCTCTCTGATTTTCTATTTCTAAATCAACTTCCTGACTAAGCTTTCCTAAGTTCAGATGTTAACAAACCAGCAGGTTCACCATTTCATGCCTCTCAATTCCCATCATCAGCAGATTTCAAGTAAAGGGTTTCACCTCCATCCCCACCCTGGCCACCAGAGCTTCCCCCTCGCCCTTCACTAGACCCTGCACTTCGAATGTCTTGCTTGCTCCCACTTGCAATTCCTCTACCAGAAGCATCAATGCCAAAATCGGGAAATCCTCCAGCACCAAGTGCTCCACTGCCTCCTGCAGTGCTGGCCTCATTTTGAAGCATATGAAGTCCTGTGCTTCCACCAGAGCTCATGCCAAGCTGGCTGTGTAAGGCTTGTTGTTGTTGCAATGCTGAGAACGGCTGTTGAGCATACTGCAGCATGGAAGAGCGTGCAGCCATAAGGGCTTGCGGTGTCATCTGTTGAGCTTGTTGATGCTGCATGTAATGTGCTCCTGGCTGCATAATGCCGCTGGAAGGGAACTACAGGAAATTTGCAGATTAAAAAATCAAATTCAAACTGAAACAAATTAAAATACTTCTCAAAAGCCTGTGTACATTCAAATACTTTACTTTTTAATATCGGTTTTACCTGGGCATGCATGGTAGGGGGTTGGGGCTGAGAATCAGCAATTGCAGCCAAGTACATGAGGTTTCGTTGTAGTCTTGCTTGGTTCCTGCCACAAAAAAATGATCAGTGTTTAGCAATGTGAATATAAACAATTTCCAACCACGGCGGGGGCATTTTGGAGCAGATGCTGCTCATTTTTCTGTATCTCTACATGTATTTAGGCCATCAATTAATCCTTCAACAATCACTTCCATACAGATGGATTCAATTACGACTCCAATTAGAATGGGCACAAACAGACATCACCATTCACCAATACTGCAGCTCTAGCTTTTAGACTTCATACTATAATCCAAGTTGCCTACATTATGGAAAAAATCATTTTCCCAAATAGAATTCAACACCATCATTTCAGCTTGCCATGCTTTGGAATATCATTTTGGGATCACAGAGGTACAAAATCAAGAATGGAAGACGAGGATAGAGTATGCTATAGAATCAAGAAAAGTCACAACCCTGGAGGAAACAAGAAGACATTTTGGTGAAGGAAAAATGAGTAGAACATGAGCTCTAAAGTGGCATTCAGATGGCCACATGAAGTTTATTCGATCACTTAAAATTCTCATCAATTGATCTGTATAACCCAAAAGATAAAGAGGTGGGCTAATTTTGGTATTCACCTGCATCGACAAATGGACTAGTCAATTGAATTTAAGACAACAGCATGCCAAAGGTTCAAAAATGATCATGACTGATATTCAGTTATACAGTTTAACAAGCAGCCAAATGCAGAAGATCTCGATGTCTCTTTTAACATGTTCCATCATTTCTAACAAAGGCTATAAAGCTATCCGTTACAGACATATAAACTGCAGACTATTAGCAGCAGGGATGCCTGCTCGTATCAGAGGGAAGGTAAATGTTCAAATAAAAAATGAGAGGCTAGTGCTTACTCTGCACACTCACTGAGTTTCCCTGAATTCTGGCTCTCAACTATCTTCAAAATCAATGACTTGTTTTCATCCAGATACTGCATGAATTAATATAGATAGTAAGTGGCAAATAACATGTAAAAGAAGTACACAAAGAAGCTCTTTATTCTTTCGAGAAAATCAGCTTATTCTCCAGTTGATTCATGAAAGGGACAAGAAAATATGGCAAGTAAATATGCTTAAAGATATATAACCAACTTCCTAAGCAATTCAATATTTTTTTTCTTTCCTTTCCTTTCCTTGACAGTTTCTGGCACATAAAAGAAGTGCTGAAGAACTAACAGAGAGAAAATACATTGATTTAAGATGCATGTCAAGGCTTTCCTCCCTACAGCAAGTGATAAAACACTAGCTTAGGATCACTATCGAATGCATTTTAGCTTAACTTATCACCAAGCCTTAGAAATTGATTTCATTAATTGCCCTCAGTTGTCCATAATCATACCAAGAAAAGAAAACTCTATTCTTGTTTCCATCATATTTAAGGAACATCACTGAACTAACAATGAATTGTCAGGCGCATTCAATTAAAATATAACACAAATAAAGCAAGTAAGCTATGTGGTTAATCTCTAGTGGGACAGAAAATTGAATAGCGAACATGGAACATGCAATACAGGTGTGCTAGACTATAAGGAACAAGTGTATCATAAGCACAATCAAAAGAAACACAAGTATCAACTTCGAATTTAGCCATTTTACAAAACAAAGTCAATAATAGAAGGAAGCTTTTAAGATTCAGTAATCCACAACATATTCATTTATTTCATGTCCTAGCAACCGAGTCCTAACTCAATCTTTGAACTCCACTGTTCGTTCTAATCGTCTAATTTGCAAAGCAAATGAAACATCTGACATCATGAATGAAATTAAGATGCTTTTTTCCAAAATACAGCAATGCTTCTAGAGGTTTGGATTATGTCCCCACCCAAATTATGACAAAATACACACAAAAAAGAAACTCACGCTCTTACAAATCCAGCCAGTCATTTTTTAAATGCTTTCAACGAAACTTGGATAACTTGCTATGATTGTTTTTTTCTCCAAGCAACTGCTCACTTCTCATACATGCATCAGTGAGCTAGTTGCATCAACTGGTAAGTACATCTAATACAGACCAAACATCATGAGTCATGCAAACTACAACCATTGCTCGCTTCAACAGCTTAAGCACTTTTACTGGCACATAATTTCATGGAAATTACTACTACTGAAATTTCCCTATTGCTATAGTGCTTAGAAGCCAATAATGCATTAGCAAAAACAAAACAACACCTAGGGTACCTTACTGTGTTTCAATACAGAAGAAGAATGCCATGTTGACCTCAAAATAGAACTTTATGACAAAAATGTACAGCATATCATGGAAATGCCTCAACATGTTCTGAAAACATTGAGAGGACCACTACAATAAGACATCTCAAGAGGATCGCATCAGCTATAATGCGAACATATCTAAACAAAAGACAAAACTATATTAAGAAAGGAACCTACAGTGCAGGGCATTATCCTATTCAATAACTTGCATTCTTGTGGTTAATACCTACCATTTGTGTTTTCCCTTGGAAATGCTCAATATACCTAAGATAAAAGGATAGTTAAAAAAATTCATGGAGTGAACAAGTAAACTACAGATTATATAGCTGAAGGCCAGCAGCCAACACAAGGTTATTTAACTGAAAAATAGGAACATCAAGAGGCCAATTTTAGCAAAATTATAAATTCGGGTAACCACTGATAGTTTTTACCACTGATTAGTCACAATCAATTGTGTTAAGTAAATTTGAAAGCAGCCATTATTATAAAATGGACCATCTTACTGTGTGAGTGCATCTATTCTTACCATTATTTGTCATGTTAATTACTATCTCCTTTTTGTGCTTGATTTCGATCAAATAAGAAACCTTGTCATTGCAAATCAACATTTCAATAACACCATTCTGCCTCAATGACCCATTAAGATCAAAAGGAGAAATTAAGAAATTAAGTTCTCACATTCTGCCTTAAAAAGTTAATCCAATAAGCCTAGCAGATGCACATATCAAATGAAATCCCAGCTGAAAAGTCAAGTGGCCAGTAAGCTATTTTTTATGTTTCCTTCATTGCAATGCTAGCAGTTAGTCACAAGCCATCTATCCATAATCAGACTTGAATATAAACAAACGCTTGTTAGGGTAAAAAACTATGTTTTTTATTAGCACTTTCCATTCTTTGGTTAAACGAACAGGTAAGATACCAACTCTTTGTCATATGGTAGCTGGTAAAGGCACCAATCATTTTTAGGCTATCCAGTTAAGAACAAAAAGAGAGAGGACAATAGATTTTAGAATAGCAATAAGATCCATCAATATTATATATCCAATATAGAATAAACAATTACACACTAATTAAAGAACAGCCAAGAAACAGTTACAAAAATCAATAGCAATATGCTATGTCATGTATAACCTGCTGACCTCTAGCTACACCATAAAATAGCAAACAATCTATCGATTCAAACTTTTGTTGCTAGGAAATACTACAGAGAAAGAGTTACTACCAAATAAGCAGAAACTATGAACTGGACATCAACCCAGGTGACGAGTAAAGCATATATAAGACATAAAGAGACAACAGAAAGAATAAAAACCCACTTACAAAATGAGATGAACACAAAAAATAAAAAATAAAAAAAAATAAAAAAAGAACAACCTTGTTAACCAGTAATACGCATCCAAAATTACAAGTAAAGTGCAAAAAGAAGTTGTCAATGATAAGGAAACAGGAACCAACAACAAAACTAAAAGAAAAAGGTAGCAAAGCGATAGTGAAAACAACAGAAGATATATATATGTACCCACTAAAAGTACCAGGGAGTTAAGAAGTATACAAAACACTCCAAAAAAGAAAAATAAGTAAGCAAACAAAAGCTGAAGTACTGGAAACAGGGAAAAAAAGAGATAAGAAGATAACAGGGAAAAAAAAAGAGAGAAACAGTGAAGTAGAGAAGAGAAGGGAAGAGAGAACCTGTTGAATATGATCAGTAGTGACGTTGCTGGGGTAGTAGGCTGCCATCACGGGCTGCATCTGCATCAGGTGCTGTTGCATTTCTTTCTTACTTATATTACAACCACAGACACACAAACACAAAAACACTCTCTTTTCTCTTTCGCTCTCTCTCTCTCTCTCCCCCCTGTGTCCTCCTCTGAGGTAGTCACTGCAAGCAAGCAAAAGAGATGCCTTTGCTGATTTTTTTCCTTTCACACACTCTCTCTCTCTCTCTCTAAGCAGACATAAGACAGTTTTTGTACAAGACAGCGAGAGAGCTGTATTTAAAGATTGATAGATATATATAGATAGACATTACAAGAGAGAGAAAGAAGCAAGCGTCTTTGTCTTGGTTTCTCGGTAAAAATGGTCACTTTGTTCCTTTTTTGGTTTTCTTTTCTCTCTTTATAATTGAGATGGCACGTGATAGAGAGAGAGAGAGAGAGAGAGAGAGAGAGAGAGAAGCGTCCTGTCCTGTCTTATGTACAAGAACAAAACCAAGAGGGAAGAGGATGGGAAGGAACTCTTGCAAGTTGCCAATGCAACGCTTGAACGTTTTCGTGTCCGTTTTTCTCACCATTTTCGTGAGGAGTCGTGTATAAATACAAGAAATAAAATCATATTTTTTTTCCTCAAAAAGATAAAACCCCTAACAAAATGTTATTTAAAATTTTTTATATTAATTTTTAGTTTTATTTTTTTTCTCAAACAGAAACAGATGGGAGTCTAAAATAGCTCTAAATGAAAATATTAGTTAGTAAAGCGAATTTGCGGATAAGAGCATATGAATACATGATGGTAAAGCATCGAAGAATCGAATGCTGCTCAGTAGTCAGCCGCGTTAACATTCATAGAGGAAGAAGACAGTGTTTGGACGACTTCGATTCAAAACTCCTGGTTTTTGGTCCGTGCAGCACTCTGTTCATCTGACGTTGTCACTTGCAAATTCAGATCCTCTTCTCTCTCTCTCTCTCTCTCTCTCTTTGTCGACCACCAAACCCTACCAGGCTCCACACGCATCATTTTTTTAGTCACAAAATCCGTCTGCCAACTAAGTACCATTCCCGTTCCGTTGGGAGCAGCTAGTCTCAATTTAAGAGATTTTTTCAATCTTGGCACTAGTCAAGGCCCACGAAGGTTTTTTTCTTTTTTCTTTTTTTTTTAATGGTACATAAATTTGTGCTTGGGGTTTTGGGCCATCGTAAATCGGTGTGTGAAAATGTTTAGTCTCTATTTTATTTTATTTTATTTTTTGGTGTTTTATATTTTGATTTTAAGTCCAGGATGACCATTTAATTCAAACCGAATAGATTTTCACAGGAATTTACTTAAATGGATTAGCTTATTTCTAAATACTTAGATTTTAGATCAGATATAAATATTTAAAAAACGTAAATATAAATATAGATTAAGTGAGAGAGAAGAATAATAAAAATTAAGCTGCTTTCTTAGAAATGAAGTGAAAATGTCAAAAAAAAATAATAATAATAATAATAATAATGCAAGTGTTAGAAATAAAGGGTTTCAATTTATCTAACCGATTGCTGAAAATAAATTAAATTTGATACGAATTACGGTAAATCGAAATGATGGAAGTAAAAAGGTTCTTATATGATATCCGAGGTTTGTGTATGTATTTGACCAGAAAAGGAGCGACCACCTGGGTTCTATTGACCGAATTTATTGTCTGAAATTATTGAGTGTCATAGGTATTAGGCCTCTGAGGCTGTAGCCAGTAGGGCAATCCGTGGATTCATAAAACCACAACAAGCCAAAATTCTAGAGAATCTTTTGATGCTAGAGAGAGAAACAGTTACCCGAGCACGAAAGTAAATAACTATGGGAATTTCTACCATAATTACCCAACTTTTATTTTTCACTAAATAGTTGCATGATTCTTCTACCCTTTATTTATATTTTGTTTTTATATTCATCTTTTTAAATTTAGTTTTTGTTTTAATCATGTAGCTAACGTTGTGATTAGATTACAACACATCAACTTATTTTGCTGTCTCAATATTGTTTATCTACTTTTTTTTTCAAGTCTTACTTTTTTTATTGAAAAAATAAATGATTTTTTTAAAATGAAGATGTATCTAATCATTTTCTTTAAAAATTGAAAAAAAAAACTAGAAAAAAAGCTATAGATAATTTTTTTTATCTAAGATATTCTTTATGAATTTAAATTTATCCATGATAGTAAGTAAATTTTAAGTATAAAATAAAATATTTATATTTTTTTAACACGGATAAGGTTTTAATTAAAATTTTAAAATTTTGAGTATAAATCCAACACTAATGAATTTCTTAATTTGACTAAAATTCATATTTTCACTTTTGAGTCAAATTAAAAAATAAAAATAAATAAATTATAATAGACTCTTATGAGATATTATAAATACTATTCAAAAATTTAAAATTTTAGCTAAAAATCTCTTTACATTTAAATATATATATATAATATAATTATTTTATTTTATACTCAAAATTTACCTATTATCACAAAGATAAATTTAAATTCATCAAGAATGTTTTCGATATATAAAAAAAATATTTTTATGTTCGTCTTTTTTAATTTTCTTATTATCAATCTTTAGAGAGAATGAATAAATATATCTTCACCTTTTTTTATCTTTTTCTTCAGCTTTTATTTTAGTTTTCAAAGTTCATTTATTTAAATTTGATAAACTAAAAAAATCAAGATAGAAAAAAGAGTAAAGGGATGAGATTAAGAAAAAAAAATTGACAAGTGGCACGGTCTTGTAAAGCTAACGGTGTGATTTAACATCGTTAGCTCAAAAAGTTAACAAAATGACGAGATTAAGATAGAAATCAAACATAAAGAGATGAACTTAAAACGAAAAGAATAGAATGACATGATATGGATTAAAAAAAAAAAAAAAAGTAGATGGACTAGTATAACCATCAACCCTTTTATTTTTTAACTAAAATTTAGATTTAGTGGTTTGACTTCTTATATAATGAATTGAATTTTCAATGTGTTCTTATATTATAAAAGAAGTTAATTACGTCACCGTTATTTAAGAAAGTTTTTAATCCATCTTTTCGATCAATTTTTTCTATCAAACCACGTGAAAATATCACATGACTCGCACATGATCTGTTTTTATGAAAATGCTTCTCTTAACTTAATATGTTAAGTTTTCAATATGTTATTATAATGAGTCTCCAATCTATCCTTAATACTAAATAGTCCGTATATTATTGTTGATAATTTTTCTAATAATGTGTTTCTCTATGGTAAATTTTTTGTTAATTAAAAATATTTAAAAATAATTAGTACATGTTATTATGTAAGTGTTCGGGATGTCATTTAACATTCTTTTAATGCTAAAAAGTCCATAATTAGCCCATAATTATAATTTAAATAATTGTTAATTGGTCGTTTGAGCATTTAACTAAAAAATAATTATGTAATTAAAAAATACATAATTATAATTTAAATGATTGTTAATTAGTCTCTTAAGCATGTAATAAACATGTTTTCTTTAATTACAATCAATTGATTTATATAATTATTATTTTTAATTACATGCTTAAGATACATTTAAATTATAATTATGCATCTTTTTAATCCAATCAATGATATTTATATCATTTAGTTATCTTAACACGTAATTCACATGTTTTCATTTATAAAAATGATTTAACATATTAGTAAATATCATGTAAATTTGTTTAATATTATACACAAATGAATTATTATAATGATAATAATAAAATGAACTATTTAGTATTAAAAATATATTAAATGACAATCCTTTAAACATTTACATACTAACATTTATTAATTATTTGTATATATTTTTAACTAACAAAAAATTCACCATAGTGTAATACATTAGTATGAAAATTATTAACAACAATATAATGAATTCTTTAGCATTAGGAATAGATTGGACATTCAATCCATTATATAAAGAAATAGTGAAAACTTAGTATGTTAATTTTAAAGGGGCATTTTCTTTAAAAAAGATTATGTACAGCTCATCTGAAATTTTCAAGTGATTCATCTAGAAAAAATTGACCGAAAATATAGATTGGAAACTTGTTTAAATAACATAAACATAATTAACTCGTTTTAAAATATAAGGATAGATTGAAAATTTAACCCATTATATAAGATCATGTCAAACCATTAATCCTAAATTTTACTTTCTAAACCACAAAAATTCTTTTGTTTAATTTTTTTTATATATAATCATTATTACAATATTATATTATAAATATAAAATTTAATTTACGTTTCTAACTTTAGTTTATAATTAAATTTTAATTTATAATCGTAAATCTTTGATAATAAGAACATGATTATTAATTTAGAATATTTTAAATTTGCATTTAGTGTCCCTTGGTTCATTATTTTTTAAGTGCATGATACGAGTCATTTAACAAATAACAAGCATATAATTCAGCACATGATTTTTAAACACAAAAAAAAGATATTGAATGATCCGTGTATATAACCATACTAATCACTCATGATTTACTAGTTATTATGGATCACTAATGATTAACAACAAGATTTTATATTTTTAAATCACATATAATGTAATAATATTTTAAATATATACGATTTAAAAAATAAGATTATCTGTAAAGTGCTACGTAAAACATAAAAATTACAATAATCCGTTATCGTGGATCCCTGCACAAAAATCATTAGCCTCTCCTTTCAACGAGGATGCAAATCTCAATCAATTGCCTCATTTATATTATCGGAGATGTTTTTATTAAGGGGTCATTTTGGATTCATAAATAGACTTGTACATGAAAGCTAATTTTGAAGTTAATTTGTTTATAAATATAACAAACTTCTTATTTTAATAGACGACAGATTCCTCATTTATATGTAAAAATCAATGCATAAAAAAAAAAGTTAAGTAAATTATATATTATATCCGTCTACGCATGATGTTTCTTTAATATCATCCTAACACTTAGTTTATTATTAAAGTTATCCTTCATTAAAGAGACGAAGATTCCTCAGAAAATTTATCTGAAAAAGAAGCCGCTAGAGACATTCAAAAATTCATATAAATACTTAATGATAAAAGTTGCCTTCTTTCATCTTTAAATTTCATCCCATTCTTTTATTGTGATTTGAATCTCAAACTCTCAAGTGAAAATTTTTAAATTTGAACGGTTGAAATGTAATTTTCACCATAGATAAAGTTGTTTATCTCACATGACTTGAATCAAACGTCATTAATATGTTATATAAAGAAGAACTAAATCTTAGTACGTATACCAATGACAGTATCTCAGGAAGGACAAACGAAAGTGATTCGACACGTAAAAAACATTTAAACGTGAAATGAAATGTTGGGAAATGCATGCATGGGACCCAAAAGTTCACATGCCTTCAGCTAGTGTAATCCAGTCCATTTCCTACTGGCCTTCATAGCTCCCTCCTGGACAAAGCACGAAGGTCAACGTGACCCCAAACTTATCCTCTAGCAGTGTCCACCATTCCTTGGGAATCTACTAACTGTTGGAGAGCTAGCTAAAAGCTTCAAGCATGCACACTATCGTCTCTTACAAATATCACACCAATCCTGTCAATAGCTAAGAAAAGCAACCGCATGCAACAGTAACATCACTCTCTAACTTTGCCTTCCTTTTATATATGGGCATCTCTGCCTTTTCAAGAGGGTTCCTTTCCACTGGTGGTGGGAGACCAGCAATATTAGCCAAATGCTGGGTCAATTTAAAAGTAGACACAGTGGAAATGAAAATAATAATAATGAGGTAGGTGATGCTCCCAGCTCTCCGAACATGATGGTAGTTAGGGTGTTTCAATTGATTTATGTTGTCCAATTCCAATCCCATCATTTCCTCTTTTCGTAGCTGAGCTATGCCTATGGCTATCTGTGTAAGATGCTTGTTCATGTCCCTACTGGCTACTGCCACTTAACACTTGCCTCCACGCGCCATACCTCTCGCAGCTTTAGCCAGTTGTTACGAAAAGGGCCTTTTTCATGTTGCGACGAAGTTAAACAATAGCATGATGAATCACAACGAAAAATTATACGGTAAATTTGGCGCCCAAGTGTAAAACTGTCCATCTACGTTGCATCAATCCTGTCGTTTCCTCCTTTTTTTTTTTTTTTAATTTGTATCATCAAGCTCTCGAATATAGTTTGCACGGGACAGAAGGGTTCCGTTTTTCAATCGATAGAAAAGCAAACCGGGGTTCCTAGAATTCATCTACCAGTCTCTTACCTCTACAGGTCTTACTCTCTCTCTCTTTTTCTTTTTTTATCCTCTAAAATATTCAGACTAGTCCCTTGTCAAATACATAAAAAAAAAAAACAGTTATCCAAAAAAATCTTTTACATATATAAAAATTTGAATTAAAAAACATTTATTCAGACTAGTCCCGTATTATGATCTATTCTCTTTCTTTGAATGACGCATAAGGGAAATCTCCGGTCTGTTTTTCTTCAGTTTTCTTCTTGAAGTTAAACAGTTATCCAAATCACCCACACAAGTCGGTTTTCTTCTTGAAGTGCCACATGCATAGACAAGCTACAATTTTTTTAGGTGCTTGTCCTTGTAGGCACTGGCAACTGGCAAGTTCGTCAAAGAATGACGAGGAACGTGTCTCTTGCCATGATTATAGAATTGAAGTTTCTTGCTATCATAAATACAAGCCAACCACAGCACAGTACTCTGAATTATTTGCTATGGATTTTACTTTTGAGTTTTTGTTAGTAAAAAATTTCACTACGTCTCCTTCTCCAACTTCTTTTATCTTCTTGATTGAACTTGATGCTTGACCATTCATCTACACTTACGATTTTTCTATTTCCTTTATATGTAATAAGAAAAGGAAGAAAAAAATAGGAGGTTGAAATGAATGGATAAATTGTGAAAATGCTTTTTGTGCCAACTTGAGATATTCTAAGTGTTATACACACAAAAAATGTTATTAGTGCGTAAGATGTCTTGATTCGTGAAGTTTCAAATGGTCAATTGATCATTATAAAGGGGGAAAAAGAAAAAGAGAAAAATTGGTTACTATTAACGACGTCTGAACGAACAACAATTACAAATGAGCATGCCCATATTTGTATAAATTTTGATTTATGAATGCATAATTGATCAAATACATATTTTATAAACTATAGTATTTATTTGGAAATCGATCAAGAGAATACAAATAAAGTAAGCTTATACTTTATATGTGATCCATTGGAAAAAAAAAAAAAGCTAAAAGGGTCAAATCTATTTTGAAATTTAGCCTATTTAAAAATTAATTTTCAAACTTTTAATTTCTATTTTGGCTTATTAATTTTTTTTTTAAGATTTAGTCTATCTTTCAGTTTTTGTCATCTATCCTAAGAAATAATAATTACATAAAATGCTTCATAATAAAAATCATTCAGTTAAACTCTCTAAAAATTTTGAAATAATTATGGATTATTTTTTATTTTTTTATTTTTAATGTTTGAAAAATAAATAAATATAATTTTCAACTTAGAAAAATATTCTGGAATTTTTCTAATAAATAGATCATATTTTTTTTCAAACAACAAACAAAATTTCAGATTAAAATATCAAAAATTAATTTTTTTTAAAAGGAAAGGATTGATAGCTGAAATCATAGAATGAACTAAGTGTAAAAAAAATCAAAAAAATCAAAATACAGATTAAAAACTTAAAAACTAATTTTTAAATCAATTAAACTTCAAAGAAGATTTAATCTTTTAACCAAAAAACAAGAGAAAAAGCAAAACATTTTTACAGCCATATTTATATCAATGGATAATTAAGTTTTAGTTTCATAGAACAGACGCATGAAAGTAAGCTAGCAATCTCCCGTCCATTTGGTGAGCCATTGTTTTAAAGTAAGCGCAGGGTGACGCCTAGTTAGCATATGGTAAAATATAAAAAAAATACATTTGCCATGTTTCCTCTGATATTCCCTGCTTGGTACTCGGGAAGGAATAAATACCCTGCCTCATGTTTTTTCTCGTCCTTCGTCAGCATCTATCAATTGGCTCTACAAAATATGCAAAAAGGACGACTGTTCGACTGTTCGACTGTGATGGGGATTGAAGCCCTTTGGATAGAGTGCCGGTATAATTGATGCTGTAACGTATTGTATTTGCCTAGGTTTTGTAGTCAACCAAAAAAAAAAAAAAAGGACAGCTAAGATAAATAAATGATGATTAGGAAAAATGCTGGTTATGACACAAATCACATGTTGCTTTCTTGCTCAGTAACGCCACTGCCAATCACCATTTCCATGAGAAACACTGCATCGCCACTTTTTCCTTACAAAAATTTGTAGTCTTGTGCTTCGTCTCTGTAATCACCGCCGGTTTGGTAATGTGTTTGTGATGTACTGGAAAACACTTTTCAAAATCTTCTTTTTTTCCCGTGATTTTGAATGTTTTTGAGATGAATATGTTAAAATTATTAAAAAATATCATCAAATCGATGTTTGTTCAATACAAATATACCTAATTATATAAGTTTTAGAAATCACAGTTTGATACTTAATATCCTCGGATTATATATTAATAATTTTTTTTTATTTTTAAGATACCTTAGGTTAGAAAATTCAGAATAATCTTTGCTGTTTAGTGGAAAATACAAAATAAATATAACTATTCAAATAATTTTATGTTTATATACGAATTTGAATTTGAAATCATTTATTTACGTGATTAAATTCTTTTCATTCAAATTAATCTCTTTTAGTAAAAAAAAAAAAAAAATTGCTGTGAGAATGAACTTGGACGGTTGGTTGGATAGGAAAAATTAATGAAAGCTAACTTTGCTGCATATCCTCAAAATAATTACGAATAAGTCCATATAATGTCTTTTTCGAGAGTTAGGAGTAGGAGAAACGTACATGAAGTACACCAAATTATTAGTTAGGATTAAAACCTCTCTTGTGGAAAAAGAAAAGAAAGATGGAGCAAAACTTAATGTGCTTTTAGCATTGATTAGATCCAATGGATGTGAGAATATGATGCTTAAGTAACTCCAAAGTTAAAAGTTATACTTCGAAGGTTTCTAACTTTTCTAGGTTTTAGGTCCCTTCCTCTCTCCAATATAAGGACAAGTTTTAGGGATTAATAATAATACTATAAACAATCCGGAACTCTTAAGCCAAAACCATGTGACTGGCCAAGCAGTAACACTTTGGGACTTGGGCACACCCAAATATTATGAGTGTTTTGCACAAATAAAACACCTTCAAATTTTATTTGTCAAAACAAGGTTAGAACTTATTTTCTAAAATATGGTTTTTTTTTTTGTCATTTAAATCAAACCCTTTACACATATTGATTATTTTTTTTAATGCTAAATTCCCTAATAATTATACAATAAATTACAAAATTTGAAAAAAGTTTCACAAATTGATGAATAAATTTAGCAGTTAAATGAAAAACAAAAACCGACTTGTGTGGGTGATTTGTTGGAGACGACAAAACCTACCTGTTTTGAGAAATAAAATGAAATTAAAAGTATGTCAAAACACTCCAAATCTTACAGGTAAAAGATGGAAGTAACTAGATACTAACGTGTTGCCCACATAACCTGTGGAACGTACCCTCTTTGTCTGTGGCTGTTAGGACTTCAATTCCTGCTCCTCATTTATTTTGCAGTTCTTTTCTTTGTCAACGTACACCTGCACACAACTAAGGTATCCCACACGAGTAAATGCTAAACACAAATTTTCCAAGATTAAAATCTATTACCATGACTTTAGATAAAAAAAAAAAAAATTATATCACTTACCTGTATGAACATTTCAGAAATTAAACACCTACTTATTTCCCTCTACTGCTTAGGGAAAAAAAAATTACAAAGAATTCATGCTATCGATCATTATGGAAGAGATCTTCTGCTGCTCTATTCTATGCAAAATCAAGTAGTTCCCCCATTCCATTTCTTTTTCGGGTTAAGAAAGTACCTTCCTTCTTTATCCTTCCTGATCAAACATTTCCACTTGTTTTCGTTAAGAAACGTACTCGTTATTTATTGTGGAGAGGGAGAGACAATGGAAATCATTACCGGAGTTCAATCAACTCTATATCTTTGACTAGTTGCTGATCTCAAGTCACTATCTGTCATTTAAAACATGACGTGGCACGTTGGTTGCCATAATTTATTAAAGAAAATATCACGTGCGTATATATCGGAAGTATTGGAAAAAATTATCAAGCTATTTGTTTTTTCCGAGAAAAAAAAATCAATTTCATCAATATTTTTAAAGTACAAATAAATAACTATTCTCACTGCATTTAGATAAAACAAAATAATGAAAATTATTATAACTTGTTATTTAAAAAACATCATGGACAAATAAATGGTATTCTTAGCGGGAATTGATCCTTTTGATGGCATGAATGACAAACAAAACTGATCTGTAAATTTCTCAAATTTGAGTTGTTTGTGTAGGAACTGATTACGTTGCGTGCACACAGAGAAGTTTGAATTACCATGAATCAACAGAGAAACATGCAGTATTATTAGATTTCGTTAATGGAAAGTCAATTTTCTCCATCCAACTACAAATAATCACCAATTTTTTTGTTAAAAAGGAAAAACAGCTTCACAAGTAAAGATAATAAATAGTCAACAAACGACTACATAGATATCTAAATAAGAAATCTTGATCAATAAACAAAAATACTAATATAATCTAAAATCAAACAATTGCTTCTTTTTTTTTTTTTTTTTTTTGGGAAGAATATATATATATATATATATATGAACAAACAAGTTTAAGGATATTCTCTGACCGTGTAAAAATAATAATAATAATAATAATTTTTTTAGAAAGCAAAAGACAGTAAATTGAATCAAAATTTTCATTAATCAATAACTAAGTTGATCTTTTGGATTCTTTTTCCAAAATTTTTAATTTATTTTATAATATTTCACAAAATACCCTATATTAAATATAAAATTATCAATTTATATACTCAATTAATCACTCTTTAACTTTTATATTTATCATTCTTTAATTATGGCATTTTAATTTCTTTTGTCATTCTCTTATGATTACCGTATTACTGTAGTTGTTTGAAGACAAAAGTTTTGTAAGCCCATTGACAGCCCAAAATGCACACAAGATAGAAGGTCCATTCAAAAGAAACTTTCATGAATTTTCCACAATGCCTTAATAAGACCGATAAGAAACAACCTTCACTTTACCGTAACTTCCTTGAAGAGACCTTCAACATTACTCCACCGCTATCGCCACTGCCATACTACTATGTTCAACCGCCACTGCCACCATCATTTTACCATCACCCCTCCACTGCCGTCACTACAACAACCACCCCCCACTACTATTATCAACACTATCATCATTCCACCGCTTCTCTTGCCACAACCACCTTGATCTAGTCACATTGTCCTCATTGACCAACCTATATATTCGTTCATGGGCTTGTCAAGGTACGCAATCCACCAAGGAGATGAGCCCACCATTCGATTCATTTATAATCTGATTGCTATCAGACATTAATGGCTGGATACACTGCCCTTTCATTGATTTGCAAAGCCTAATTTGTCTTAAGAAAAAAAAATGATATATTTATGTCCGTCGGATGTGTAATCAGCTTATCCATTAATATCTTGAAAATGTGACTTTTCTCTAGATTTGATTTATTCAGTTTCTTGGACCAAAAGTATCTAACATAGAATCAACTGAATTAAAACTTTGTTCTCTTTGGTTGTCTTGTTATTTGACTCTGACCTAATCACGTCCGGACAGACGCAATCTTCTCTGAGATAGAAAAACACTTCAGTTGAGCATGTTTTTGTATGATTTTTTTTGAGTGATTCCACAAGTTTTCAATCTCTTCAAGTTTTTTATTGGATTATAAATTTGAGAATATCTTATTAAAAAACAAAATTTCAAAGATGATATCATATAAATAATGTCAAACAACAAAAAAATTAAAAATCAAAGATGAACCATAGTCTCATGCATATTTCTAGGTAGCTACTTAAGAAAGTTGAATCAGAATAAAACCGAGTCAAATCGATCATACATAGCACACACTACAATATTTCAAAGATTACATGGAAATTCGTTTGTGTTTGGATCCCCAAACCCAATCTTATACGAATATCGACTCTTTTCTCCTTAAGTAAATTATGTTCTAAGCTAATATTTGTCTTAACATTTGCGGGGTATCTGTCCCTCGCATATGCCCTAGCTATTCTTTAATTATGCTTTGGTTGCTTGCAGCCCGCCCCCAAAAAAAATAATAATAAATTATGTTCTTGGTCTCTTGTTGATGCTATAACGAACAATGAAAAACAAAAAGTTGATTATGGAAAAAAAATTAATGAAAAACAAAAAGCTTAAGGAAATAAAAAAAATATATTTGAGGTTGGACCGAGTTTTGCATGGTCAAAAGTCCTAGGGCTTGACTTGAGTTAATAACGGAGTTGGGATACCTTTGTCCCAACGTAATTGATACTTATTTATGTTTGACGTTGATTGCGCAATTCAAATTTTGACTTAACTAATACTATGGTGTTGTTAGATAATTAAGAATAGAATAGTGAAAATAAAAATGTGAATGAAAGTTTTATTTCAATGTTGTAGTCTGTTTGATTAGAAAAATAAAGTGATAACGAGAATGAAAAGTGAAAATGAAAATGAAAATTTACACATAACTTCATTCATGCATAAGATGTGAGAATAAAAACAAAAAATGAGAATGAATTTTTTTTTAAATAATAATATATTTTATTTATTTATTGTCTATTAATTATTTTTACCACCACCATCACAACTATCACCGCCACCAGTACTCATCGTCATATCCACCACCATCATCATTTTTATTATTTTTACAACTATTATAGTTTGATAAAATTATTTTTTTAATCATTAATTTTATTTGCATAAAAAATTAGATATTAAAAAATTTAAATTGCATTCCGATTTCTAATTAGTATTCCAAACACAATATGAAAATACAAATGTCATTCGATTCCTTAATTTTTATTCTCATTCTCATCACTCTATTCCCGATTATCAAACAACACCTCAATATAACATCACTAATTAATTTACTTCTTCAATCATCTTTACGGAAAATATTTCCATTTTGGCCGCAAATTATGTCTGGTAATTATACTTCATGCATGATTTCCCTTCAATGGTGTCATAAGTCTCTATATATCTACGTACCTTAAGTCAACCAATTGAGGGCAGGGTCCTGGAAATTACATCAAACACATTCCAGGATAGCAATCCTCAAATGTGATCTATAATCAAACTAAGGAACTTCCTGGAAAATTAATAAATAAATACTTACTAATGCGATCCGTAATCAATTAGTTAATCTTTTTTATAAATATATATATGACAAACCTGAACTTGTCAAGAACACTGTAAAAAGAGTCTAATGGACCCAGATAAAGTGATTAATCATCCATAATCAAAACCAATGCCATATTGGAGTCAACTATCCTTTATGAAAGCTGGAATCGAACTATATTTCATATTTTGTTTTCAAATAGATGATATTATAGTCAAAATTAATCCTAATCCTCCTCCCAAAGGTTATGGTTTTGCTTCCCTATTTAAGTCAAATCCTCTTTAGCTGCGTGTTTTCACACACCGACACACACACATATGGAAGGTCTAAGTACCGTGTGTTGCATTCATATTTGAAAAAGTAAAGAAAAGTCATCTGAATCTTGTAATTTAATAATATGTAAGGGAAAAGGTGATAGAGCCGGCCACATGGAAGTGAAATTATAGAATAAACGAAGCGGAATTTGCATAATGTAATTAAACTGATTATTTGTCTTCCTTTTTTTTCAAAACTCTCTAAAGAATTACGAACAAGACAGCATAAAAACTGAAAAGAATCAAGTTAATTCATTGTAATATAATAAAACATCAATATCGATCATTTGTTTCACAACCACACTCTTGTTACTCCTGTGGTTGCTCCAAGGCAAGAAAAAAAAATATTTATTAAAACTATATATGAAATTAAAGTATACCATCTCCATCCTTTGTTTATTTCAGCTATTCACACCTTCAGAAAACCTACGTACGTACGTGTATGATTTAACCCCTAAGATTTTCAAGAGGTTGAATCTTGTTTTTGAGTCTCATTATATAGTGACAGAAGCTGCATCAGAGTTGATGATGGCACCGGCAGGAAAGGCAGGTGGTGCATGAGCAACGATATGACCAGCAAAATTCCTTGCACCTAAGCGGCATTTGCCACTACCATTGTCAGGAATATGAGTGCATGGTGACCCACGAGATGGTGGAATCGGACCCCTTGCAAGAGATTGAATATTCCCAAGAATTTTCTCTAACCATTGCTCTCCTCCTAATGGCCTAGCTGCCGATATCTGTTGAGAACATGATCCAAAAATAATGGTAACAAAAATAATTATCGCTAAGCATTGGTTTTTCCTTTGAGAACCCATTTGAGATATCAAATTAGGAATTAAGACTTAAAACAACAACAATATTCTGGTATGCGTAAGGAGCTAGTAGCTAGCTATTTAGCAAGAGGGACGATGATGCTGAGGATGAAGAAGGTTAATTAGGTTGATGGTTTGGTGTGTGACAATGGAGGAGGAGGGGATTTATATTTATATATGGAAGAAGACATGAAATATATTTTAAGGCATGGTTTGTTGATCTTGGTATGTAGGACGAGATGTCATGTGTTGACTTGTGGCCGCGGATTTGAAGTTTGAATGGAGAGAGAGTCTAAATCAAAGACACGGACTTTGGAGAAAATAAAAATAAAAGAAGTCCTTATTTTCATAGGTGAATGAATTAATCAAAGTTGAAGCAGTCCAATTTGTGTTGTTGGGAGGCAATATTTTCTGTCTCAACCCACTAAGGGAGCCTGCTAGTGTTTGGGCTTCGTTTTGGAAACATTTTGGTGTTGGTCAAATCCCTTTTTGGGTCCAAACTCATGTTTGGACGGTGCATGTTTTGTCCGTCCATGGAACAGGACTTTCAAGGGGACTAAAGACTAACTAGTTATTGTTCTTTAATTCACAAAGGTTGATCTTCTTTTTTTCTCTTTTTTTTGGGTATCCCAAGACGAGCGTTACCTATTTGTGGGTTTATCGACTAATATACTTTCTTGGTAAAACCATTTAATATTATTCTAGTAAGAAATTTTTTTTGCATAACCTATTGTGAGAATACGTGATTGAATAATGAGAAGGGAACTTAATTTTGTTGCGTAAAATTGATGTAAAAAAATACTATCTAACTGTAAAAATCACTAAAAAAAGAAAAAACTTTGTCTAGAACTACCTAAGTTAATTGGTAAAATTATTTGACGCATTTCATATCGACTGGTTTATCATTTCTCTTTCATATTTAGGGTAAAATCCCACATGATCCGAGGGTTAATCTACTTTTTCAAGAAATGAAACAAAAAGAATTATGGCCAATATGTGGATTTTTCTGCTTCGGCCTAATGTTTGACTCCGCATTCGCAGCACAAGCCCCTCCTATAAAATCTGCTTGAAATGTGAATCCAAATTGGATTTTGTGCCTTTTGCTTCAATGTCAAAAATTTTACTAACCTACTTGGTACCACAGAGACAGAGGAATTTAATACGCTATGGATGGTCAGTGCAGGTCGACATCATTCTTGAGGCCGCCAAACTTGGTGACTTCATACCCTAACGAGACTCACAATGTCCATTAGCTTGAATCCTTGAACTTCAGGTAATCTCTTCGCTGTTGATAATATTTCATTCCCTTATTTGAAAACCTGTCCAATGCCATCACCTACCTCTCCCCTCGTTCTTCTTCCCTTGGTCAGCTCCGTGCTCTTTGGTCATCTGTTTGCTGCTAATAACGTCCATTTCGGTATTTGAAAACCTGTCTAATGCCAGCACCTTACTCCTGATTCCACTTCCCTTGGTCAGTGGTAAAGAACTAAAACGTGCAAGTTTCCCTCTCCGTGAAAATTCAGGCCATAATAGCTTGCATGTGTTTTGATCTAATGACTTCGATTTCTGACTTCAAAAAGTTTACTCGTAGCGGTCTTCCGAAGTGGCATGGAAATTAACCCATCAATCAAAACTAGGAATTGAATGAAAAATCTCTTAGATTTTGACAAAGTCAAGATTTGACCTTGTTCCAAACAGGAAACACAATTGTTGAAGAATTTTAGCTGGTTAGTTACTGTTAGCGTGTCAAGTAGTGAATTATGGATCTCCATTTGCACCTCTATCAACTCTAAACAGGTTAGGGAAACATGCTTTTACAGTGCAGACTGAGAGGCCAGGATAGAGGAACACAAACAAACAGAAAAAGAAGGAAAAAGAAAAGAGAAATGAAATGAACAGATGATACACAGCACAAACAGAAAAAATTAACTCTAATTGACGGATTGAACTGAGGGAAAAAACTGGTATTATACAATTATGGATACTAGCCTCTCTCCTTCCAAAATGACCTGCCTCTCTCTCTCTCTCTCTCCCTCTTCTTTTCTTTTTAGAATTTCTCCCCTTCCATATGGTACAAAATTACCGGTGAAGTTATCAGTAATTTAATTGACTGATCCTGAGTGCACCACACTGCAGCATGTTTTTGTATCTGTCACACTAACTCATGATCCTCTCGCAGATAAAAAAATTGTTGTGTGGGGATAAGTTGAAGGAATTTCAATGGTAGGTATGGAACTCTCAAAATTGTGGTGCATCACACAGAAAGGACAGAAAAAATCACCAGACAAGTTTTCTGGTACTCAAGGATTCAAATAAGATTCCCAACCATCAGTTTGTAGTTTTTCTGCCTTCTTCAAGACATCGTCCCTTGTATCTTCCTGATACTGGCTCATTCTGCAAAACAAAGTGGAAACATTTGGGACACCTTCAATTATTAAACTGACACACACATACACACACAAACAGAAAGTGAGAGAGAGAACCTCGCCAGAAGGTCAGCATCACCAACACCCAACATCCTTACAGCTAGCAAACCTGCATTTGTCGCATTATTAATTGCCACGGTTGCAACAGGGACTCCCCTTGGCATCTGGATAATAATAGGGTAACAAAGGCTTTAATGACAGACAAATTAAACAAAATAATAAGCAAAGTAAAAAAGAATGAAACAAACATTAAATACTAGTGATGGATTGTATCTGGGGACAATATTGTTAGACATCGACTTCCTGCAACGAGGGTCCAACTGCAGATTTTGTTTTGGATGGAAAAACCATCCTCACAACTTCCTGATTTAAGCAGGAAGTTGGGGTTGTGCATTATACTTCTATAAACACAGTGTTAAAAATCTGCTCTCATTCTTTTACCTGCATTATAGAGTAACTGAACCTGGGAAATATAAGTGCTAATACCGAACCAAAGAATCTTGCATTTACAATTCCTACCAAAGCCACAAAGAACTATAGCTTCCTTTCAAATGAGAGAGAGAGAGAGAAAAAAAGGCATCTAAAGAATGGAATCCACATGCCCATTTTGGCAAATAAGTTAGTACGAGAACTTAGAACGCTAAAACTAGAGGTCACTGGGGCATCATGAGAAAGTGATATTATCTACGATAAACTAGTTTACCTGTACAATTGATAAGAGTGAATCCATTCCATCCAAAGCAGAAGCACGCACAGGGACACCAATAACAGGCAACGGGGTTAGTGAAGCTACCATACCTGTAAAGTCAAACCGATGCTTCAGTATGGCCAATGAGAAAGCTGACAAACATTATATCTATATAAAGCATAGCATATGTATAACTAGCCTGGCAAGTGAGCTGCCCCACCGGCACCAGCAATGATGATTTGAATGCTTCGGTCCCAAGCAGACAAGGCATAAGAAAACATCATTTCAGGAGTTCGATGTGCTGATACTATTCTCACCTGCAAGTTATATTTGCTAACCATGAAGGTCAGTTATAAATGGAACAAAGAAACCAGTGCTGGCACATTCCAGAAGAAAACTGCAAATTTGAAAGTTAACCTCGTGAGGCACGCCAAACATATTCAAAATCCTAGCAGCATCCTTCATTATAGGAAGATCTGAATCAGAGCCCATAATGATCCCAACACGCGGTGTAACTACATTTTAACAGACAACAGAAACCAAAATCAACCTGAACTGAAAGAACAGATATACCTTAGAGCATAACAATAAGGTCTAATAAGATTTAATAACCAGAAAAATATATGAAACTGATCATAATTGAGCTTATATTCATGAGGGTAGAGCCTCCATAATGAACAACAAGAAAAGCCCACTACCTCTAGTATCTATCTCCAAGAAATTATGAATTAACAAGAATCCAAAAATTGAACTTGATTGAACGATAGAAGAATCTCCAATTTAACTTATCAGACAGATACATAATTCTTAATGCAACTCATAGAAATCTGCTCTAAGAGAAGGTGAGGAAAACCATACAGCTAGAACACGTCATCTCATCACAGAGATTGAGTACAATGATCAAGTCATACTTAGGAAAACCTACCTGCAGTCTGACTCTCAGAACCTTCTTCCTTCAGCATTGATTTTAACCGTGCTTCCACTATGCTCACAGAAGGGCCAACAATAGTGATATGACCCATTTTTCGTTGCTTTCGCATTTCTGCACAATTATTACGATAATAAAGAAAAAGAGCCAGGGAGAAATAATGAAATTGGGCAGAATTTATGCAAAACTAACCTGGTTTATCGTACCAATGAACATTAGCCCCTTGTATGTTCAATGCCCTTCCAATCAGCTGATGAGCTAAGTGAAAACCAGGCTCCCCCTAAAAGCATAAACATTGTCATTAGTCAATTAAATTTTCAATTGAAATATTCTAACAAAAAACATAACATACCAATTTAGAAAACATTTTTAATATAGATTTTTGCAGAAGCTGCCTATTTTTCAACTAACAAAACGAAATGCCAGCCCAAGGCCCAAAGCACCCACCCATGAATGCAATGGAGAATCCTATAACGTCTGGAATTGAATCAGAGTTCCATGAGCACCATGAATGACCAAATATTTAGAAAAAGGATGGTAAACTCAGAAGCCCATGTCACAGGCCAACTCTGAATGACTTCTATTGCAAACTCACCATGAGCTAGGAACTTTGAAGAGCCTACTCTTCCAATTTTCAAAATATTAAAAATATTTGATGCCTGTCAGTTTAAAAAATTGTTTGCATATTATATCAGTAATCCCTACCCGAGATCTAAAGTTAAAATTCAAATTATGTCCTAACTTATCCCCTTCCTCAGATTGGCCCCTCAGATCTTACAAAATATTTGGTCTATGCTTGGTTGTTTGTGTGCATAAGATAAAAGAATGTTCAAACACGTGACTTGGAAACAAAAAGTCTCCACGAAAGTTCTCAATAAAGTTTCAAAAGATTAGATAAATGGAAAAAGAAAAGAAAAACTGGAAATGGAGAGGAAAACAATTCACCTCATCTTCACCCAGTAGATTGTACATGATTGCAGCTGGAGTCTTCATTGATGAATCACCAAGTGGAAGACCCAGAACAGCTCTCAAATGCTGTTCGAATTGTGAGGTGTAGCAGGACTCAATTGTGTGATGACCACTATTATGAGGTCTAGGAGCTACTTCATTCAGTAAAATCTGTTCAGAAGGGAAAACATCAACAAATTAGTCTAAGACAGCAAGTTCCTGAAACAGAGAATAATGAAATGCATTGCAAAGAAAATGAAATAGTATGAATTACTAGTACAACCTGACCATCCTCGGTAAAAAACAACTCCACTGCAAACACACCAGCACCTTCTAATGAGCTAACAGCTTTATGTGCAACATCAGTGGCAAGCTTTCTGATCTTCCATGGTATATGAGCAGGAGCCTTAACTATGTGACAAATGTTCTCCCTGCAAGACTCAATGTCTTCAATCAGATGTAAACAGATGCAACAATACTAATAGAAAAACATTATCACATCAAATTCATCTGGCAAACTCAAGCGTTTTTGCAACCAAATGCACTGAAAACCTAAGAAATAGGTACAAAAAAGAACATGGAAATGTCATATCTGTATCATACTTGTGGATAGTCTCAACAACAGGGTAACACGAGATGGAATTGTCTCTTCCTCTAGCCACGATGACGGCTAACTCCTTTACAAAAGGTGTCCATTTCTCAACATATAAACCACGACCAAATCCTCCAAGAGCTGAAAAACATCATGAATACAACATTACAAAGAGGAGTATATCCATCAGGACCTATTTCTATATAGGGAAATAAATATAACAGCCACAAGCAGAAAGGATGAGGAATTATAATGGACTGTTAGACAGAATTGGAATGGCAAGACCTAGATATACGAGTTTCAAGAAAAAATCCAGCAAGAAATGCCTTGATCATAAATGATATGAAGCCAACCACTGTTCAAACATGAATAGACATTTTCGACAAATGCCTATGACTATGAACATGACGAGAGCTGCGCAAGCATGACAAAATTCAGAGGAATAACGGAAAGATGAAGCCAGACAAGCTTAGCTTAATTCCTACAGTATCTTCAAGAAAATTCAAAAATTGTAAAAAGACGAGGTTTAACAAAGAGAGATTGTAAACTGTAATCATTCAAAAACATATAAAAGTTTTCTAAGTCAAGCTATTGAAACCTTTCATGTCTGAACAAAGAATACAACAGGTCTCCGCAAGCTCTTTTCTAAATTTGCTAAGGATAAGAGGGAAACAACTTCCTGTTGTTGCCTTGGATTAACATATTTTAAATACTGTGAGCTCTAGACACCACCAATATAGCATAATCTAAACCATGACACAATCAAACATATACCAAACTGTCAAGGTGGTAACATTTCCATTTGATTGGTCCAACTAGATGATTCCAAGAAGTGCTAATGTCATCAAATATATTTCCAATGCCCTGGAAGTGGCTACTTTCATCTTGTATGATTCTACAGCCAAAACCCAGCTTTAAGGTCTATAACAACTTTTGATTGGTTCTCCACAAACCAAATAGCAATTATGCTTTACCTGTTTCTAATCCAGACAAAAAGAACAAGAAGAGATGAAAAGAGTCTAGTATAAAACATATGATAATAGATCTTCTCTAGCTATAACATTTGGATCGTTAACATTTAGAATGACAAGTAAGATATGGTGGATACTAAACCGCTGTTCATCAATAGCATATAGGAATACAAGTACAGCATTTCTCAAGTCTAAATGAAACACCAAATTTTCTTATCGATTGGACTTCAGTAATGAACATCTTACCATTTACTGCAGGAGAAAGCTCCTCTTCACTCTTAGCAACCGCATTCCCACGTCCATCATAAGCTAGCCTTCTGCTCTTGAGCATTAGAGGATAACCAAATAAGTCACCTGCTCTCTTGGCACCTTCTAGATCATCAATCTGCATCGGTCATACTTGAATATCATTTAACTAGAACATATTAAGCTAATAATGCGTAATGAAAAATGAAAGCTGTATGCGGCATCCTCCAGGGAAATACTTATAAACTGCAACCAACCTGCATAAACTCAGGAAGGGGAATGCCATGCTGAGAAAAATGAACCTTCTGAAGATATTTATCCTGCAAGATTGAAAACATAGATCCAGCCAGAAATTTTGTCATGGAGCCAAAATCAATTTTGGTTTAAAGTGAAATCAAATTCCCACAGAGTAAGTCTAAATGCCAAAGTGGCATATGGCTTGGAAAATAACAGTACCCGCTAGCTCTGAAAATTAAAAGAGACATACTTGGATAATTCTAATAGTAGAGGCTTTCGGTTGGCAATCAACTCCTTGCTGCTCAAGCTTCTCCATCGTAGCAACATCAACATGTTCGATCTCCACAGTCAATACCCCACATCTGCAACAACACAATGGCAAAATTTAACACAAAAAAGACAAAATCTCCAATAACCACAACCAAATTCCATCATGATTGAACCTTTTTGCAAATTCCTGTACTGTTGCACTATCGTCAAAGCTTCCAACCATATGATCATATGCAATTGAACTCGCTGGACAATTCACAAGTGGGTCCAAAACCATGACTTTAATAGCCATTTCTGAAGCTGCTTGGCATAGCATACGGCCCAATTGCCCACCTCCCAATACACCAACAATCACCTCAGACACTCCATGAACTGGCAAGTCATCTTTCCTATATTCATCACATTAAACAATTCAATAACTCAACTCTAACAAGATACCAACAAAAAACAACTATTTCTTTTCATATTTTATTTTGAATAAAAAATTCCATCTGGACACTCATATAATTAAACCAAAAGGCAATGAAAACACAAACTTGAATGAGGCATACACAAATGCAATTTTACTTCTTTTCTTTTTCTTTCTTTGCAAAAAAATCCACCAGGGTACTGATAAAATGCAATAAAAAAAAACACAAATTGGTATATGCGTACGGACCTCAAAGAAGTATCATGAGTGTCAGTTGTTGATGCTTGACAAGCCAAGACGGGATATTTATATTGTTTGTGAGGCTGTTTTAGGGAAGATGAAGAAGAAAAGGACTTGGTGTGTTTGTCCATGAAAAATAATCTTGTTGAAGAGAAAGAACAAGGCTTGAAACAAAAATCAGATTTTGAAAACACTAGAAGTTTGGGTACTGAGGTTGTCTGTTGCAGCAGCATCCTTGTACCAGAGGCGGGTTTTGTGGTTGGGGTTTTGCCTGTAACCTTACCAAGGAACGCAATGGAGTTTCGAACGTTGCTTATTTTTTTGTTAGGTTTTTTCTTTTTTGAAAATAAAATAATTTATTTCTTGGCATGGATGCTGAAGCTAGGCTTATTAAAACGATCCGTTATTCTTTCTTTTTTCTTTTTTTTAATTACTACCATGGTTGTGTTTGTTACGGTGTTAGAAATTTGGACGGGAGATGTTAAAGGAGTAAGATTAAAGGTGAAGACTTAAGTGTTAAGAATATTATTGTTGTTATTATTATTACCATTACTATAAACTAAAATATATGAGGGGTTTGAATAGTAAAATCTCCTCACATATCACTATTTATTCTGTAGCAATAGTTTTTTTTTAAAAAAAAATCACTATACATGCTTTCTTTTTTCTTTTTTTCATTAATCTGGGTTTTTTAATTTAATTTTTTTAAATTTTTAGGTTGTTTCATTTTGGTTTCTAAAATTTTAATTCCTCACCTAATGCAGTACGCATATATTCTTTTCTTTGCTTTTATTCATCAATTTATATTTTTTTTTTCATTTGTTAATTTTTGTAAAAATTTGTCCATTAATTATAACTTTATTTTTTGAAATACACTATTATGAAAATTATATTTTTAAATTTTTTTTAAATCTTGATTAATATTTCTTGTAGCAAATTTTTTTTTTAAAAAAAGTTTTTTAACTATACATGCTTTTTTTTTCCCTTTGTTTTGTTTCCATCAATCTAGGTTTTTTCTAATTTAATTTTTTTAAAATTTTCAAGTTGTTTCATTTTGGTCTCCAAAATTTTAAAATAAAAATTTTAATTTCCTAGCTGATGCATTATATATGTTTTTTTCCTTTGCTTTTTTTCATTTATTAATTTTTTTAAAAATTTGTCCATTAATTATAACTTTATGTTTTGAAATACAATATTATAAAAATTATATTTTTAAAGTTTTTTTAATTATTGATTAATATTTTAGTTAAAATTATTACATTTTTTTATTTTAAAATCAATCCAAAAAGAAGAATGATTTATGTTTAAACATAAAATTTATAAAAAAAAATTAATTTCAAGTTGCTTCACTATACAAGCTTTTTCTTTTTCTTCTCTTTTTTTTTCCCCTTTGCTTTTTTCCATCAATCTAGGTTCTTTTTTTTATTTAATTTTTTTAATTTTCATGTTGTTTCATTATGATCTCTAAAAATTTAAAATAAAAATTTTAATCCCCTACCCGATGCACTATAGATGCCTTTTTTTTCCCTTTAATTTTTTCCTTTGCTTTTTACTATCAATTTATATTCTTTTTTTTTTCATTTGTTAATTTTTGTAAAATTTTTTTCATTAATTATAATTTTATTTTTTGGAATACAATATTATGAAAATTATATTTTTAAAGTTTTTTTAGCTCTTGATTAATGTTTTAGTTAAAGTTATTACATTTTTTTATTTTAAAATCAATTCATAAAGAAGAATGATTTACATTTTAAAAAAAAATATCAAAAAATTAAATTAATTAAATAAAAAAATAATTGTAATTAAAAAATTTTAAATTTTTAGAATGATTTTTTTTATATCGGACTCGCAACATAGCGCGAGTAAGCGACTAGTAAAATACTCGTTATTAAAGGATAGATTTTTATGCTATCTAGTAGTTGTTGTTTTTTTTTTTTTTTTTTGCATAAAATTATTCTCAAATCAATTTATACTTCAATTGACACTAATTTTTTTTTTATAATCAATTTTAATTATGTATTTCTTAAATCAGTGTTGTGTATTCAAAAACAATTTAACATTTTTTTTTCTAATTTTACCACAAGATTTGAATCTAAAAAGTAAAAAAAGAAAAAAGAAAAAAAAAGCCATGAGCCATAGTTAATAAAATAGGCTTGTGAACAATATTAGTGGGGTCCATACTTAAAAAACTTTGGATTAATAATTGAAAAGTTGATAAAAACCAAAAAACAGAGATGATGGAACTTAAGTTTAAAAAATGATTAAAAAAAAGAAGAAGAAGAAGCTAAAAGGATCTAACCATTCTCAATTTTAAGTCGATTAGGATTGAATTTTTAAATTTATACTTTTTTTAAGATTCAGTATATTCAATGATTTTTAGATATCATGGTCTCTTTTAAAAAAACATCAATTCTTGATATTTGAGCTGAAATTTTGCACACATATTGTAAAAAATTCAATCCATTTTCTACAAAAATTCTAGAATTTTTCAAAATAAAAAATATATATATATTTGTTTATTTTTCCAATATTAAAAATATAAAAATTTTGGAAAATAGAAAATAATTCAAAAATGATCTCAATTTTTTTAGAAGCCTCACATGAATTTTATTGAATGAATTCTATCATAAAACTATTTATGTGATTGTTATTTTTTAGATAAATAACTTAAACCTAAAGGATGGGTTAAATCTTAAAAAATAAAATTTTAAAAATTTCCAAAACCAATAAAATTTTGAAGAACTCAACCTCAAATAAATTAAAATTCATAAGTGATTAGAAATTTTTAGCTAAAATAAAATTAAATTGTGATAAGATTCTGAAACCTCTCCCTTTTTTAAGGAGGGTGAATGTTTCCTTCTTTACTTGGAGGGTAACCTTTCACTCCACCGGAGTGAAAGATTATCTTCCATAACTTTTTCTCTTCTTGAAACTTTTATAAGAAACAAAAAGAAAAGAAATGAAAAGTTGTAAGGATAAATTTTCGCACACTTTCCCCTTCCCCTTCAACCAAACATATCCTAATATTTTTATGAGAAAGTGTTTTAGATGAGGTTGAAACTATCATTTTTTGAAGATGAATTTTTTTAATCGAAACACTCCATTTAAGAGGGAATTAATTAATTAGTGGGTGCCGCAACCATTAATTTCAAAATGCTCATTTTCCTTTTTATAAAAAAAATGGATACATTGATTGTTGATTATACATTGTACTATTATGTTTTTCATTTCTACACATAATGGAAAAGATCTCCATCATATCAATATTGAAATGAAGTTTAAAAAGGATATAAACCCTAATCACATCTTTATTGTTCTTTAACTTGAACAATGAGTATTTTTATAAAACTTTAATATGTTATTTTTGACGGCAAACTCTTCAACTTGAACGGTGATTGTTGAGAAATTTTTATTTTTTTGATATTTTTTAAAGAACTTATTTGGTGAGGTCTAGTTCTTTTCTTTGTTGTTGTTGTTAGAATCCATCACTAGGAAGATGACTTTTAATATTTTGATGGTGTATTCTTTAGTTGAATTACGCAAAGAATCTTATATCTTATTATTTGATATAGTATAAAAGCTTGAGTTGACTACAATTTCATGATTTTTCCTTACATTGTGGTTTTTTATGTAAAAATTTATATGTTAATCGTAGTTACGTGTTTATTTATTTTTAAATTAATTAATATTGATTGGATGATTCTAATTTTAATCGTATAAAGAGAGAAGAAAAAGGATTTGAGACTTGCGGTTTATGATTTCGATTCGTACATATTTTTTTTCCAACAAATTTTTATAAGCATAAGATAGTAGATATTTATCAAACCTTGTTTTTATCTTATTGCTCGCAACCAAATAGCACAATGTAACACAACAATACCAAAGAGGCCCAAAATTGCCCTGCCCCTTTGTAAATTACAATATCGTGGCAACCTGACTGTCGATCACCTAATATTAGAATCCATCGATCTCTCATCTCTAGATTATCGTCAAACACAATCCTTATTGGAATAACAACTAGTTTATCCTTAACAATTTTGACAAAAATTGATTTCACATACTCTTTTTGATACTAGTAGTTCTAGATAATTTGTTGTAGGTGGAGTTTCGAAAGTTAAGAAAGATGCATTTATTTTGCAAATTAAATAGATTTTCTTGTTATAATGAAAGTTTTGGCCTCAAGATTAAAAAAAAAAAAAATTTGATAAACGTAGAAACTGAGCATTCATGAAAAATTGTAATTAGCCTCCTAATCTAAACGCACGAAACTATCCTTATCGAAGGCTCACCTAGAACAATAACAAGATTATATGGACATGCGTATGGTATAGTCTAAATGACTTGTCCTTCAACTGACACCGGTTTTGTGATGATTTAGACCAAAACAAAATACTCTAATTCTTTTGTATGCTGTTGGCCGAAACTTGCTCACACAATCCAAAAGATGCCGAATAAGGATATACAAGAGAAACTTTTTTAAAAAATTATTAATCAATATCAAAATCTTATTTCTCGGCATAGCATAAGAATGCTTAAATAATAGTCATAACATTCGGGGTTATATTTGTCAAGCAAAAGCAAGTCACCACCAAAATCTTCTGATGAACACCACGACCACCATCTATTACTGATGATGCCGCAACTTCTGTCGCCACCTTTGTGGTAGAATCAATATTCAATACTCTTCCAGTGTAATAAACAGCACAGAACTGCCCTTTGTGCTGCGGAAAATTCTCCAACACAGTAACACACACATCAGCCAGCCCTTGGAGGAAGAATCTGAATTGTTATTAGCATCCAGAGAACCTTGATTGTCCTTGGACTTTTGAAAAAAAGACATTGTTTCAACAAGGACACTCGTGTAGAGATGGATGCACTCTTGGGTTCTGTCCTGGCCTGTGAAACCACTTACTTGACGGATTACGGGAAGTTTGTGAAATTCACATGGATGCGTTGCAGGAAACCTGTCAAGCGAAGATCGCCATGACTTGCAGGTAGCGTAGAATCGGAAGATATACATGCATGCAAGTGTCTAGCTAGCTAGACGTATATGTACCAAAAGTTGTTGTGGGAGATCAGTCCAGGGGACTCTTTAACTTCGCCTAGCTCTTCCTTCTTAGTTTCTTCAACGAATTGAAAATGGCCTAGCTTGACACTTTAATAACAAAAACAAATTAGAAACCCTACAAGTTTGCTCTGTCTCTCTTTCTGTCTGCATAATTTATGGTTTGTTTGGATCATCATACCTTGATATTGCGATTTTCCCAATTACAAAGCCTGGAACCTCATTCTTGAAAACTGTAAATTTAGAAGTCTTAAAAGTACAAGTCCTGCTAGGATACGCATAATTTTATGAGCATAGAAAAAACTGCTTTCCGTTTTTCTTCTTCTTATAGGGCAATGGTACATTTAACTGGTAAATTCCCAAAAGGCATGAAATTATCAGGAAGGGGAGAAAAAAGAAAGCAATCATAGAGCAAAAAAAGTTGAATTTGCAAATACAGATCACTAGTCCTTTCAAATTTACAAATACATCATGTTGGCATCACTTTTCTATTATTTGAATAGTCCACTTTAATATGCACACAAAAATCAACTATTGTACTAAGCATTCACTAATCACACTGAAAGGTTAACAAATAAAGAAGAAAAAAGACCCTCCAAACTCAGGTTTGACGGGTGCAGGGGAATGGGTTGCGACAGCACTAAACTTTGCGATCACTGCAACACTATTTGACATTCAATCCTATGGTTTCTGTCCAAAGAGTAAATAAGCTTGTGAAACTGTACACTTGATTGTCAATCTTCATTACCAGGTTTGCCAATTTTTCTTTAATTTCCAGTGCATCAATGTGTATTTTTGCATAACTAATCACCTGATAAATTAAAGCACAGAGGTAAGATGAACTGCATAATCAAAAGAACCTCGAGAAATTCGGAATCAAATGCCTCTAATGCAAAGGAAGAATCAATTGGAGTACTCACATTTATCGTGGTTTTTATACAACAGCCTTAAGCAGTGATTCGCTCCTTCTCGCTTTTTTGTATCCCAATCTTTCGTAATTCTTTCAGGTGAGAGGCTATCTCCTTAATGAATCGAAGTCCTTCCTCTCCACATCTGATTGAGTTAATGCTGTGCTCAAGGAAATTCCGGTCTGCCTCAAGAGCTTCCAACCTCTCACTTAGATCAGAAACTTCATTTACGAGAGAATCTAGATCAATTTCTTGAGGGGGCATAGGAGAGCTTTCCCCACTATAAAAAATTTCATTGTTCTCGTTACCGCTGAAAGATTTCTCAAGTAAAGAAACATCTCCTTGAACAGGCTCACTTGTTCTATCAGTCATTGATAATTCATTCTCTTCTGCCCCACTGTTCTCTTCAACTCCCACTTTGCTATTCAGCTCCCTGAAGTCATTTCCCTTGTCTCCTTCAGAACGTTCACCGTTGATCAAGCCCAAGCTTAGCCCATTATTAGAGAACTTATAAAGCTTCCTTTTTAACTTCTTTAGACTTTGTATAATATATGACCTTTCATCTTCAAACTCTAACAAGGAACTATTCACAGTACCGATAGTCTTATCCCCAAGTGACATATTTGTTCCTTCAACTTTATGGCAGAAATCAGGTTTTTCTGTAGCCAAGTTTCTATCGGTGCATGTGCTATCTTCTATACAGCCAGCTTCTGAGCGATTTGCTCTTGTACCTGTTGCCTTTCTGTCAGAAACCGTTGTCTCAAAGATTGATTCATTGGGAAACTTACACCTATAGAACTCAAGATCCTCTTCTAGATCTCGGACTTCTTCCTCCTTCTCTGTTAGAAGGTCATTCGTTTTTTGCAGTGCTTCCATATCATACTCAGCTTGCTCCTCCATCATTCTTAGGTACTGCAGAGCTTCCATGTGGAGTGTTGCCTTCTCTTCCTGAAGTCTAGTAATCATGGCCATAGCTTGATTTGCAGCAATTGTGGATGCATTCCTTTCTTCCTCCAATTCCTTGTACATTGCACTCAGCAATTTTTTATCATGCTCAACCTGCCGTTTTAACCGATCAACGTCACTTTCTCCTTCAATTTCACTGACAATACTTCCATCCAACGATAGGCTGGACTCATTTCTTTCAAGTGTGGTACGCTTTTGAAGACTTTGCATTCCTATGACACTAGAAGCATCAGAAGTCTTTAATTCATCACTGTTTAATGATAATTTAGGGCTAACTCTAGGGCTAATAGGAACTCTAGGACTGATAGGAACTCTAGGACTCATATCATTCATTGACAGCTCTCTAGCAGCAGAGAGTTGTGAAAGTAAAAGCTTCAAATCTTCACTAAGTCTTGAAGGATCCTTCCCAGTCCATTGTTCAACAAGAACGCCAGACAACTGCCTTCCCCTATTGCCAACAGCAAGCTTATAAGCATCACTGAGATCTAATAAGTTTGCAAATTGCTGACCATTTTCACCTGAAATAGGGTTCATTTCTGAAGCTGTGTCAGTTCTTCTAGCTGGCTGATTTTCTGTCTTGCAGAGATCCTCAAAATCTACCACAGATGTCCGCCAAGCTTCCTCTTCTCTGGCTACACCTGTGGAATATAAAAATAAAGCAAGAAAAGGTAACCAGCATATGGATTAGCATCATCCACAACAATTGCGATACTTTGTAGCCCTACAGAAGGAGATTATTCAATCTCAGATTCCATTACCAAAAGTAGCATTAATGCTACTATAAGGAATTTGCTTTTCAAGTTCAAGTTCTCCCTTATATGTATCACATAATTCTTAAACATGTTAAACATTTGAATATGTATATGTTATTTCTCGGACATCCTTGATATACATTGAGTGCAACTGAAATGTTGAAAAACATAAGTTTTGTTATTTGACAATAAGTACTATATACTAAGCTTAGCATGTGTGTCATATGTATATACTATACAATTATTATATACCAGAAAGGAGCCTTTTTTTTTCTCGTTTTTTATTGTCCAAGTGCAATGTTTTCTTATAACAGAAATACCAACACACTTCTTGCAGGAGGAGGAGTTTGAACTTACAGCTCTCTTTTAATCCCTGAACAGGAGTTTCTGCTCCATTTAATGATGGAAGAAAATCAGCAAGAGAAATAAGCTTTCTCCCCTCTGAAATTTTGACAGGATTTTCTCTCCTCTCTGATGATGGATAAACATTGTCTACCGAAATAATCTTGCTCTCATTTGATGCTTCCATTGTAGGTTCTTTGGCATATGATGATTGAGGAACATCATCTAGAGAAATACGCTTTCTTCCTTTCCATGCTTTTCGAGGGCTGTCTCCGGAAACTGATGATGGAGGAACTTTATCATGGGAAATGAGCTCAGGGAGTGCAGAGGAATCAGCTTGTTGCCAATTAAGCTCTTCCAAACCATGCTCAATAGGAACTGCAGATGCTATTGCTGTTGCAGTGTGGGGCTTGATAACATCTGTATGCACCTTTGAGGTCAAGATTGACGGCTCACGTGCAGAAACAGGATCAATCAGTATCTCTGAGGCAGAATCATCGACTAAAATGATAGTGCGAGGCTCTGGCTGCACGTATCCAGCTGAAATATCTTTGTGAATTACAGCATTTGCACCATCATCGTCAGAAAACATGATTTCAGATTCAGTATCAGAATGGAATTTGAGTTCAGTGTACCCTACGTGAGATAAAGGATCAAACCCACTAGTTTTTTGACGAGTGCTTCTGATGGATGTAGATCCTCTACTCTTCTTCAGGTTGCTGCAATCATGTTTAATAGTACCTGATGAAGGGACATCAAGACCAGCAGTCCCAGAACCAACTGATGCAGCCTGCATCAACTTTTGATAATATCCTCTCGGAATCCATTGTTCATTGCAACAAGTACATTGTCTAGTAACTGAACTATGATCATGATGCAGTGGGTCCTGATCTAAACCAAAGCTAGAGTCCTCTCCCAACTTCCCCACCAACAATCTATATGTTTCAGTGTTGGACTTATTGAATGTGGCAAATGAGAAAAGGCAATTTTCACACATTCCATGGACATCAACAAGATTATTGTGAGCGTGACAGAAAACTAATGATGAGATCTCCAACTTATGATTGCCGCAGATCAAATCCCAATAATATTTCAACTTTCTAGTGCCCAAAATATGATCCAGTCTTGAGCACAGCAAACATGGGGTTTGCAATTCCCACTGACATGCAAATTTTGTAATTAAAAACGAGAATATAGCATTGATGAAGAGCATACACATTAGCAACCATTCCAAAACAGCAGATGCCAAAGCAGTGCTGATACTCCAGGACTTTTTCTTTGATTCAACAGATGAAACCCCACTGTTAGCCATGCTCCAGCAGGATTAAAAAAATTCGGAATGAGATATTGATTAACTGAAGGAAAAGAAACTCCAACCCTCCCCAAATGTTCAACAAGCTGAAGCAAGATTTCAACACTGCAGTCTACCTGAAGAAAAATAAAAAGGGCATAAACACTCATTTGTCCAGTAAAAGAAAAAACTATATATGTGAAGCCACATGCAGTCCTGAATGCAATACAACAAGCAGGCATTTCAAAAAATAAAAAATAAAAAAATTCTTTACTTACAGCACAGATGCATTTCTGATGGGGAAAAATACCACAAATTCTTTACCTACAGCATCGATTAAAAGCTAAAAAACAAAATTCTGAAATTTGAGCAATAGATAGACACATTTCTTGTTAGTTGTGACACAGGTAGTCATGAAAAATACAGCATATACCTCTGCCTCAGAAGACAATTAGAAAATCATTACAAGGAAATGCAAAATCGGGGCTCCAAGAATGTCATAAACATTCTTCCGCATCAGAAGCTAGCAGACCAAATTCTATTTCATGATAAAAAATTATAATCTGATTCAGAATCCAAATCTAACTCATACTCTGAATAAAAAGATAATATTTTTTTCTCGATAATCTGGAAGAAAGTTCTAAATCGATAAAAAAATAAATATTAATGTGAACCTAAACTTCACAAGAAAAGACAAAAATCAAAGGAAAAAGGCATATACTCATATATCAGGAACCAAAACATAAAAAAAAAAAAGAAAAAAAAAGAAAAGCCGAGGTCATTTATGTGCTAAACCACAGCTAACAGGTCAAGATTTGAATAAAGGAAAAACTCCCCATTTTCACATATCAACAACCACAAAACCCAAATTAGGAGCTTACTGTTAACCAAAGTGATCTTAGCCAAAATTAGAAAATGAAAATGAAAATGAACGTTGCCTAAAAATAGCCAAAAGAGATTATAATTGCAAAGTAAAAAGAATTCAACTAAGAGGATCGATATCTAACGCATAGCATGAATCAAAACACAGAAAACAAAACTCTCATAAAGAATCCAAAACCAATATCATTAACAAGATTAAAAAGAAAAACATCACAGTATGTTAATGATCAAAACCAAAAAAAAAGTCAAAGTCTAACAAACTGACCTGTGCATGTAAATAATCCAAGAAACCACCAAGAATTCGGAGCCAGAGAGTCGAATCAAATTGACCAATCTTCACATCGAAGACAAGAAACAAATCCTATGTAGCAGTTATCGCAGTAATTGTAAAAAAGACAGACACAGAGAGAGATTCAAACAGAACGAAACAAAAGAAAACCAAGACCAAGTACTTTTTTTTTATTCTTGAAGTATTTGGGTATTAATACAACAGTGCACGTTGTTTTCAGGTATTGACAATATTAAAATGCCCGAAGAGAAAACGAGAGTGGAAATCCACGCAGACCAAGCGCCTAAAAGTCGGCTTTCTTGATAAGAGACAAGAGACCGAAAGTATTGCCCTTTGAAAAAAGAAAAAAGAAAAGTAGAAAAGACTATTTCTTTTTGGTTTATCAAATCAGATTCTGGCAAACAGAACAGCAAAGATTCCCGCGAAAATTAACTGTCAAAACTGTTTTATTTAGACTTATATTGCTACGCATTACTAAAAATTTTACTGGTTCTCATGATGTCACGTACGTGATACTACAATTCATTTGATCCATAGGGGTTTAAGAAATGTTAAAAATAATAAAATAAAGATAGCTCCAATTTCTCTGGAGAGATTATTCACTACTTTTGATGTGGTGTAAATCTCAATCGTATAACATTTACATCAAATAATAGAATAGATTTGACAGGTTTTAGACCGTCCAGATTGTTTCACGATTGAGATAGTTGGAGTTATGCTAATATTTTTTTTAATATATATATTTATATGTAAGATTAGTTCTATTTTTAAAGATGTTCTAAATTTAAGATTTTATATAGGTACGACATGAGTTTTTCTAAATATTTATGTAGATACAAAAAACATCATATTTTTTTACCACTCACAACCCTTTAAACACTCATTTATATATTTTAACCGTAAAGTTTTTATAGTTCTGATAATGATTTTTTTTTTTACCATTCACAACCGTTTAAAAACTTATTTATGGAGTTCAGCCCATGAAGTTTTTAAAGTTCTAATAATTTGACTTCTTTGGATTGAACTCTATAAAAAGTCATTAAATCCCTAAGATTTTGAATTTAGATTGAAGATATTAATCCCTTCCTCCTAGTCATTACTTTTTTTTTTTTTTTTGTTAAAGTGAAAATTCTAGCCTTAAAAATGCATGATTGCATAAAAAGTTTGACATTGATGGATGATGAAGTTTAACAGAATTAGATGAAGAGATAAATTTGACAGGCAATTTGCGATGGATTCGGATATGGGAAAGGTTAAAAAGAACATGGAAAGTAGCTTTGCTTAATTGATCCACATCAAGCATCATTTCCGAAGCCCACAATTTTATGCTAAGTAGTTTCACCCAAAATACTTTTTAACTGTCAAATCTTGAGAGCCAATGGAAAAGCATAATCCTCCTATCATCGGACAGTAGTGTAAGTAAGTGGTTGGCACGTGAGGTTTGATATAATCACGTGATGCTGTGGGCGTGTGGTATTGATCAACCGTTGACCATGAGATTTTCTGTTGGCGAACCAGGTGCACATAACATTGCTGTGAAATGGATTTTACTGATCCAGTGGAAATATTTGGGTTGCTTAACAGTTTTATAATGGTTGTTGATAAAGTAGGGATGATTGTTGATGGGTGAAATACCTGTAAAATACATCGTTGTTGGATGAAAAAACTTCCCAACAATTAAGTTAATTAGTGCAAGGAGGAGGAGATTAGCCAAAGAAGGTTATGATGCATAGGTAAGGAAAACAATAAACGTTATTAGGAAGAGGAGAGATTCAAACTTTTTAACTTTAGATGTCTTGGTTATCCATATAGTCAAGAGAATTGTTAAGTTACATAAAAAGACAGATAGAATGATCTATTCTTTTGCTGTCAATATCCTCTTATACGTTGAAAGATAAGTGTTCTTGATGTTGATAAATTACTATTGAAACTTGAAAGAGCATGATGATGTCAATATTGTTGGTGTGGGTAAGATATAAGTAGTTTGGAGAGCATGCTCTCATTTATTAGATGTATTGTCCGTCTTTTTGGTCGGTGGAGGTTGGTTTGACTCTCCAAGCTATAACCAATCGAGTTCCTCTAGTTGAGTGGGGTGTTTCCTAACGACACAAATGCATCCGCCCGTCTATGTCCCACGCTTAGTTCCGTCCCTCAAGTTTTTATCCATGTATACTCGGTAGGCCAATGAAGGAATTATGTGTATACACATTGCTCATGGCGAAGGCTTATGGATCTCATAGGATGACGCATATCATTCGAGTATATTAGTTGCCCCCTCGAGTCTTAGCAAACATAATTGTAAAGACTAACGTTGTATTCAAATGTATATGAGACACGCATTACAACCAAAGTAATCACAAGATCCCTTCATCCATCTCATCTCTATCCATTGTAGTTAGTGGTCGTCATTGCATTTTGCCTTGGCATTTGTCTTTTATGAAAAAGATCAACCGTCATATGGATGCATGAGAGGAGGTGACAAGACTAATTATTTTAAAATTTCCTATCGGGTTTAGCTTGTGTCATTGGCTAAATGGCACACATGATCGATTGTGATTGGCCACATCCTAGGCTTACCAACAAGGTCAAGGCCTTTCGTGTAATCCGACATAGAGGCCATGTGTCCGAGCTTATATAAATCAACAAAGCCTCTTTCTTTCCCATTTTCATCCTCATCTTCTTTTCCGTATTTAGTTTTAGTAGATGAAATTTTCAAAAAGTGTGAGAGAGTTTTTGAGAGCATTTTAGATGAATTTTATCAACCAATCATCTCATAGGAGTTTGTTAAGTCTTATTGGGTTATAATTTCCACCAATTTGGTGGTTTAAGGAGAAAACCAAGCTTTTTCGTGACTATTCCTCTTTCTCCAATGATTAATGGTTTTTTTACCAACAAAGCCCATGTCCATCTTTTTTCTTATAAAAAGCTAGAAAATGATAGATTTACATAGAGTTAAGAGTATATTCAAGGTGTATAGCATGATGACCATTATTTGGTGAGGGAGGAGAGGTTGAATGTGGAGGTAGTTGTCTCTTATAGCATTACATGAGGTCCGGGGATCTCCCTAATGATAAACACCCTAGTAAGGTAACTATTGAGAGACTTGTTACTTACAACAATGATTTAAGGTGGGAGTACCATGCTGCCATTCCGGATCCAAATGATAGGATTAACGGGTAGCTAACTAGGGCTAGGAATGAAAACATAGAGATAAAGGAGTCCACCTACATGTTTGCCTACAACAACTATAACCTCCAACTAACTGGGTTTGTGGTGAAGTTTTTTCGATACTATAACCTTTATGTTAGTCAACTTTACCCGAATGATTTGACCATTATAGCCACCTTCAAAAACTTCTATAAATAATTTAGAGTGACCCCCGACATGAGATGTGTGTCCTAAGATATAAAGTTAAAAGTCCAAGGTCAATTGGACTTGAAGATATTAAAAGCTTTGAGGTTGCACATACCTTAAAAAGGGTCACACTCTTCTATTCATTTGTACATGCTCTTCACCAAGTGTTATGTCATCTGTAGTTTTTATCCGGCCTCGTTACCACCACCTTACGAGAGGGAGATAATTGGATCATGGTGAAACCTTTTTTTGTGCAAGTAGTCTCATATACAAGTGGGCTATTCTTAATAAAAAGCTTACATTGGATTAAAAAACTCTTCCAATAACTATATTAGCAGTGGCTCTATATACCTGTTTACTTTGGTTGAGAAAAGTGTAACCATTTTGTTACATCACGGATCCTTCGATAATTCTCTACCTCAAACAAAACGCATGTTTGTTCAAGATTGTCAAGTAGATAAGTAATGATTGAGGAACATTTTAATCAAATCCAAAT